TTATTATTATATTTTTAAGGTTTTTTTAATATAATTACGTTATATTTATATTTTTTAATTAATTTAATTAAATTAAAATTTTAATATATCCTTTTTTATAATATTTAATAAGTTTTTTTTAAATTATCGTTTTTTATTTTACGTGTTTTAAATATTTATCGTTTATATAATTTTTTTAAATTTTTTATTTAAATAAATATTTAAACGGTCGGTAAAGGTATATAATTAAAACGGCGTAATTTTGGGTATTACGATAAATTATTTTTATTTTATAAATTTCGTTTTTTTTTATAAAATTCCGTAATAATTTTTTATTTATTATAATTAAAAAATAATTCGTATTTTAACTTTTTTATAAAGTATAAATTATATAATTTATTAATATAAAATATTTATAATAATTTTTCGTATTATTTATAATTTAAACGTAATTATTTATTATTTTTAAACCGGAATTCGGTAAAATCGTTTTTTTAATTATTTATAATATCGTAATAGAATTTATTAAATAAATTACGTAATTCGTTAACGGATAATAAATATAATTTAATTATTATTATAACTTTTTTTTATTAAAAATTAATTTTCCGTTCGAATCGTTAAAAAATGTTTTTAATATTCGCGTTTTAAAGTTTATATTCGAGTTTTTTAATTAAATTTATATTATTAATAATATTTTATTATACCTCTTTTTTAATTTATATAATAAAGTAATTTTTTTCGTTATCGTTATTAATATTAATTATATAAAATTTAAATAATTTTCGTCGTATTATCGCGATAGTTTTATTAACGTTTAAAAAAGTGTTATAATTATTTTTTTTAATAAAAAACGTTAATTTATTAATTACTTTTTAATATAAATTAAAATTTACGTTTTTATTAGTATTTATTAACTTAATACCCTTTTTTATTATAATTATAATATATAATATTTATTATATTTTTATTTTTACGATTTTTATCGTATTTAATTACGTTAAAATTTATTAATTTATTATAATATTTATAAAAAGTTTTATTTTATTATTTTTAATTACGTAAAAAGTATCGGTTATTATTATTTTAATAATAGTTTTATTACGGTTTTTCGATATTTATTTTAATATATAAAATATATAATTCGTTTTTAAATCCTCGCTTTTTAAATCTTTTTTTATATAAATAATTATCGATTTTAACGATTTTTTCGACGTAGTTATCGAATTTATCGGGTTTGTTTTTTTTTAAAATTTCGTTTTTTACGTTTTTTTATAATTTTATATAAAAAAGCGTTATAAATATATCGTCGTCGTTTTATTTAGTTTTAAATACGATTTATTTAAATTCGGATAAGTATTTAACGGCCGATTTATATTATTTAAATTATATAAATCTTCGTTTAATAATACGGATTTCGTTTAAATTACCGAAAATTATTCGTAAACGTCTTTTAAATTCGTTATAATCGTTAAATACTTTTTATATATTATTTTTTTATTAATTTTCGTTATTATTAAAATAATTTTTTATAATTAATTTAAATTAATTAAAGGTATTTTTTTTAAAGAATTCGGTAATATATAAGATTTTATTAAATTCGATAATATTAATCCTATTATAAAAACGTAAATAAATTCATATTTAAATAAAGAATTTTTAAATACCTCCGTTTTTCCCGTTATAAAATTAAAAAGGTGCGAGTTTATAATTTCCGTTACCGCCTTTTCGTTACGTATTATTAATAATAACGAGTTACGTAATAAATTATTTATTATTATTTTTAATAATATCGAAGGCTTTTTATAATTACCGTATTATTTTAAAAACGTCGGGTCTTTTTATAAAGTTATTTATAAAACTTTTATTAAAAGTGGATAGTACCATTTTATTTAATAAAAATGTTATTTAATTAATTTGAAAATAACGTATTTAAATAAAAGTAATTAAAATATAACGAATATATTTTTTAAAATAAACCGTAAAAAGATATAAATATATAAATTTATATTAATAAAAAATATTAATTTTAAAGGTAATTATAATTTATAATTTATATAATTAAATAAAATATAATAAAAGGGTTTATAAACGAAGTTATAAATATAATTATTAAAGTTTAATAAGTTTTATTTATAAATAAAATAAATATTTAAATTAATTATTAAAATAATAATTATTTATATAATTAAAAAATCCTTTTTATTATATATTTTTTTTATTAATATTAATTAAATTATTATAATTATAATAATTTTTTATTTTAAATTATTAAAATTATTTTAATTTATTTATTAAAACCGTGATTTATATTATATAACCTTTTTTATTTTATTAATCCCGTAGTTTTTTTTATTTTAACGGTTACGCGTTAATTATTTAATAAGTTTTAATTATTCCTTTTTAAAGTCGGGGTTCGTAAAGTTATATTTATAATATTAATAACGTATTTAAAACAATTTTACGTAATTAATTTATTAAAAAATTAAGTTAAATAATATATAAAATTATTAATATAAAAATTAAATAAAATATAATTCGTTTTTTAATTAAAAATATTATTTTAATAATAATTTAATATTTAAAATAATACGCGTTTTATTAAAGGTTTTTTTTTATTAATTTAAATTTTAATAATTTTTAATATATATTTAATATATTTAAAATTTATTAAATATATATTAAAAATTATTATAATTTACGTTAATAAAAATATATATTATAAAACTTTTTTTAATTAAAAATAATTAAAAGTCTTTAAATAATTATAAATTAATAAAATTAATAAAATATACGATTTAAAAAGTTTAAAAGTTAAATTATAATTTAAATTTTAAATTAAAATTAAAATATCGTTATTAATTATTAATTTAAAATTTATTTATTTTTTAAAAGATTTAATTTATAATTAAAAAGTATTAAACGATGTAATAACGGTTAATTTAAATAATTATAAGTATTAAAATTTAAATATAATTTTTAAAATAATAAAAGCTTTTAAAATTATTAATAAGTATTTTAAATTATTTAAATTTATAAACACTTTTTTTATTTAATAAACTTTTTATTATATTTATTAATTTATAAAAAAACATTTATAAAAGTTTATCGTCCGGGTAATTTATAAAAGTCGCGTTACCAATTTTAAAAAGGCTTTAAATTTAAATTAATAATTTAATAATTAAGATTAAATACGCGAGATATTTAATAAAGTCCGTGTCGATTTAAAATTAACTTTTTTAAAAAACAACGTTAAATTATTACTTTACCGTGTTATCTTTTAAAACTATATAAAAATGGTAATAACGACGATTTAAAAAGGTTTAAATTTTAACTATTAAAGTTTGGGATAGTGTTCTTTAATCTTTATATTAGGTTAAAAGGGTATTAACTCTTTAAGTGCGGGCGGGTCAGGCTTCTTTTATGGCACAAGCGTCCGTCACTAAGACCTGTTTCCTTAAGTCGAAAATATCGAGCGGTAAAGGTATGTATTTAAGGCATCCGGTAGTTGGTATATTACCGTTAGGCGTCTGTATTATAAGATGACATCTTAACAGTATACAGTATTCTTAAGTGCGTACGAGCAGTGGTTGCCGCGGTACGTTATTATGATTCGTGCGCTCTCTATTCCATCGTACTGCAATCCTTATCCGGCGTAATCACTGTTTGTGTGTTTAAGATTTGAATTCTGCATTGTAAATCCTGTCTTTTAGTATTTTTAAGCATCTTCTACCTTCTAGGATGTAGATATCACCCTCTGTTGCCCTTGGACTGATACACACCGCAACCGTCACAGGACTAGCAGCCTTACCCACCTGCGGCCAGGCCTGTTTCAACGATATGGTAAATCAGTATGCGGACCTGACTTGCGACAGTCCCGAGGCGTCGTGTCTCTGCGAGAATTCCGACTTTGGACACGGGCTGCGGGACTGCTCGAATGCGGCATCTAATACGGATGCTGTGTCTTCGGCGACCGCGTACGGGAGCTCGTACTCAGCGTCGACCACGGCGACGTCCTAGTTATACTAGGCTAGATATCCACCAGTATAAAGGTGTACGAAGGAGATTCAAAAGAGCAAGTCTATAGGCCGCTGAGGCTGTACACGTTTCATGCAGACTTTGGCCACCTACACCATCCAGGCGGGTACCTGGCAACGTAAGATGTCCCATGACCGGATTAAGACTCGGTTCTTTGACATTGTGTCATTGCAAAGACACTTGCTTGAGAATGTGGCAGGTCCCCACAGGGTATCCGTAATGAATGAGCTATCAGTAGCCCTCGGCGTTTGTAGCATGCGGCGGAGGAACAGCGGGGATGGATTATGCCGGACGGGAAGGCTGCGCAAGAAGATTAGTGACTGCCCCGAGCCGTGTTGATACCGTTTCTATGTGGGCGACGGCGAGCCCTGTCTGAAACGGGAGGCGGCGGGGTCCGAGACATACGAAGGCAGTCAGGCGCGGCGGGAACTGCGGTCGGTTAGTTCGAGCCAGCGCGCAAATGTGTTGCGCGTTGTTGTTCTTGCAGCTTCACGTTCGCGCAGTATGAGAAATGGGACTTCAGAACGACGACGGTTGCAGTATCGAATTCTCTAAACAGCTCATGCGCCATCATTGGGGCTACTACGATCCCTATACAGATGGTTGCTGCAAAGTTCAAACTTAAAATGAAACGCGTCATCTTCGCTGTGTACTGCAACCCGTCACCTGCTGTCGGACACAGGTTTGATTGAGACGAGTGCGATGATTCAAGTACTAGGAGAGGGGTGTAACGACTGTCTCGATCATCAAAACGTATGATGCAAGGAAATACCGACTGAATCCAAAGAAGGTCGGGTAAAATGAACCCCGAATATATTTTTACCGCGGGCAATTTCATGACTGAATTAGTGAACGTTCTCTGGTAGAGGAGGGACCGTGCCCAGTCGAGGCCTATTTAATGATGGATCCACTGGGGATCAACAATATTTGACCACCGTGATTCATCGACCCCTCAAACAGGGCAGCTACTTGGTCATAAACGGCTAATGAAAGTTCTGTAGGTCTGGGTCTGCAATGTTCCTGCTTTCAGCGAGAGCTTCGTCCAAGTTCGCCTTGCCCAAGAAAGAGTCATAAAGCAGATTGCAGACAATCGTCTTCATCTTTCCATCCATTACAACGTAGTGCGCCCAAACACAGATCTTAATAATATCCCCAGGCTCCACAGCGTGTCCAAAAACGCCGGCCGGTAACTTCTTTTTATACGTGAAGTAGCTGTGCATTATATAGAAGATGTTGTGACCATCGAGGGCCACCGCTATCGGGACGAGTATCTCATCTGCGGCTTCAAATAGGGGCTCGTAATGCGCCTTTATCCCTTCTGAGCCCTTTAGTAGTGAGGTTTGAGGGTCTGGGAGGCTCAAGGTAACGTCCTTGTGATAGAACGAGTGCTGCACCTCAAAGTCGTGTGCGTTGAAGGCACGAACATATTTCAGAAACTCCTCTCGTGAGATTATCGGATGCGACATGTTGTACTGATATCGAAGTGACCGTGTGAAAAATGAGCAGATGAAGTTCTGTTCCTGCTATACCAGGTATTGATCACATAGCAGTCTTCCCACTCCTACTTATCTTGTAGGCCGCGTCATCGTAGTTTCGTGTTTATCAGCACGATTGACGCCTTACTTGCACTGTATCTTCAATACCCAAATATGGATGCTACATCCGTAGCTGTTTGAGAAACAAACATTGTCACTGTTCTATGTTGTGGGGAACAAGGCTCCCCGGTGACACCTGCCCCGCTTGGGTAACACCGGAACGCGCAACATATCAATACTTGGCCTTCCTATCGTAGTCAAATGTGGTCCCTATGAGAAATGAGAGGCAGTCCTTCTTTTTTATACTGGTACGCTAGATTGGCAGAGACTAGGGCAATGGTATCGTCGGGAGAACAAATACTCCCGCTTGTTATTGGTTAAGTCGTGTCCTACTTATCACAATTACTATACTATTGACTCACCATGTCGCATTGTCTGATAAGTCAAACCGGAGTTGCTGTGAGCAACAGCACAGCACATTATGTCCGTCCAACCATCCAGCAACGACACCCTACGCAAACCTGAATAGATTGAATTAGGACTGAATGCTTTCCTACAGTGAGCTAGACCCTGAACTTGCCATGTGCACACCTTCCTGATTTTTAATTGCGCCAGTGCTGACGTGGACTGTTTATCAGGATAGCTGTAGAGTTTGAACTAATCATAAGAATAAATGTGTATTTCTCCCGTGTGCTCCTTCAAACTTGACACTATGATAGCAATGTAAAGGGCGCCTCATTTTTTACTTGAGCATTTCTTGAGAACGACATGTCTCAACCTTCTTCGGTTCCCAAGATTCTCCTCCACCATGCGGTGGAGAGTCGTGATAAGGTGGCCTTCTCAGGCTCAGGCTGGGCAATCGTACGTCTTGATATGCAGAGTTTCATTCCCCTATTAGTTAGATATCCTGAGCGATAAGTAAACAGCTCCAAGAAGTGAAAAGTATCGGCCTGCCTGCTATTCTTTCAAATCTGACTGGCTCTGCCCTCATGGGAATACCAAGCGACTGACTCATAATACTTTTATCAGACTTATAGTGACCTCGAAAAACGAACCAGGCGCGTAGCAGCAAATATGGTGCGTGCCGGAATAGGAAGGGGAGATTTCGTAGCAATTGTGCTGGGCCGATGCCTTGAGGCTGTCGAGTCCGTGCTTGCAGTTACCAGAGCAGGTGCGGTGGGAGTTCCCCTAGATCCGCGCTCACCGTCACCAGAACTGGCCAAGATTCTTGAGCACAGTGGTGCGCGAACGATCATCACGGATACACGACACTGCACTACAGTGTGCGCGGCTGCTGCAAAAGGAAGCATGATCATTATGACCACCCCAGCCCCTTATGCGAACATGATAGAAGGAGAATTTAGGACTGTGCAATATCAGGACTGGGCCGAAGATGACGAGTGTGTGACCTCGCACATCAAGCTGGACGACCTCAGTGAGGATGAGGCAGCATTTCTGCACTATACTTCCGGAACAACAAGCTTACCCAAAGGGGTGTTGTCAAGCCAGAGAAGTGTTCTATGGAACGCCAACAACGTTGCTTCGGTCTTTGGCTTGACATCCGACGATAGGTTCTTTTGGCCTCTTCCACTGTTTCATATCCTTGGCCATTCGTTGTGCATCACAGCCACCGTGGTAATGGGTGCCAGTGCCCATCTTTCCGACCCCGATCAAACGCTGTCAGAAAACCTTTCGGTGAAGGGGGTTGAAGAAACAACGATCATAGTGGGTGCGCCAGCCACTTTCCATGAGCTTGTCGCAGCGAAGATCACGTTACCGTCTTCTCTTAAATTGCCCAGATTACGATCATGCATGAGTGCAGGATCCGCGGTACCTAAGTCTCTATGCATCCAGGTCCAAGAATCTTTTGGTGTGCTACTTTTGAATAATTATGGGTGCACGGAGACCTGCGGCGCTATTGGCATCAGCTGGCCAGGTGATGTGTATCGACAGCATGGGAGCGTAATACCACTCCCTGAATGGGAGATCAAACTGATAGATCAAGACGGAAACCAGGTCCGCGATGGTGAACAAGGTGAAGTACGGGTACGCGGCCCTGGTCTGATGCTTAAATACTACAAAGAGACCCAGACGCCCTTCACGGAAGACGGCTGGTTTCCAACCGGTGATATAGGGGTCCTGTCATGCTCACATACTGAGAAGGAGTTGACTCTGGTTGGCCGGAAAAAGGAATTGATTATCCGAGGGGGTGAAAATATCCAACCCGCCGAACTGGAGGAAGTCTTGCTACAATATCCTGGTGTGGCCGATGTTGTTGTTTCTGGCATCCTGCATCAACTGCTTGGAGAGACGCCTGGCGCCTTCATTGTCAAGAGTTCTCCGGACCTTGACCTCGACTTATCGGCCTTGCTCGCTGTATGCCGAGAAGCTCTGCCAGATTATAAAGTACCCACAAGTAAGAAAAAGTCTCAAATAATGCTCCTAATTTAGACCTGCGCATCCTCTAATATTCCCCTAGCATTTTATGAGATCGATTCTGTACCTCGAACCCTCTTGGGTAAACCGAGACGATTGGAAGCGGCTTCATCTACGAGTAGACCACTCACTGTTCGCTCCAAGTTGCAGTCACGAACCTCTGTCGAGGCATTAGTGCTCGCGGAAACGGCCGCAGCATGTGGTGTGCAAGCTCAACCAGGGGAGAGCGATTCAGACCCGGAATGGCTTCGTAGCTATTTTGACCAACCATTTTACTTTCTCGGCCTAACTTCCATGGCCGGTGTGGTTCTTCGAGATCGACTTGCCAGCCTCACTGGCTTGTTCAACCTACCAAACACCCTGGTGTTTGACTACTCTACGCCGGCGGCAGTAAGCGAGTACCTTTGCAGCCGCCTTTCGGAGCTCGAATCGCCATCGCCACGTAGATCGCAACCCAGTACGACCGTGCAAAGCACCTCCGAGCCAATCGCAATCATCTCCATGGCCTGTAGATATCCTGGAGGTATCTCTTCGCCTGATGACTTGTGGCAACTCGTCTCGGATGAGGTAGACGCGACGAGTGACTTCCCAGACGATGTAAGTACACGGATCGTGTAGTTATCCACTCTTGGAAAAATTCAACGATCCACTAACAAATCATGTAGCGTGGGTGGAATGTCGATGACTTGTACAGCACTGACCCAACCGCGCCTTTCACCTCAACAACGAAGCGAGGTGGTTTCCTCCCCGACTTTGCCGACTTTGATGCAGGCCTCTTTGGTATGGCACCACGGGAGGCACTCGCCACTGATCCCCAGCAGCGACTATTGCTGGAGACTACGTGGGAACTAGCCGAGCGAGGAGGAATTGCTCCGTTATCGCTGAAGGGTACCCAAACTGGTTGCTTTGTCGGCATTCTATACGATGATTATGAAGCGAATGGCTTTGGTAATGTCGGTAGGTTATTCCATATTTGTATCTCAGTTCGACACGGCATGAATTACACTAACGGGTATCTGTGATGGTTGGCAGAACTGGAAGCTCACCTTGGGCTTGGCTCATCCGGTAGCGTAGTTTCTGGACGAATTTCCTATTGCTTTGTGAGTGCTCTACAACCATTTAGTCGCCGTGGTGACTACCATCTGGAGATAAGTGCGTAGTACCTTCCCAACTCAGTACAGGGTACGTACTTGATCCGGATCGGTATACTCGCTACGGACTTCCCAAACGGCAGACCGATACTTCCGCTGTGAACAAGAAACAATATCCTAATTAGCCGTTCTCTACAGGGACTCCATGGTCCATCGTTGGCGATTTCAACGGGGTGCTCTTCATCGCTATGCGCTATCCACGTAGCAGCACAGTCTCTACGAAATGGAGAGTGTACACTTGCCATTGCAGGAGGTGTGACAACCATGGCGAGTCCTAGGCCATTTACCATGTTCAGCAAGCGAAGAGGCCTTTCTGCAGATGGAAGATGCCGAACATACTCAAATGATGCGGCCGGTACTGGCTGGTCCGAGGGAGTAGGCCTGATTATGCTCGAGAAGCTGTCGGACGCCAAGCGCAACGGTCATCGTATTCTTGGTCTGATCCGTGGCTCTGCAGTTAACTCGGATGGCACATCGAACGGCCTGACGGCTCCAAACGGTTCTGCGCAGCAGATGTGTATCCAAAGTGCTCTGGCCCAAGCGAGGCTATCGCCGACAGATGTAGATGTTCTTGAAGGCCATGGGACTGCGACGCCTCTCGGTGATCCTATCGAGGTACAGGCCGTAATCAACTCTTACGGAAATGGTACAAATGATGTTCAACGGTCGAATCCATTGCTGCTAGGCTCGATAAAGTCCAACATTGGCCATACGCAAGCTGCGGCAGCCGTTGCAGGAATTATTAAGATGGTACAGTCTATACATCATGGTGTTGCCCCTGCGTCATTACATATTCGCGAACCTTCACGGCATATAGAATGGGAAGGAAGTGGCGTTGAATTGCTTAACAAGGCTACGAAATGGCCAACTGTGGATAGGCCAAGACGTGCAGCGGTATCGTCTTTGTAAGTACATACTTTTCTTGCTCAGTCTTATACCTCAGGGCTTGGAGGCACACGGCTAATGCACATATTAGTGGCATTGGAGGCACAAACGCGGTAAGAAACAACCTCAACAACTTGCCTTTCTCCTTCGGTCAATAATGCCCAAAGCTCGGGCACAGATAGTCTTGAGCTTATTTCTCAAGGCTACTACGATAACAGCATGCCCCGAGCCAAGACTTCAGAAGTGTCTCTTCACCAACTTTGACAATTTACTAACGCGGAAGGTTGCAGCATATCATTCTGGAACAACCTGAACCGGCCGACCAACCCCATCTCTCTATAGTCAATAATCGCAACATTGCCTATCCATGGGTTCTATCGGGTGCAGACGAAGGAGCTCTACGCGCCCAAGCTCAGACACTACTGACAGCCTGGCGTGGCGGCCTTGATAACGAGGATCCTGCCGATATTGCATTTTCGCTTGCAACCGCAAGATCTGCTCTCAAGTATAGAGCAACGGTAATGTATGCAATTGGGGATGAAAACAGCGATCAGATTGAGACCGCCCTTACGGCCCTTGGCCAGGGAGAACCACACCCTGATATCGTGACAGGACAGAACACCACAAGCAACAAGCCACGCCTTGCATGCCTGTTCTCAGGCCAAGGTAGCCGTATGCCTGACATGAACGCAATAGAAGAGCTTCGGGCCGTCTTCCCTGTTTTCTCTCAGGCATTCCAGGCAGCTTGCGACGAAGTGAACCAGCACCTCGAATATCCTTTAGAACACGCTATCGGTGATAGTACCCTTCTGGGTCGTACTGATTTTGCCCAAGCCACCTTATTCGTCTTTGAGGTGGCCATGTACCGCCTCCTCGAGTCTTGTAACGTCCGGCCTGATGTGGTAACTGGACATTCGCTTGGAGAAATTGCAGCAGCGCACGTCTCTGGAGCCCTATCTCTTTGCGACGCATCTATCATCGTCACAGCGCGATCCAAGCTTATGGCTGCTTTAGATCCCAACGGTGGTATGGCGAGCATTTCGGCTACCGAAGAGGAAGTCGCCGAGGAACTGTTACGGTCGGAAAGCTCAGCTACTATAGCGGTAGTGAACTCCCAGCAATCGGTCGTGGTATCTGGAACTCTGGAGGCTATTAAGGCCATCGCAGACAAGTTCACAAACGTAGGACGAAGAGCTACTGTGTTGCGGAACATCAGGCATGGCTTCCATTCCCCAATGATGAACGGAATTCTGGAGGACCTCGAAAAAACTCTGGTTTCGTCAATCGAGGGAGGGAAATCATCAATGATACCACTCGTCTCGACCGTCACAGGCAAGCGAGCCAACGTAGCTCAGCTCAGCTCTCCAAAACATTGGACGCGCCATGTGAGCGAGCCAGTCCGCTTCGCCGAATCCGTCAATGAGCTCCTATCAAGCGAACACATCTCTATATTTGTGGAAGTCGGTCCCTCTGCAGTCCTCTCTCCACATGTTCCGGGTACGGTCGCCACACATAGCACAGTCGGCAAGCTACTGAACACACTGGGCCAGCTTTGGTCCAAAGGGGTACCAGTAGATTGGCGCGCTGTTTTTGCTGGTACAGACGCACATCTCGTCGATCTGCCTGTCTACGCCTTCCAGAGGCGTAGATACTGGCTACCATATACGCCACTGTTGCCAGCAGATTCCATGGGTGCGGTTGTAACCCGGCCTCAAACACCGGATGCGGTTGCATCTACACTAAATCATGGGGTGCTTGTCAGCGCCACATCGATTCCTGGCACAAACAACATCGTGTGCTCTGGCATACTGTCTACAGCTAGACAGCCCTGGCTTTGCGATCACGTCATAGGTGAACAATCAATCGTTCCTGCAACCGTATTTGCCGAACTGGCCGTACGAGCTAGCCGTGAATGTGCAGAATCATCTAAGTCTAAGCAGATGATGCTAGACGAGTTGGTTATCATATCGCCGTTGGCTTTACCCTTAGGGGACGAGGATAATGAAAAAGAAATGCAGATCCAAGTCACCATAGGAGAGCCACAGTATGAAGGGAGTAATATGCGACGAAGCATCAACGTGTTTTCTCGTCCCAACGGTGTTGCAACACAACATGACTGGACACAGCATGCGACTGGCGCACTGAAGTTAACACCGTCACCAAGTCTGGGAGAAGCCTTGGTGTCAACTAACGGCACATCTCCCATAGGGGTAGACTCCGAGGTTGATGTTTCCAAGGCATATGCGCTCCTGGATGACATAGGCATCAGCTATGGGCCAGCTTTCCAGGGTGTACGTGCCATCTGGCGTCAGAATAATAGTGAGCTATTGGTACAGATCGAATTGCCTCATGTTCACGGTCAAAAACCGGGATTCGTCTTCCATCCGGCCTTGCTCGACGCTGCTCTGCATGCTCCAATCCTCGCAGAACCAGAGAAAGTCTCTAGCCGTCACATTCGACTGCCATTCTCAATGAAAGGATTACAAGTCTTTGATGCGCCCGGCAGTATCTCTGGCCCATTTATAGCACGCATCCGTGATTTGAGCGAGGAGAGTCTCTCAGTCACCCTTACAAACAAATCGACGGGTACGCTAGTTGCTGAGGTTTCTGAAGTCATGCTACGCCCCTTCCAGCCAGCGATTGAAGGTGACCTATACCATATAAAATGGACTGAGCTGAGTCCTACTCACGCGGATAAACTCGGTACTGCTGATGAGACTATTATTGTCCGATGTTCTCGCAACCTTGAGACAGCAGAAATTCCCATCGCAGTGCGTGATGCCGTTACAGAGGCGCTCAGTGTGGTGCAAGATTGGCGGGCTAAGAAAACATATGCCTCTGCTGGCAGCCGCCTCGTGTTCATCACTGAAAAAGCGACGTCGATTCCTGATATAAATGTGGTCAGTGCCGCTGTATGGGGGTTTGTGCGATCTGCCCAGGCAGAGTATGGTGGGGAGAACATCGTGTTAATCGACTTGGATGGGTCCCCTGAGTCGCAAGAGACCCTATCCCGCGCTCTTGCTACTAAGCAGGAAGTTGTGTCCCTGCAAGGTGGAAAGATCATGACTCCCATGCTAAGCAAAGAATCCCTAGTCTCAGACACTTGCCCTTCGAGGACTCTTGATGTCAGCGGTACGGTCCTGATCACGGGCGGCACAGGAGGACTGGGTGTCATACTGAGTAGACACATTGTGCACGCCTACGGAGCAAAGAATCTTCTTCTAGTAAGCAGATCAGGCATCGAGGCACCGGGAGCTCGCAAGCTCCTCGATGAACTAAGCAGTCAAAACGCAGCAGCCGTTCGTATCGAAGCATGTGACGTCGGCGACCGTGCACAACTAGCCGTACTCCTAAAAAGTAATCACGAACACCCACCCATCACAGCCATAATCCACTGCGCAGGCGTGGTAGATGATGGAGTCTTAACCTCGCAGACAGCAGCGCGTGTATCCCGTGTCCTGCGTCCTAAGGTTGAAGCCGCGTGGAACCTGCACCAGCTGGCGCCGGGCACGGTGCGTTCTTTCGTGCTCTACTCATCATTCGTCAGCGTCATCGGAAACGAAGGGCAGGCAGCTTATGCCGCAGGCAACTCCTTCCTCAACGCGTTGGCCCGCTTGCGTGTTTCTCAGGGGTTACCCGCCTTGTCGGTGGCTTGGGGGCCCTGGGCAAATGATACTGGCATGGCCGCCGAGAAGAAACTAGCCATCCCAAATCTCCGCGTCGCCAATGCTAAGCCGTTTGGTGACCAACAAGGACTGTGGCTATTTGACAGGGCACTACAGACGCCAGAACCCGTCCTCATACCTCTGCTGTTACGCGGACCGTTCCCAATGGTGCTGTTGCCCGATGCGAAATTCAAGCATGACAATACGTCCACTAGAGGCGAGGCGAAGACAGCTGCGGCATGGCATAAGAAGCTTGCCGCAGTCTCGCCAGAGAGCCGTCAAGATACGTTGCTAGGTCTTGTGAGAGGAGAAATCGCTGCGGTGCTTGGATATCAAGGACAGGATATGCTCCCAGATAATCCGCTATCTGACCTCGGTTTTGACTCGTTTACTTCGGTCACACTCAGTAACAGAATGAGAGTTTTGACCGGATTCCGTGACCTCCCTGTCACACTGGCGCTTGACTATGACACCCCTAAGGCGTTGGTGCAACACCTCTCAGATCGATTAATGGCTGAACCAGAGTTCGAAGCCGATTTCGACGGGTACATTTCTGAGGAGGAACCCCTTTCAAGTGATACAGCCAGTTGCACCGGCTTATCCAGAAATGCAAATGCTCTTGACGACGTAAACCCCGAAGAGTTCCGTGGGTTGGCAAGACTTCACAGGCGACTTTGCAGCCTCGAAAAGTACACTGCGGCAGCAGACTTACTGGCCTCCGCCGCGCTGGCATTGCCAACTTTTCCGAAGGACGGGTCGAGTCTGTCGAGTTACATGTCGGATCCCCAGTGCCTCGCCATCGGTCCGTCAGACTCCAACGGTGTCAAGCCTTTGCCCCTAGTATTCATTGCCCCGTTTTTCCCACGCATCAAGATCGGGGGGGTTTGGCTCAGTGTGTACAGCGCCGTGGCGGCTGCTTTGAATGGGAAGAGAGATGTGTTCGAGCTTCCACACCCAGAAGGTCAAGTCGTTCCGGAGGACCTTGACACGCTTGCTGAGTTGCATGCTAGTACGATTCGAGAACAGTTCGCCGGCAGGCCGGGGATCATACTCGCAGGGTATTCCGCCGGCGGCACTGTCGCATATGCTGTGGCATCCAAACTTGCTCAGGCTGGATATCACACTCATCTTGCGGGTTTCGTTCTAGTTGACACATATCTGACCATGACGGGACGGGGCGACCCAGACTGGTTGAATGCTCTGCCGGCCGAGGCTCTCGTGTCGCGTCTTGGAGGCCCTAATCTTGGCGAGCCTCATGGTATGGGAGGTGACAGTCCTGTGGGAGATTTAGACCTCGCACTAACCAAGGTGGGAGGGTACTTCCGGACACTGCAGGATTGGAACCAAAAGCTGTATCCCCTGCCTGATTCATTGTCAACCCTGTTCGTGCGTGCATCGGATCCATCGGAGAAGATGCCAAAGGACCCTGATATATGGCGCCCGAAATGGCAACGAGCGAATGTTACGGTTGAAGTCCCTGGGAGTCATCTGGCGCTCCTTGACAAGCGATATGCTCCTGCTATTGCTATTGAGATCCAAAGGTGGGCAAAGCAGCAATTAGTGGATTAGAGTCCACCTCTTTTTTTAAACAAGGCAGATAGACCGAGGGGGACATGGTATACAATCCAGCCGTGAGCCCATGCAATATCTCAAGGCGTTTGAACTCTCTGGAACGTGGCAAGAACTGTGCTACTGAGTTGAAGACGCTCCGATTCGGACTTGAACTATCCAGCGCCAATGCCTTCAAGTCTCGATACAGCCTCGTTTCCAGGAGTTATGCTGGTGGATTAGAGAAACAAGAGTCCCGAGTTCAGTGTATTTGAACAAAAGCCGGATATTGCAGCAACGTATTTGGTATATGAATTGAGGGAAGATTGGAGTGCTTAAGTGCGATGAGGCCGACTCCTACGGCAATGTTATAGATCAAGGAAGTGGAAGCCAGAAGGCTGAAAGACGAGGTTTGATATTGAACTGGAGTGGTGCTCCAGGACAGTGCTATCCCAGAACGTCCACAGCAGCCAAAGTAGTCTTCAACGTCTCTACCGACGAATCCAACGTACTTTGTCTAATGGGACCTGACTAATTAGAGTGATAATTCCTCCTATAACGTGCACGATGAGAGTTGTCGGTCGCTAGAACGCAGGGTCCAATTATGGGGGTGAAAGAAGCGTTGCCTTGTTAGAATCCACACGCGGCAAAGATAGTTATATAGGAAATAAAACGCAAAGCCACACTACGCCACCGGGCAAGCCACACCACCCGAGCTCAATATTTGCCTGTTCTACAGCGAAACAAGCAAGACCGAGGAGCAGAGGATCCAGCCTCCCAAGTGACGTCGTTATTCCATCCATCCATCCTTCCTGAGACATCTATCCAAACCTTGGGCGACCAGGGCATCATTGGCAGCTAAGTCTCGGATACAGAGTTCTACCTCGAGGGTGGTAAATAGACTAGAGTTATATAAGGGAAAATAGATGGTCTTCAGTATACGCTGGTTTCCCGTCTCGATGCCCATATTGAGGATTTCCGAGCTGGGCGCTGGGTCATGAACCGCCACGTTTCCCAAAAGGCTAATCAACTAACGGTCATGGTCGTTCAAATCTTCTATGCTGGGAATACGACTGCCTAGTATGAAGTAGTCCAATACTGATATCGGGGCACCGTACGTAGAGTTTCAGGCGGGCCTTGTCCGGTGATACGGGGTCCGTAGACACGAACCGCGCACCGTTCCACCAATCCTGCATTTTGGATGCGAGATATTCCTCGATCAGGCTCAGTGAGCAGAAGATGTTGAAGCTCAAGGATAGGTCGGAAAGCTGGTGGATAGCAAAACGGATGATGTCAAACCGTGGTCTGTTTTTTTTTTCTTGCACTGCGGCGGCGATGCGCGGAAAGAAGCAGGCCTTTCCCATCACCGAAAGCATTCCAATAGCCGCTGATACTTCAAGAAATATACCGAATCCAATGAGGAGCGGACTTAAAAGCCCTTGTTTGGCTATCAAGGCTTTCTGGGTCGCAACTGGGAAATGGGAACAATCTAAGGATCCTTTTGGGAGTTATGTACCACATGTCGTCGCATCCAACAGGGTGAGAGCCGCCTCTGTGCTTGCAGAATACAACAACAACAAGTAGGGACAGTCACGTTGGTGACCAGACCTTCCAAAATGAAACAGTCCTGACCTGGGTGTGCGGAGGTACAAAACACAGACACATCAGACACATCAAAATACCAGGCGCGCGTGTTCCGTGACGCCCATCATTAAACAATTTGCCTCACTGTTACCTAGCTTGGCATACCCTCTGCACAAGCCACGTGTTATACATAGTATTTGTCTACTGTGCCATTTCAGTTACCCTATGACCACTTATGAGTGAAACATCCAAGCTTCCCCCTTTTTATAATATAGACGGGGGTGAGGACACCCCTGGGCACAATCATGCATGACCAACTGGCGGACGGCCTCGTATGCAAGAAGTACAGCCTATTATAGCATAGTATACAGTTGTAAAGGATATGTGTTTATTAAGACTAGTTTCAACCGCTCTCACAATGTTCTTCCCCGTCGTCCTAGAATAGTGACACAAGTCAGATGAATCTACCCGCGTCACCACCAATGCTCCATGCTGCCCATCGGCCCCCCATAATGGCTTAATAACTCCGTGGTAAGCTGGTAAGGAAGAACATATTTCCTACCTTAGTCCAAGTCGTAGGACCTCGCATAAGTAGAGACTTTATCATATTCAAGAGACTCAAATGGCAAGGTGCTCAAAGTGGGTTACATTTAATGCGGGTGTCTTGAAAGGAAGTTACAAGTTTCTAAATCGATAATGGTTCGGTATTAAGATGTTCTCATGGTTATAACAGTAGAGAAGGTCTTGAGGAAGATATGGATGCGAGCAGCGTCGATTTTGGAATATTAGATGATTTTAAAATTGGATTGTTCACAGCAGCACTAGTGGTTTAGTGGTAAAATCCATCGTTGCCATCGATGGGCCCCGCGTTCGATTCGCGGCTAGTGCAGTAACTACAAAAGTCTGCTCAATTTCATACACGATGTGCTGAGATAGTTCTTTTTGGTCCTCGCATCGTATCGCTTTGTGATCGCACCATTAAGCTTAACCAGACCGGGATAGGCGAGATTGATAATGACATCACGAGTATTGACATACTGAGTGACTTCGGTGACCAAAAGATGTATGAAGAGCTTGCTGACCGCGTATCTCTCTACGAGGTCCCACAGCTTGATCTGTCATCTGGGGCGGCTGTGCCTCCCAAGTCGACAATCATAGCTCCCCAGGCAGTCCCTGGGGTAATAAGCTTCAATCCACCCGGGACTTAAGCAAATGACTAGTTCTTGTGCACCGAGAAATCATAGTGACAAGAAATGCGGTGGAGAGATGGTTGACCTGAACATATTTTTCATAGCTTGTTTAGGAGACTTTGTGTGATGGTAAGCTGTTACGTGAAAACTAGCGCTAGTGGGTGTGGTGACAGAGAATGCAGAAGCGCGGATCTCGCCTGTTTGCATGATAACTTAAGATTATTATTACATCAATTTTGCACCCCTGTATGAGCGTTGCCTTTTGTGGCTGGCAAGACCGTGAAACTATCTCAACATTTGCTGTCTGCATGCCAGTGCTGAGGATAGTAATTTGCATTCGAGCGAATTTTTCTGTAGCTTACGCCACAGAGTGGCTGAGGGCACCTGTGGCTGCACCACAGGGCCCTGTTATACAAGTTGGGTTTATAAACACTCTCCTCAGCCCGTCAAACGGGCAGGGCGATTCTGTGTATTATTTTTTACTATTTAATACACTCGGTTAATGGTTCGATTTCCAGTCACCATACCGGTATGATGGCTTTATAGATACTGTATATGAAGCTATAACGTCACTGTCAGGGCATTCGCAATGAACTTTTGTCGTACTGCAGCATGTTCATTCTTTAATGTCGCGACGCATGTGTTTCTCAAAAGTACCTCTGCCAAATTTTGATAGGTGTGTGAGGTTTTCTTTGCCTGGGTTTACTACTGCTCTGGCTGAGATCAACCGTTGGTTTCATAGTGTCAGCGCCCTCTCCGGTGGGGGCAACCGCGAGCACTGGTTCTTGGAGGTCTTAACCGGCGTTCTCCACAACTTCTCATTGAGTTGATACGATAAAGCCAAGTTCTTGTTGAAAAGAGTACTTTGGGTGGACAAATCGCATGATGCCGACGCCAGAGATATCATCAAGATTGATCACTTCTATTGAATGCAGCCCAGCCCAAAATAACAAATTGAGGTGCAGCAAGCCGGTGCGAAAACTCGGTCATTCGTCTCAACCCCGAAAGACAGATGACTGTTGTTACATGAGGTAGAGTGCTTGAGGATCTTCTCGATAACCAAGTTGAATCCGCAATTTTCATACGCCACGAGTGGCTGGTAGCACTGTGGCTGGGCACCATAGCGCCCTGATACACAATAATGGTATGGCCTATAAACCTTCGACCTTCGGCCTTACAAACGGCCAATGGTGTACTGTGTCTTGATTATTTCTTCATTTAGATCAGGCTGCGTCAAATATCTACAATTTGTTATTCAGCGTCCAGGTCTTTGAGTTTCCCTGGCGATCTAGCATGCTTAACTTGGCTTAGCTTGTCCGTTTTAGCCAACGGAGGCACCTTCCGGTCCGTAAAGCCGGGTAGGGCTAGGTACAAGAAGTTTCCGCCAATGGCCTTCCTGTTCCATTTTGGCTGCGGGGAGGCTGATATCACGTGCACTATGAGTTACAACAATAGAAATAACTCAGGACCGGTCCCAAAGCTTGATTGGAATATGTTTCACACTGCTGCAGCAACAAGGTACTCGCGGCTCACAAGTGCTCTATTGGTTCCGACACAATGTTGCTCTTGCTCACGACAACCCTCTTCTCGTTAGCAGGCGCAGCAGTCATACAGTCACCTACGGTGAAGTCAGAGGACTGTTCAATCAGTGCTACACGGTACTTTATAAGCTTTGGTGACTCGTATTCTCAGACCGGATTCAATATAAGTGGCACTCACCCGTCGGCTGCAAATCCTCTTGGAAATCCGGATCTACCAGGATGGACTGCTAGTGGCGGCTTGGACTGGGTGGGTTTCATGGTGACCGAGTACAATACCTCATTGTTGCTCTCTTATAACCTGGCATATGGTGGTGCAACGACCGATGCCGACTTGGTTACCCCGTACGCACCCACGGTGCTCAGCTTTGAGGACCAGGTCAACGAATTCACGGCGAGTCTAGCGTCCAAGCCAGACTGGGCTCCATGGACAGCCGAGACAACCTTGATTGGTGTCTGGATAGGGGTGAATGACGTCGGCAACAGTTTCTACTTGAGCAACGCGACCGAGGTGATTGACGCCGTTGTTACTCGATACTTTGAGCTCTTGCAACCGCTTTATGATGCAGGAGCAAGAGAATTCGTTTTATTGAGCGTTCCACGTACGTATGAGACATCATTGTAAAACTTGGACAAGCTGACAGTAAGGAAGCGACCGACAAAAGCCCGCTGATGTTGGAGAATAATGATACATCTGAGACACAATTGAGAGGGGCGATCAAGCTCTACAATGATCTTCTCGGAAGGCATCTCGACAACTTCAAATCGAGGAACAGTGGTGTAGAGGCACGGATTGTGGATACATCTGTTCCATTCAACCAAGCCATCGACAACCCCACAAAATACGGAGCACCAAATTCCACGTGCTATAATGCTGACGGGACAAGTTGTCTCTGGTTTGTAAGTGTTGCATTTTACATTCCTTCTGGTGATTAAGGGCTGAGTAACGTTCATGAAAATGGGGCTATTTTCTTAGAAAAATGTAATACATAAGATACTGATTGCGATTTCACGTAGAACGACTATCACCCCGGCGTTGCAATTCAAAACTTGGTAGCTAAGGCTGTTGCCCAGGCTGTTGGGGCCCCTTGGTTTGCCACTACATGATGTACACAATTCGCGCATAGCACTATCGACTTCAATTGGGCTACGGGGACAATAGCGAAGTAATGGTATAGCTTACACTCGATACGATTGAGACCTAGAATATTAAATGAACGAGTCGTTATCTACCCTTTCCTCTGCGCGGCACATTGTCTCATTATATTGGACCTCTGCGACAGCACAATGCTATGCTAGATTCTTCACAGGGGTTTCAGGGAACTAGAACGTCCGTTAAATCATACGAAGACAAAAGTTAAGTTGGTTGAGAGGAATAAACCAATGGAAGGGAACGACAAAAATGAAAATATTGATGGACTTGAAGTAAGGCGTCACTTTGTTGTAATATTAACGGCGGAACGCGCAGGATGACGAATGTTGATCGAAGGCTCATTCCTATAGGTAGGCAAGGTAAACATACTTTACCGAATAACCAGACATACTCAGTGACCACCATTTCTATACGAATGACCATCAGAAGCCGTTCTCGAATGGCATGTACGGTTCAACAAAAGATGCTAGTGCCCCAACACCCTCCCCCAACTCCAATTCATTCATCATGATATCCCAGTCTTGCGGGGCCATGACATGATCATTTAAGGGCTTGTCAACGTTCGATTGCGTGAAGTCAACGTTGGAAAGCGGAGGATGTGATCGATTCTCATATTCCGCTGAAAGGTCAAGGGATGCGCTTGGATGACACGCCTGACGGCTAACCAAGAAGTCCGTTAGCCGATAAAACGTTTGGCAGACCTCAAATAGGCTCTTTCCTGATGCCGACTGGCTAGCCATTGGTTCAACTGCTAGAATAGCTGACTGGAGGAGCGCAAGGTCGTTACCAGATGCTGAAGCCACGGTATTCCCGGCAAGGACAACAAAACAAGCAAATGGAACCTGGGCGAATAGACTTCAGAAGTTAGCAACAGCCATCACGGTGGTGAATATGTCGCATACATATTCAGGAACCATACCCAGCCCCTGGGATGTGAATGTCCCCAAGTCTCATGCGCATGCACGATAGCAGACAGCGCTCGACGAGCAGCTTCAATGCATTCTGTGTTGCATTGCAGAGGGCTCGAATTGGTGTCGTCGCATGGAATGACCCGATACGCAATTGTCATCAGACAGTGCATCATAATGTCGAGAAAGGTGCTTGCGGCCCGAAATCTAGCATCTAGAGGTGGTCCGTCTTGAAGAGACTGCAGTCATGTATTAGAGGTAATCTTTGAATGAACAAGACTCTCAAACCTTTTTGAGGTCTTTATTGATCGCATTCAATTTAGAAGCAAGTTGTTTCGCGCTTTCCACCCGGTTTAAATGCGGTGCTCTTTGGGCAGAGGCTGAAAAGAGCTGGATGTGCATCTCACCGACGATGACTGCATTTTCGATGCAGCCTCGATATAGTCTGAAAACAGTCAGCCAAGATCTACTAGCTCAATATCGCTATTTACCTTGCTGCAGCATGGGACATTGAGTCCTGAAAGCTAGGAAGCTCTGTGGAGACATCGTACTGGGGGATCGACGGAGTCCTGCCGAGAGTAAAGGACATACCCTTATCCACCATGTAAACATACCAGAATATAACTTGTTTTTTCTTCAATTCAGAAGATTCGTTTATTCTAGGGAGGCGATGCCAACCAAGATCAATGCACATTCTAGACGCTGTGACAGCCAGTGACCAAGCAAACCCCAGCCAGCCTGCTTTGCTGCAGTATGTAGTCTTATTGATGAGTATCGATCCTATGGAGGTAGTTGATCACATACCAGAATTGATAGGGCTTGAATTGCTTCGATTGAAGGGATTTGGTAAAGTCTCAGTGCCTGAGCCGATGCCTCAATATTCCTCTTCAATAGTTGTATATGTGCATGGATATCGGAGTCAGTGCCACCAATCCGTGGGTAGTCATGCGGTGGCATGTCAGAGAACAGGTAGAACAAGCCAGTGTTCACGATCAACCATACCATTACTGTGTAGTCCCGAACGGCGAAATATACCTTTTGACACATCTCACCAAACTCATGCACATCGATCACCGGAACGTCAACGAAAAACCGCTGTGGTTCACTCTGTGATAGGTGGAGAAGCTTTAGTACCGGCTCCAGTGGAGGGAGCTTCCTATCTTCAAGCCTTGTCAATTGCCGTTCGGGAGAGTGTAGACAGAGGTCGCCTGAACTCGGTGGTTGGTCGTTTTGATCGGCTATCTCTTGAAACATTTGCGCAGCGCTCACGCTTGATACATTCGGGATGTTCGGCAGGTTCATTTCCAACTTCGAAGTAGCCTCGTGAAGAGCGGCTGTGATTTTTTGAGTATGCGCCTTGAATGATGAGCCCCCTCTGTACCCGTCAGAGGCCCCCGTAATGGCCGTTGATGGGCTGGCGATGTCGGGAAACGATGCGTCCTTCGTTAATGGCTGAGAAGCCGAATTGTTGTTCAATAGTTTCTGTAGCATCTCGGACACTTGTTGCAATGAATAGTCTACTCTTTCCATGGCATCATCATAGCGAGTGGATATGAGAACTCGCTGCCGTTTCTCCAAGGCTCGGTGGCTTATGTGACAGTTAAGGTTGGATGCGACGCAGCTCGAACATGGCGAGTTACGGTCGCATTTGGTCTGTGGCTAGAGTTAGGGAAGGCGCCGGTTTACTAACAAAACAAATTTACATTAGTCTAACCTTTCGTTCCTTGCAATTACTGCACTATTCAAGATGTGTGGGTTAGCGATCCCATTCGGGAGCTCACTGGACGTTCTGGATTGGGGCTCTTACGGCTGGTGGTTGATTGCTTCCAGTGGGCCTCATGGCTGAAGACCCGCTCCCGTGGTGAAGACCCGAGACGGAGTAGGCTTGTGCTTCGAGCCGGGTAACGATGACTTACCGTCCCGGAAGATAACAAGTTCACACAGTCTACGTTGCTTCTCGTTTGTTTCTGCCTGCTGAAGTGGTTTATTCCAAGATCGTGGGGTCAGACCGCGTAGAGCACTGGGCGGTGCACCGCCGGGCCCGAGGGCCCGGTTTGTCACTAAACCCGAAATTTTGGTGCCTCAGCCGTGCTTATGCTGATCCTTGCATTCCTCCTCCGACAATAGCCAATAAGTCACTGATCAGATCTCGCTTCGGTCGCATTGCAAAATGGATTAGGTTACATTCTCTCGGGTCCTCGCGCCCAGAGAGTGTGGAGATTCGGATGGGAAGCCACACTAGAACAGTATAAAATCCGCAGATGCATCTGATAGAGCACCAAGTTCTGATCAAATACTCGCACCATTGTCGACTGCACACTTAAAAACTCATTCATTGTGAACAGACATGTGGTGTTGCATCCTCGTAGCTGCAGCCGTCTTCGGCCATGGCCTAGCAGGCAATATCGCTTCAGCAACTCTCTATCCACAGGATACACATCAGAACAAGTCAACGTTGAGCGGAGCCCCTCCTGTGAGTTAGTTCACCACTGTGAACGTTGCCAATTTAATCAGACACGAGTTTTAATATGACGCAGTGTGATGCTCTAGTTGCTGTTGGTCTCAGGGACAGTGTGCTTTTCCCGTCTGATAACGGCTACGAGCCCCAGATCGAGAGTTGGTTCGCTCTCAATTCGCGCCTACGCCCATGGTGCCTTGTCCTCCCACGAAATACTGCAGATGTGTCACTTGTTGTGACCACGCTTGTGAAGGCTGGATCTGGCGCGGGGGACTGGCACATCGCACTGCGAAGCGGTGGCCATAACATCGATGGGAACAATATTGCGAACGGAGTCACTATCGATCTGAGCTTTATGAATTCGTCAGACTACAACCCAAGCACGAATACGGCATCTACAGAGCCTGGCGGACGATGGGAACATACTTACGCAAGCCTGCAGGATCATGGTGTAACAGTCGCCGGGGGTCGTGATGGCGATGTTGGCGTGGGCGGGTTTCTCCTCGGGGGCGGCATCTCCTTTTTCTCCGGGAGACTGGGATTCGGTTGCGACTCCGTCACCAACTTTGAGGTAGTACTTGCGAACGGAAGTGTTGTCAATGCTAACGAGAGAGTCAACTCGGATCTCTGGCGAGCACTGAAAGGAGGAAGCGGTAATTTTGGCATAGTCACGCGATACGACTTGGAGTCTATTCCAACTAGGGATCTTGCCCGAGATCTTCGCTTCCTTCCCTCGAACTACTCTGACCTAGTTGTGGATACAGTCGTGGATTTCGCCAACCATGATGAGTCATTAGGCGATGACGCATTGGTGAGCTTCTTCACGTACAACTATAAATCACACGGTAAAACAATCAGCCCAGATTTGGCTATAGGAACAATTCATGTCAATACAGCCGGCAATTGGAGCTCTAAGACAAGCTACAACAGACTTGAGCAGTTGCCCGCAATTTTGAATCAAACGACCACGCAAAACATGGCTGAAGTAGCGGCCGCTTCCAAAGTAGATGGAGGCACCTGGTAAGTTGGCAACCAGTGTGTAGCTTCACAGAAATCTTAACTTATCAGAACATAGGGCTGCACGATCGACGCGAACGTTCAAGAATGATCCGGTGATCCTCCGATACTCCAATAAACTTCATGAGGAGTATGTGGAGGCAATGAAGGAGATCATCGGGGCTGACAACTTTTCAACGGTGATGTTTCTTCAGCCCATCCCATCTTCTCTTGGCCGCATCGGGCAACAGCGTGGTGGAAACATGCTCGGGCTGCAGAACGTCAAAGACAACGCCGTAATGTGGACGGGCGGTGTTACTGTCTACTCGGATGAAGCAGCTCTATCAGTCGCCAAAGAGGGCCTGGATAGGATGTCAGCTCAGATTAAGAGCTTCTCAGAGTCAAATAGTGGTGGAATCGACTTCATATACGCAAACTACGCCGACGATAGCCAAGACCCCCTCGGCAGCTACGGCGCGGACAATGTTCAACACATGCGTGAAGTCGCTGCCAAGTACGATCCCACTGGTGTCTTCCAGACACGTATTCCTGGTGGTTTCAAGATCAGCAGAGTGGTGTAGGAATCCATCGCTTCCTATCCTAGGTTGATACTGTCGATATATATCATTATCCATCATACAGTCGTTGTTGATAAACGATCTGCTCCTCTAACTCTTTTCTTGGCGCAGTTGTTAATAGCGCAAAATCTGGGCGGGTTTAACAGCAAGGGTAATTTCAATTCTCCAGAAGGCCATATGAAATCCTAGTTCTTCCGTGGAAACTATCAACGCCTCTTGTGGCTATGCGCGCTTCTCTTCTGGGCTGGTTGGAATTCACCATACTGGTACCACATCGGCCTAGCCTGAATTATCTCCGCTGGTGTCGTTCTCTGAATCATCACTCTCAGTTGATGTGTCGGTATCTGACTCAACAACAACCTTTTTGGATCCATGTTTCCTATTATAGGGCCTCCTAGAGGTGGCCATAGCCTCCATACGACTTTGATCCATCGTGGGAAAGCGATCAGCTCGCCACTCCTCACGCATCGCAATATCCGAGTCCGCGGCTCCGAGTGTCGTGATAAGATATCTGTCGAACTCCTTGGATGATTCTGCGACGCTCTGAAATTGTGCGGCACCGAGTGTTGGCTTAGGTGCACCTGGTCCGGTTTGCTGGCTCTCATGCTCCACCAGAGCAATGGCGGCTTGGAATGCGTTGCGAATTTGTCTAGATAGTCCCGTTAGCCGGATGAATTTCTACGTGGCACCCATTGAGTTCCATTCCTGAAAACTAAGGAGTTGTCTTGTATTACCTTCCATTCCACGTTCCGAGACCCTCCCTCTCCATCTCACGAAAATGCTGCTTGGCGAACTTTGTTATCTCTTTTTTGTTGATTTTGAATGTTACGGCTCCCAAGCGCTCTTGCTCAGCCTTCGCGCGTCTGATGAACACTTCATAAAGCTTGACAGTATCCTCTTTCTTCAGTCGTGGATAGAATAGACTCATGTGAATCCTAGACTTGAAAGCAGGGTCAATACTGCCGACCCGGTTGGTGGTTAGGAAAAGAATACCGGCGTAGTACTCTAGACTGCGTAAGAAGACACTTGTAACGGCGTTTCTTCGTAAGTCGGTCTTGCTTCGTTTAGCAAGAAACACATCTGCTTCGTCGAGTAAAAGTACGCAACCCCATTTGTGGGCCAAACTGAAGTTATGAAGCAGGTTTCTCTCCACGTCCATGGCTGTCTCGCCAATATCTCCGCATGTGATGGGGTACAGAGGCCGTTTGGTATTATCAGCTACGCATTCTGCGGTCGAGGTTTTGCCCACACCTGATTTTGTTAGAATAAGGTTATGGTCTGGCCCAGAATCACATACCTGGTTCCCCATGAAGAAGTAGAATAAGACCGGTACCTTTTCCTTTCACCATATCTAACCCTGCACCAACACTTACGCCTCTTTCCCCACGGGCATTCTCGTGCGTCTTTACGAGTGCGAGAATTGAGGTCTTGTGCCTTTCTGGTAACATCAGTTCGTTGAAATTATCTTGATATTCGACCTCGGACAAATCAGCGACCTTCATCGTAATCCACTGCCGATTCCGAAGTATGTATCCGTGTACTTGATCGGGAAGCAGAATGAGGTCGTCTTCCGCCAGTTCATCTCGTTTCCGGGGGCCAAGCAGGTAGCTGTGGTTCTGCAAATAGCTGTCAAGTCGTAGTTGATCCATTTTCAGGTCTTTGAATATAGTATCGTCTCCACAGCACCCTTCATTGTTTTGCCAATAGTGTTTGCAAAAGCTTCGCAAGAATGTCTCGCGCTTATCTGGTTTGGCGAGGTCACTGATCTCCACCTTCGTGGATGGTCTCCACTCTCCTACGGTGTTGAATGCCACAGCCATGTCAACGATGACTTGCGCGTCCACATCATGTGAAGGCTCGTCCAACGTCTTCCCAGTCATCACGTAATGTGAAAATGGTGGGGATGTGATATCCAAGAACCGCTTCGCGTGTTGCTGCAGGTTGTTCCTCAACACTTCACCACTTGGGTGTAATGCCAGTGGATAGACGGCAAGTGAAGATATTGGTTTTTGGCCGCCAAATTTGCTGATGGTAAACCTATGCAACCTAGGCACATAATCTGACCCATTGAACGCAAGGCTGATGCAGTTGACGGCGAAACCATCCAGGGCTGGTGTTCTGTCTTCCTCGCTTTGCATCATGTCTATTAAGGGCTCTCGCCCTCCAGTAAAGCTTATGACCCTGTAGGCACGCATCTCACTCGATTGATCAACAACGATGAGCCCATGATCAAACAAATGCCATAGGTCCCCATATTCTATGTGTGTTGCGGTGCCTTCCGCTATGCTGTGTCTCAGGTCGAAGGTTGGTTTGAGGTGAACGTCGATGAATTGAACCAGAAGTTTCAAGTCCTGAAGGAGATCTTCGTCTTCAAAGTCAAGATCGTATGCACCGACAGAACGTTTTTTGGACTCTGTGTGTGGTGAATTCAGAGCCTTCTTTTTATCCAATTCTGATTGCAGGTCCACAAAGCTCTGCCTGATTCGTTTCTCGTGTTTGACGAACAACTTGAACGGGCGAAGAAATACCGTTCCTGGATACAGCATTCGGTCGTCGTCGTCATTTCGGAAACCTACCTCAACATCTTCCCCAGTTACATTCTCAAGATGTTGAAGCAGTGGGGGTGATCGTATCCTCAACTTCTCGGGAGTTTGGCTTGCAGTAAGATAAGGATCGTCTGACTTATCAGACCTCAAGTCTAGTTGCTGCTGTGCCGCCAGTTTGTCGGGATCTATGGAGACGAGAATTTCCAATACCGGACGTTCTTCTACGGGCGTATTGTATGTCTGATGTGTAATCTTGAATCGATCGATCGTAGACCGCCGAATCTCCCGCTTGTGGACTGGAAATAACATTCGCGATTTACCTGCGTTTGGATCTTCTGGGTTATTGTGCACATGATGTTTCAACTTTTTGAGTTCCTTCTCTAGTTCGTCAATACGGGTGTGCGTTAGTATCGAATGAATCAATGCTTGGCTGGACCGAACATCAACACTGCCACTTTTTCTCTCTTTTTCTAGTAGTAGTTCTTTTTGTGAATGATGCCATTGCGCTCGGCCAACCTTTGAAGAAACCTCTATCGGGTATTCCGGTTGGCTCGGAAGAGGTCCTTCCTTGAATATGTCTTCGATGATAGTGATCTTCTCCCCGACTTCACTACACGGTGTGGCCGGATCTTTCTCCGAATAATCGGCTATGTTTGGTTCGATTCGTTTGTCGAGGCATTTCGCTCCATCTTGACAGTCAGAGAGCTCTGGAGACTTTTGCCACAGTGCCGAGTCTGCCATGGTGAAGCGCCCGCAGAGGTGTGGTAATGTGCGAAGCGAAGGAAAATGGCGACGGTACGAAAACCAGCTGTCTGCAGCCTCGCCTCACTTCTTGGTACAAAATAAGCGCCCGGAAAGCAGCATCCACCAACATGCATAAAACATGCAGTGTGACCTGGCTTGCAGGCTCCGCCACCACAAACAACCAACTGCGAAGCTCTCTAGAGTAGGTACAGTGAGATAGTGTGCAATCTGCTCAGCCCAGCCTGTCCAATGATTCGGTGTGCGGCATTAAGCGTCGAAGTAATTCCCCGTCAATTTTTGCTAGAGTGTGCCCAGCATAGCTACATACATATAGGTACCTATGTGACCACAGTCCTACCCTACTTACGCCCGAGTGATCCAAGACCTGATCGTCATTTTCCCCCAGACAACCTCAAGTATATTCTTGCGCATAAAACTCCATAGGGCTCCCCAAATGGAAGAAATATCTTCAAGGAATGAATACCTCAATTCTCGTGACCGTCATCCCAGAAATGAAGCAGTTCGATTCATCGAAAACAGAGTGACGCTAACAGAGCAAGCAAGTCAAGTCTACAGTGACCGTCTGAACAGCTTTATCCCTATCCAAGAAGCCATAAAACAAGATAAGATCAGGCACGTTGAGGCTTTACTATCAGTGAACCCAAATAACACGAAGTACTAAGACTGACTAGTGCTGAGCTTTGGAAAGAAGCGGATGAAGAGAAAAACCGACTGTTCACCATGATCGAGAAAGTTCAAGCGAAACTGGCGAAGAAGGGCTCGGGTTTCTCGGCCAGTGGATGCTTAGATGTTCGACAATGCCACTGGAAGGACGTCTTGCAAGAAGTAAACGAGACTGCAAGGCGATGGTCAAGCGCGCCAAATCGAGCATCTCAAACGATGCTTTATATTGATAAACTTGGTAGAAACTCTGCTGTCTTTGAAAGTTGGCTGCAGCTTCTCCCGGCCGGGGATTACGGGTCAAGGTATGATCAGTCTCAACATACCATGCTAGCATAATTCCTGAATGATAGCCTACGTGCTTTTAGTATATGCGGCGTTTTCAAGATTGCGATTGGGGTAAGGATGCATCAAGTACACTTTGGGTTCAGGTGCACTAATCATACTTAACAGGCGGCAGGTCAATATGTCAAAGTTGAGGAAGCTATTTTTGGCGCACTCGCAGAGATTCCAGAGATCATCCAGGGCGCTCAAACTTACGTCAAAGTATATTCAGACCGTCGACCTCAAGCATTGGAGAAGAAGACTTTCGATTTGTTTCTTGCGATTCTAAGGTCTCTTACACACATCATGCAGTTCTTTGCAGAAGGATCAATTAGTATGCGCACTCAAATCACGCCAGACTCTATTTCTCCTTACTTACTTGTGTGATGCAACAGGAAAATCATTTGAGTCCGTATTCAAACAGGCAGAGTACAAGTCTGCGTTACTCAAAAGCATAGACGAGATTAGAAAACAAGCATCTCGGATCAAAGACGAAGCACAGCAATGTCTGGCATGGGCAGTGAAGGAGCAAAGTTTGGTCGTGAAATCAATGGATACCAAGATGAATAGAATCGAATCAGTGGACAACAAAATCGATAGAATTCTAGGCTCACTCCAGAGATTACTAGAGCAGCGGATGCCTATTCCAATCACACAAAACGGTAAGATTCCATTCATGAATTCGATGACAAAATTAATGGATTAATGTATAGCGAACCAAGAACCCGTTATTGAACAACTAGAAATGCTGAAAAGGCTTCACCCCCAACTACAACAAAGCACATCTAAACAGATTCCGTGCTTGGGATCGATTTCAAAATCGATCGAAGCAAAATCTTACCAGGAACAAGAGAAGACATCGACAGAGACCGCATTGAAGTTGCTCAAGATCATTGAATATGACCCTGGAGCTATCCAAAAGGACATCGAGAGTTGCGTTCAGCTCGAATTGCGACTTGATGAGCAACAAAAATCCCTAGCGGCCGCAATGGTGCGGCATAGCGGATACAGGGCTCATATGGCTGAATCAAGGTGTTCCACGGCGCTACTAGTCAATGGTCGAGCTGACTTAGCATCTGCAGACAGCCTTTCCCCGTTGACGCTGGTGGCGGGCACGTTAGCACAAGCTTCCAGAGATGAAGATTCAGTTTTCGTCCTCTGCTACTTCTGCAATAACCACAGACCAGATTTCATGCCGTCCATCGCTGCATCGTCAATTGGACTTTTATCCAGTCTTGTCGGACAGCTCATCCAGCAAATGCTGAGCAGGGGCATGGCTATAGATCTATCATCTCTAGAGCCTCATGAGTGGAAGAAAATCCAGGGTCTGGAGCTTGATGTCTTATGGAAGGCCTTTCGGAAGCTCACATCGCAGCTACCTAGCGGCAGTGTCTTGATTTGCATTATTGATGAAATTAGTCGATTCGAGACGGCAAGCCTTTCCGAGGACACGGATCGGCTGGCCAGACGGCTTACTAGGCTTGTTCGAAACAGTGACAGCATTGTCTTCAAGTTGCTATTCACATGTCATGGTCGAGCATTGGGGGTATCCCAATACTTCACGGCCCATACGATTGATCTGAGAGAGGATACTGAGCCAGATGACTCATCAGGCTGGTGGATCAAAATGGGGACTTCCAATACACTTGGGTGATTCCGTTAGTTGATTTTGGTCATGTTGAATAGTGACTGCGATTCCCCACGTTTGGCAGGTGCCATTGCGATTTGTGGAAGTTCCAATGAATAGCTCTATTCATGTATACTTCAATTGGACTGCCATTAACCCTCCCTTCCCTTTCTTTACTCTACCACGCAGGGATCTCGCCCAAATGTGACCGTGACGAGATCAGACAATTCATTCTTGATAATGTTGTACGCCTTCTCTGCCTGATGTCTGTAGGCACAGAAGCGCCATTCTAGCCGGTGGCTGCCATCTTCAAGAACCGTGGTGATACATCTATCAGTTTGCCAATACATCCCAGATAGTCGCAGATAATGAGCTAACGCTGACTCGCAAGCCCAGCATGATTTACCTTCCACGATCAAGACTCTAGTATGTCCAAGCAAGCCTTCGCGGGGCGGGCAACAGTTTTCATCGACTCGGACTAGCGCCTCTTGCCCCCGAATCATCAAAGAGCTCTGCTTGGTTCGCCAGAGCATCACACGTGCAGCTTCTGGAGTAAAGAATCCAACCGATGCTGCAGAGTTCGGCCGATCTTTCTTCGGTCGCATTATCGACAGAAAGTTGACTTTGTCGAGATTCTTTAGTTGATCGAAAATTTCCCACGGCTGCACGTCGGGCGCAAGATTCGTGATGAAGACAGCACAGTTCTTACTGGGTTCAATGTGGCGGGCAGCTTCACGTCGTGCAGTGTGTGCGCCTTGGTATGCCGAGTCACGGAGTGCTCGTCTCTCTACCAGATCTCTGTCTTCTTGTCGTTCGCAAATGACCATGGTACGAATGAATTCAATGACTTCTTTAATGTCGCAGTCTTCATGTATGGTGCTTCCACTTTGGCCTAGATAGATATCCTATATCAGCGAATATTCACGTAAGTCTCATCCGAAGCACATACTGATGTCCATTGTACTACTGGGTGGGGTATCCGTAGGTACGCCAGGGGTGGGGGCAGACTCACTGCCAAAGGTTGAAATCGATGTTTCGTTCTGATTCATGGTGGAGGTGGTGGTCTTGCAAATTGGCGCAGCAACATGATGCTTGTCCATCTTTGGAGCAGATGACACTGGTCTCATCTAGTGGGTATCGAGATCTCAATACAGCTGACTAGGTAGATACTGCGCGCATTGAAGTCAGAATGGAAAGTACTAGGTTGCTTCAAGATGGTGCTTCTAGCAAAAAGAGGAATGGTCAATATCGCACGGATCCACGCCAGTGGAATGAGAAATAGAAAGTCAGGCTGATTGTTTGTGGTATCAAATGATTGTTCTACCAACTCTAGGTGTTGGATTGTCCTGTCTGAGGTTCACTTCCTAGCCGTTTTCCGAGACTGCTGGAAGTTTCGTTTGTTGTCTAATACGAACAATAGTGATTCGTAAAACTTACATTGTCGATTATCGATCGTCCGCCGCTTACTGCGCTGTATAGGCTTGTCTGTACTTCCCTTGAGGTCTTGATGGGTTAGGTGTACTGAGGCGATAGGCCATTGCCAGAGGGTAGACTCTTAACAATATCAGCCCGCCCATATGAGCCAGGGGTTACAAGGTCACTTTTCCACTTCGCTAGAGCCTGATATTTGAGAAGGCCCAATATTAGCAGGAAAGTCGATGATGATTATCCAGCAATTAACACTGGGTCCAAGTCGCAATCTGAGTGCGCTGTTCATTCTCTCTGGCTTTTCTCACAACGTATAAATCGTGAAGAGAATGTCTCGATATCCAGGTTACTTTAAAATAGAATGGACTGAACGTCGATTATTATGTAGTCACAGTTATTGCTTTGATCTGGCCATCTAATGACGAGTTCGATAAGCTTTGCAAGGTCTCGGTGAGTGTCAGCCCCGTAATTAACGTGTGCCTGCATCCAAGAAGTTACGTGATCTTGTTCCTCATGATTTCAAAAGGTGAAATGTTGAGGACGAAAACGACCGTAGGGCTGTGGTCATAAAGTCTGATAAAGAAAAGATCAGCTCATGCGAATGGCTAATAAGTAACGACACATCGGGCTCCTTAACTTAACTACGGAACTAATTTTGTGTTTTGAGTCTCTCTTGCTGCTGTCCGAGGCAATCCGTGTTTGATTCAGCTAAACATGTGGATCTACACTGTAGTTGAGGGAGTCATCGTCATGAATTATCCCCACCATGCAAAACAGGAACAAGCACATCACAGTGACACATGCACTATACCTGGTGATTGGATGCCGAAGAAATGCCGTCTTGTAAGTGCTCTAAATTAAGGAGCTCAGTGAGGTATGATGCAATACGGTCTGACCAGAGTACTATCATTAGAATGGAACATGGGTGAATGATTGTTTTTGTTTTGAGGCGAGGCTGGATCTTCAATGCCTTGAAGTCATTTCTGTGCATTAGCATGCCAAACTCAGTGTAAGCCATAATTCCCCCATTCCGAGGCCCGTCTGCCCAATCGAGTGAGCCCACGGGTCATTGAAGGCACTGTTCTCTGATTAAAACTAGTCTCATGAAGACTTCGACCCTAGTAGCATAGTATAGTTGACCTGTGTTGATTCAAAGGGAGCCGAGGTTCAACTAGCGGGATGCGGAGAACCCATGCACCACAGCGCGGGGGCGCATCCGGGGTAGAGCAACCACATCATGACCGGCATGGGTTCCACGCGTTGATGTGCCAATGAGAGTCGAGCATCTCTCGAAAAGCCGGGGATTTTGCTGTCCATTCGGGGCGTGCATTGCAATCCGCGGCTTCGAGGAGTGCTGATTTATGATGTATATCAGCTTTCCAATAACCATGGCGCTTCCCATTCCCACACAAGAACCGAGCCATGACGACCTTTCTCCAGTGTGTTGTAATGCTCTACTAGATACGTAGAGCTGTCCGAGACTTAGTACAGGCACCACTTTGGTCGGAGCATCGACGAACTTCGTCAAAGCCAATCCAGTCGAGTCGAGCACTAGGCTTGGCACGCTATTGACGAAGACCGACACGCCACCCGGCGGAAATATCCCCTTGATATACTGTGGTACAATAAGCAGACCAAGATGTCGCCCTGCCGTCCTATCCGCATCGGCAATTGCTCCGGCGCGATACCCGACCCGGGCGACATCATGCTAACCCAGGCCACGGCGGGGCCTCTCGATGTGATCACAGGCGACTACCTGGCGGAGGCCAACTTGGCCTCGTACGCGGAGGCGCACGCAACAGGCACCCATCCGGGCTGGGTTCCATCGGCGTGGGACGGGCTGCAGAAGTCACTCGGGGCCATCAATGAGCGGCGCATTAGGATCGTCATCAATGGCGGGGCAATGAACCCCAAGGGCCTGGCACTGGAAACGGCAAAATTGGTCCGAGAGAAGGGGTATGATCTCAAAGTTGCCTGGGTGGATGGCGACGATCTGATGGGCACGGTCAGGGAGATACTGAAGCCGGACGGGCGGGGACGGTTGCCGCACCTGGATGGCCACAATGAGGCTGTCCAGCTTGCGCACGGCACCGAGAACTTTCTGGAGGACCCGAATAAGAAGATCGTGGCGGCGAACGCCTATCTCGGCTGCCGAGGCATCCGGAGGGGCCTCGACGAGGGCGCCGACATCATTATATGCGGTAGGGTCGCGGATGCATCCCCAGTCATGGGCGCGGCGGCTTGGTGGCATGGTTGGAGGGACGAGCAATTCGACGAGCTGGCGGGCGCCCTGGTCGCGGGCCATCTGATCGAGTGTAGCACGTACGGCACGGGTGCAAACTTTGCGGGATTTGACGAATACGACACCAAGGCCCTGCTCAACCTGGGTTGCCCCATCGCGGAAATCGATGCCAAAGGCGACTGCGTGATCACGAAGCACGAGAGGTTGAACGGATATGTCACTGAGGAGGTAGTCAAGTGTCAGCTGTTATACGAGCTGCAGGGCACCACCTATCTGAACAGCGACGTGAAGGCAGATATCAAGGACGTGACGGTGCAGCAAGTTGGGCCAAACCGCGTTCATGTCACGGGCACGAAAGGGCATGCACCACCACCCACAACGAAGCTGGCAGTGTTCTACAAGGGCGGCTACCAGGGGGAGATGACGATCAACGCCACCGGTTATGCCACGGAGTTGAAGTATGACCTGCAAGAGGCACAAGTCCGGAGCAAGCTTGAGGAATGGGGCATCATGAAGAAGATTGATCTGCTTGAGTTCCAACGCGTCGGGGTACCAGAGCTCAACCCGAGGAGTCAGCTGGCGGCCACGAGCTATCTGCGGATATTCGTACAGGCTGCCCAAGCCGACACCATCAGGGCCGTACTGTATGGCATTACCTACAATTTCATGCAGCATTTCCCAGGTCTGAACTGCTCGCTTGACTGGCGGCTCATGGACCCGTTGCCATACTTGGGCTTCTTCCCGGCCCTGGTCAAGCAGGACCAGATACACGAAGCAGCGAACTTGATTGAAGGTGGCGGTGCGAGCGCGAGGAGATGCGAGGTCGGTCCGCCGGCCAGGACTGAGGAGCTGAGCCCCCGGGATGACTACGATCCGGTGTCGCCACGCGACCTGAGAGACTTTGGCCCAACGAGGAGTGTTCCATTCGGAGACGTCGCGCTGGCCAGATCGGGCGACAAAGGGGCGAACGTCAATGTCGGCTTCACGCCGAGGGCGCATCTCAACAACCCGGAAGTGTGGGAATGGATGCGAAGCTTCTTGACCAAAGCCCGGATCAAGAAAATGATGGGTGACGATTGGGAGGACTGGTTTCACGTAGAGCGCGTCGAGTTTCCTGGCATACGAGCTGTACACTTCGTGGTATACGGTGCACTCGGGAGAGGGGTGAGCAGCTCGGCGCGACTGGACAGTCTGGGTAAGGGGTTTGCTGAGTTCCTGCGGTTCGTGCATGTGCCCGTACCTACCAAGTTCTTGCTCCGGAATGCAACAACGAGCAAGTTATAGGGGGGCCATGGGATGTGGTTCTCTTGGACAGTGTGGGGTTGGTGGCACGCTCATTACTGCACCGACGATACCAGATGGCTGTATTGGGATATATCATCTGAACACTCTTCTCCTGAAGTAGTCTTGTACACTTGAATCGCCGTTAAATTGCAACACCGGAGATGGTGGCAGTCCCAGTCACCGTATTCTAAATCCGTATTACAACAGACCCTGCTTCTGCAAGTCATAATACACCTTTTCAGGCATGACATTACCGTCAGCGTCCTCCATTTGCACCACACTGCCATCGTCGACCTTGCCATGCTTCTTGTCCTTCTGAATCTTCTCCCATAACCTCGTAGCTTCGTCGATTGCGGTGATATCACGGAATAAGGCAGTGTTGGTGACGCCGAGACACTTCAGGCCATAGATATGCCGTGCCTCGTTGAAGTGCTTATCGAACGCCCTCCTGCCCATGTATACAAAGTTGCCGCAGATCTCGCATGGGAACTCGACGCCTAATCCGTGCAGCTTATATAGCCAGAATGGGATAGGCTTGCCGTCCCAGGCCAGTGGTAGCTTGAGCGGATTGTAGATCTTCTCATCGTCGTCCTCTTCTTCGCCCTCGTCGTTGTCCGCAGCTTGGGCAGCAGCACTGGACTCGTTGAAAAGGTTCTCGAGCTCTTGCTGACGCTCACGCTCTGTCATGCCCTGTTTGCGCTCCACGTTGACTCTGGTGTCGCTGCGCTCGGTGCTCATGGCGGCGGCAAGCTTCTTCACCCGAAACTCCCTCTCAGCAATCGCACGCTCCTTCAGCCGGGTCGGAGATGGGCCGCCTGGCTGAGCACCACCTGAGCTAGTGTCCTCGCCCGACTCTTCTATCCGTCTCTTCCGCTCCGCTGCGGCTCTGACGTGCTTCTTTCCGGGCAGATGTCCCTTGTAGACGTTATCGTTCTTGAATTCCTTCTCGCAGTCCGGACACCAGACTGCGTCGGCGCTGCTTGTCTGATGCGCCGCACCTGCCGAGTCCCCAGTTTCCAACTTCCACCCCTCCACCCCGTCCTTGTCCCACGCCTCTTCGAACTCCTTGTCGAAATCGGCCAGTACTCGGTCGACGTTCTCCAACGGCCGCGTCCTCCGCATGAAGGACTCGAGGTATTGTGCTATCCCACCAACATACTGGAAATACTGATCGGTCAGCTTCTCGGCACGCTTGGGGCCACCGGCGCCGGGATTGAAGTTGTCGAACAAGTCGAGGTACTGGAGATAGCTTAATCGTTTCGGGTTCGGGAGGTTCAGGTAGGACTCGTGGCAGGTGTGCAAGTCAAAGAAGCGACCGTAGGCCTCCTCGCCCGTGAACATGGAGTCCACGAGACTGCTGGCGGGGTCTTCACCAATCGTCTTCTTGGGCTTGTAGGCACGCTCGAGGTTTTCGACGGGCTCGTTGGGGTATCGCGCATGAAAGGACTTGACCTCGCCTAGCTGCTTGTAGAACTCGTCCATGGGGTCGCCGGTCCCGATCTGCTGGATCTCCTTGGAGCGCGTGCCGTCGGCATCCTTGTAGAGCGACAGCAGCTTGTCCGACTGCGCGGATATGCGATCGAGGAACTGGGAGATCTGGTGGTCGCGCGTGAGGCGGTCGTGGATGGTCCTGGGCTCTTCGCCGATGCGGTCGGCAATGCCCTGCTCGAGGCGCTCCAAATCCTCGTGGAGGAAGCGCTGCTCTTCCAACAACATGGTGTCCGGGCCCGGGTCTCAGTCCGAGTTCAAGTTCGAGGGAGTTAAAAACAAGGACCAGGACTTCCCAGAGGCTGCGGCGTTGATGTTCTGGGGCCGTATTCTTCAGGCCTGCGATAAGGCCGTGCGAGTGTGGTGTCGAGCAGTCTCGAGGCTGAGGGCGAAATTTAGGGAGGCTTTGGCCATTATTTTCGCCACGCCCAATCAGCGCCCGTCGCCCGACCTACTTCCACCGCAATTCTGGGGAAACGCGCGCCGGCTCCACCAAAATTTTTGGCAGCCTCACTCACCTCGTCCCATCTCATCTCATCACCCCGTTACTGTCCATCCTAGCTGCAACCATTGTCCTGACTGGCACCGGGAATACGACGTGGCCCCAAGCATTGCGGCATCCCCACCCTCTGACTGTGAGACCCAGCCCAGAACCGCCCCAGAGTCGTCAACATGGCTGAAGGCGGAGGCATCGATCGCCGCGCCGATGAGAAGATGGAGTTCTCGACCTCCAAGGAGGTCACGGTCCATCCCACCTTCGAGTCCATGTCGCTGAAGGAGAACCTCCTTCGCGGCATCTACGCCTACGGCTACGAGTCCCCCTCGGCCGTCCAGTCGCGCGCCATTGTCCAGGTCTGCAAGGGACGTGATACCATCGCCCAGGCCCAGTCCGGAACGGGAAAGACGGCCACCTTTTCCATTTCAATGCTCCAGGTCATCGATACCGCTGTGCGCGAGACCCAAGCACTCGTCTTGTCGCCCACGCGAGAGCTGGCAACTCAGATCCAGTCGGTAGTCATGGCTTTGGGTGACTACATGAATGTGCAGTGCCACGCCTGCATCGGTGGCACCAACGTGGGCGAAGACATCCGGAAGCTTGACTATGGCCAGCACATTGTCTCTGGAACCCCGGGCCGTGTGGCCGACATGATTCGGCGCCGCCACTTACGCACTAGACACATCAAGATGCTCATCCTAGATGAGGCCGACGAACTTCTTAACCAGGGGTTCCGCGAGCAGATCTACGATGTGTACAGATACCTCCCACCCGCGACCCAGGTTGTCGTCGTGTCGGCCACGCTCCCCTACGATGTGCTCGACATGACCACCAAGTTCATGACTGATCCCGTCCGTATCCTCGTCAAGCGTGATGAGCTGACTCTTGAGGGTCTCAAGCAGTACTTCATCGCTGTGGAGAAGGAGGACTGGAAGTTCGACACTCTCTGCGACTTGTATGACACACTCACCATCACGCAGGCAGTCATCTTCTGTAACACAAGACGCAAGGTCGACTGGTTGACCGACAAGATGCGCGAGGCCAACTTCACGGTCAGCAGCATGCACGGTGATATGCCTCAGAAGGAGCGCGACAGCATTATGCAGGACTTCAGACAGGGCAACAGTCGAGTCTTGATCTCTACCGATGTCTGGGCTCGCGGTATCGATGTCCAGCAAGTCAGTCTGGTCATCAACTACGACTTGCCCAGCAACCGTGAGAACTATATCCACCGCATCGGTCGTAGCGGTCGTTTTGGCCGCAAGGGTGTGGCCATCAACTTCGTCACCAGCGAAGACGTACGCATCCTGCGTGATATCGAGTGTAAGCATCCTCCCCGCAATCATAGCGGACTGCTCTAACGTCAGTAGTGTACTACTCCACTCAAATCGATGAGATGCCTATGAACGTAGCAGATTTGATTTCCTAGTCGGTTCAAAAGTAAGGGAACAAGGATGTATCAGCTCGAGCAGCACGACTCGTCCAGTCTGTGTAAGATGAGCAAGACAGAAGTGGGAGGAAAAGGGCATGGCGATTTACAAGTTGGTCCACCTCTCAACCTATGGAACGATAGAGCTGCTGCTAACTCCAGTGAACCCAGATCAGATTCCAGAATGAAGCCATCAGAACTCCCCCATAAAAATGTCGTGTATAATTGTATTTACATGCGTCCAACGTCTATCTGTCTAGCTTTATACATTACAAGCGAGTGAAATGTTTCCTTCGCGCATGCAGGCTTGAACATCCAATGATCGGGCGCCAGGCCAGGTCATCCATCCTCGAAATTCAAGGAAGCGTCAAATTCCATTCAAGGACGATGCGTTTCAAGACCACCAAACCCGAGATCTGCGATCGGAGCTCGGCCTGAAGTACCTTGAAACCGGACGCGATGGTCTCTCTGCACCGTTGACTGGATGCGCTTTGAGAGGTTGCGGACCATCTTGGGGCAGACCGAGGGTATCCTTGCTTCCTGTAGCGAACGACATCGTCAATCTTCGATGTTCACCAAAATCGATGTTGAGGAAGTTTAGGATCCTCGAGTCCCGCATCGCTGGAGTTGGCCGCATCGGTGTGACTATTGCCGGCCGTTCATTCTCTAAAGTCTCCTGGTCTAGCAACATCCTTGTGCGGTGCGAGGGAAATAACTTGCGGTAAAGCGGCTTGAGAGTTGTTACACACGCGCAGACGATCGCCAGGTTCAGCTCCACGCATGACCAATTTGCCAGGGGGGCGAGGTCGCTTGTGTAATTCCTTGAGCGCCCCAAACTCCAAAGCCAGACGATGCGAAGGGTTGCTATGATGCAGACACTGTCGAATATTAGCTGCAGTACTTTCTCGTTGATCCAGACGCGACGTACAAGAGTCCTCCAGTGAATACAGCCAAGAGTCCCAATTTCTGCGTCCGCGGTAGGGTCAATCCAAATATAAGGGGGGCGGGCAACAGCAGGATCAAGACATCTGATCCGGTGTTGAACCCCGTCACGGCCCACCACAGGGATCGTGGATGACAATATCCTGCGATATTCGGATCCCAGTATTTATGGATCGGGATACAGGCTGTCATGATAACAGCGAAAATCCCAACGGTGACGATGACCACAGTAACAAGTATCACCAGCGTCGCCCGCCGGAAACTTTCATAGGTGAGAGCGCGGACGTACAATAAGAGGATCGAGATCTTTGTCGCAGCTAGTGAAAGGTTGTAGAACAGCGTGGTGATCCATTCGGCCTACTCCCCGTCAGCCAGGACCCTGCAGTCATTCTTCTTTACTCACCCGGCGGTATGCTGCAATCTGGTCGTCGCTCACGGTGTCGAGGGGTTGTCCCAAGGCCCAAGCCGATTCTACTCATTCGTGAGCTTTGTGTAGCATACTTGATTCCCATTTGCCTACGAGCGATGGTCCCAGCGGAATTCGCCGCCGAAAATAGCAGTGCAATCAAGATAAACCAATCTTCAGCTCCCGTCATGCCAACAAGATATCTTCGCGTATAGAGTCGCATGAACACGATCATACCTGCTACGAGCACAGTGGCTGTGGCGCAGGCCAAGATGCCAGGGCTAGGCGCGGCCACATTCTGCATGTTGAGGGGCACCTGATTCTCCGGGGCAAAATATTCGATCTCAAGGCCGGCTTGATAGTCTTTTGAGTCCAGCTAGACGCCGCAAGAAATAAAGGAGTCACGTCGCACCGTTCTGGCCGTGTTCAAAAGATATAACAACATTATTCTCGGGGCTATCACCGCCGCCAATTAGATCCAACGGTCCGTACTGAGGCCGCGTAGTCCCATTCGTGACAGTCGCGACGCTATAGTGAGACATCCCGCGAACTATGAGCGGCTGCAACATGTTTAATTCGATGCGGTCATCGACCAATCAAGTCCCTAGCCTACGGTTGATCATTCGAGCCCCGCCTCGACACTTTCATCAACAACACAGCTTTCGCAGTATTTCCTCTCCAAAAGATGCTCTCTCTGTGTCCCCACGTGAAGTTGGCAGAAATCCGACGCTACCTTGTATTCTCGGATTCATACAGGCCATCCGGCTTGGGGTTGGCACGCCCCTACGATGCTATCTTGGAGACTCATGTCATGGCGTGGCTCCAACGCGCACACTCAAGGCCCTGGTTGAACCCTATTTCCACTGCGCACTGGCTTGTCTCAACCACGATGGATTTAAGTCGCCACTTTTGTAGACCGCGGTTGGATCTAATTTGTTCGATAAGCCGGCCCGGTCTTCCATCGCGCAACTCACACCCACTCTGTCACAAAGTCAGCGTGGTTTGATAACTCCCGAACAGAATTCAAAGTTCTCCAATCGCCAAAGCTGCCTCCGGGCATATCTCCGGGGGCTCAAAGACAGCTAGGCAGTTGACAACAGGCTTATGATCATAGTGCGTCTCAAGCCTCCCACCTCCGTACGGATGTCCCATGGTGATCGAATGTCGAATGATGGAACTCCACAACTTCAATTGGATGCCTGCGACTCGAGGGGATCTAGGCACGTGACTACGTGTATGTATTCCGGTAACATCTGCCTCGCCGGGCGTTATCAACCACTTGGATTCTCCCACAGTCACACCCTCGGAAAGCTTTGAAACTCGTGGCTGTTGAAACTGTATACACCGTACAGTTAACATGACTCCATGTGTTAAAGACTGTCACACAAAGCTTTTACACTGGCAATGTTCACATAAACTGATACGTACTTCATATGCTACGATATATGGGTTCACATTCATAGCGTGGCTCAGTGAACTCGCGGTTCATTCGGGTCATTCCTATTGTACGCGATTCATGTAGGAGGCCGGTGCGCTCAAAGGGATTATTTGAGGCATACCCCCCTATAATACAAGCCCGACTGCCCTATCTCCCAACAACGCCTAGGTTCAAAGCCCTTCATTGCATGAAATTATATCTATTCTCCTATAGTGCCACTCTGCACGAGTGACATCACCATGGCCTTCAGCCTCAACTTCATTGATAACAACTCGCACGGCTGAAGGGCCGACGGTGTGGACATATTCAGACTTGAAGTGGTCGGATATTCCATATATCCTGTTCAAAAAGTGAAGTGTCTCCAATCTATGTTCAAACAGCTCCAATTCTACACAGACTTCGTTTGGTGTACGCTATGCACATAGGCTCAATTGTGGGTGTCTGGTGTCATCAGCCGTGCGGCTTCAGAGTCATTTCCTCGGCGACAGTCGAGTTCATCGACGACCGAGGCGACGATGCCTCGTCATGCGGCCCTGTCGCACTTGGATGTCTAGGCCGGAACTCTGCGGGCCTTGTGTGTCCAGCGCAGACCCCTTGGGACCGCCCCGGCGATCACGAACAGGACAGTTCTGCTCACATCGCGCGAACGGTCACGTCTCTCCTGTCAACCTTTCACCCACTCTCACCTGAACGACTTGTTGAGGACAGGAACGACAACAAGCTAGCCTTGCGTCTGTTCACCACTGGTCGTGGATGTTATTAAACCCAGCCATCTCTGAGAAGCCAAACCGTTCCTCGGTCGTCCTTTTGTTCGCCGGACAAGTATCTGATCTCAGCTACGTGAGTTTCTCTGCCCCAAAATCTCTACTATCCTGAATCTAACCCCAAAGATCAGCTTCAAGATGGCTTCTCCGGGTGACAAAGGTGATGATTCGCGCGGATCGCCAGTACGCACCTCCGTAGACAAGTGGGCGACTCAGATGGACATGTTTGGGAACTACGTCCTGTCTGGAACTACCAGAGGCCAATCCACAACAGAGACTGAGCCGGATATGCAGCGTATAGGCGAGAGTATCTCCAGAGAAGAGGACGCTTCAGATGGAGAGGAAAGTCGAGAAGCCCGCCAGCAGCAGCACTCGAGCCTCCCGTCTTCTCCAAACATCCCGTTTGCTTCCCTCCCTTCGCCCGTTCCAGCCCCATCAGACGTTCCGAGCACCACGCTTGCGCCAGTCCTTCCGCCTGTTTCCACTATTTCAGCCCTTTCGACTGATTTCCTGGTGGCAACTCCCTCAGCCACTCCATCTACTCCGTCTCCTCCGTCTCGTCCCGTCCGGGGCCCGCCGCCTCCTCCGGCTGCTCGATATACCTCATCTGTTCCGGATCAGGCGGCTTATCAACGCGCTGTTTTGGCTACGGTTTCTTTGAACTTGCACAATATCTTGGGGGCCCCGGGTTATCCAGCCACCTCCAGAGCTCAAATTCCCGCTGGTGCTACCCCTGTCACAAGTTCTCAGACCAACAGAGGCCCTCTGATGGCTCCATTGGTTCCCAGTGTAACTGAACGATGGCAATATCAACCTCAGAGGCAAAGACATCAACCTCCTGGTTCTACCGGTGCCCAGAGCCGCTCCCAGCAGTCCACAGAGCGTGAGCGACGCTACCATGATGCGCCCTCTAGACGCAGTACCATCTCGCCATACCAGGTCCCTGTAATCGGAGCCCGAGGCCCGCTGTCGACGTCGCAGGCGACCTTGGACTTCCTGGGCCCGGCTACAAATCACGATAGCCACCCGCACTACCCCATGCCCCTGGCACCTCAGCCCAGGGTCGACCAACGATCCGGATCTGGCCAATCTTCGGACCGTCCTTTGGGGCACCAGAACAGCCAGTCATTGCAGTCCACTCACTCTCTGACTGGACCCCAAGCCCGCCAGCAACTGACTGACAACCGTGGCTGGGAGGGCCACGTTGGTTCGGGCAACAACAACCAAACTGAGCCGCGCAATGAACGACAGGGAAGCAGCTAATTTATTTGATGCTGAATCAATCGTTCCGCTACCTGATTCTATGTCTTTACAGTATTTTCTACTCCTGTGGTTTCTTCCATCCACTTCATTCTTTGTATTTCTTCGGCTTTAAAGTCCATAATAATAAACCTTCTTTCCTAAGTCATATTCAAACTACAAAGCAGATTGTATCCAGCAGGAGTTTCAATTGGATGTTGTTGCTGCATAGCCAAGTTTGTCTTTGAGACGTTCCTATGTTCTGTTCTGAAAGCTGACCCGTGAACTTCACTGTTATCTAGAAGAATGAGATAGCCGTCCGACAAAACAACACTTGGAAAGGAATCAGGAGATTCGTTTTCTCCCGCGGACGCAGCCAAGCTAATAGTCCAAACACGGCGATGATGCTATAATCCAACGTGGCAGTCCCCGCGAAGGAACTGCCGCTTCCGCGCGGCGACATCACCCGTGAGGCTTCAGCTGCAATATCGGCGCCACTGGCCCCGATCGCCGCAACCACCGAATGAATCGAAACGATACGGATTCATGGAAAAGCTTATGCGATCGCGAAAGAGAAGAGAAGATGATGATTCCAGAGCGCGCCGAAGCCCCCCTTTCCCCAACGCCAAGAAGGACCCGGGGGGCGCCTATCAGGAGTGGCACAGGTCGTGCCATCACGCAGTCGGCAATAAGGAGGACGCCATGGAGGCGAAAGGGGTAGTGATTGTGACATCACAGTCATGCTAGGATGGGAACTTTGAAGATACTGAGAAACTACAGCTCGTGTTTCAACAATGACATGCTCGCACGTTTGGGTCGCCGTTCTGTTGATCACTTTGTGTACATGCATTTTTCTATCTGTGTTGTGCCAAAATCGGCACAATTTCCCTGAGCTCGGCCCAGGAGTACGAGGGCGTATCACATCGTCAATTTCAACTGACCTCTGATACCCGACACGTTGCCGATGTCACCACGCGACCAGCTTCACGTGCCCTTTCCCACATTGAAACCTCTCCGAGTACAGCCGAAGCCCCATCAACATTGTGCCATTGAGGGAAACACAGCCAAGGCGATTGATGCCTACACCGGCAATCACTCGCCAAGGACCTGGCCGACTTGTTCGAAGACACGCGGCCCAAACCTATCGCCGACATAATAGCTCGCATAAAGGCTAAACTGCACCTTCGGGAAATTGCGTAAGTCATGTGCTTTTGGGAATCAAGAACACTTCAACGACTACATATACGAGTACTAGTCCACTGGTCATCCGTGCAGTGATTAATGGTCGTATGTCCAAGGTCATGTCACTTAGTCGCGGACGAAAGCCCATAATCAAATTGTGATAGCAAACAAAGAATCGAGAGAGATCCATATCTTTCCCTCTCTCACATCTTCATTATAATTGTAAGATATGTAGAATAGAAAGTGTTTACGGCGAAGCTTGCCGTACTTCAGTTAGCTTGACTCGCTCAAGCCCTGACGTATGTTTCGTTCCCATGGACGCGGCGGAAGCCGCCACAACGAGCGACATCACACTGTAGCTCCACCATTTTCTTCTGGTCTCCCGCCGGATCCTGCGACTCATCATCCAGGGTCCATCCGAGGAAGCCATTGGTATAGTTCGGCTCGAAAGCATCATCCAAGACACCCAGTCGTTTCCCGTACTTGGTGACCTTCTCCCAGTCCCTTTTGACGTTCTTAAGGTCGTGCGAGAAGTAGGCGAAGCTGCGCTCAAAGATCTTGCGGTTCAATGGCGTCCCCATGGTAGGCTTAAAATCGACATATTCATCCCATGCCTGCTCGGGCTGCGTGAGGACGAAGTCGGTGGCTTTCTTGATAGCTCGGAGGAATGAGCGCACTTTGTCAGGGTTCTTGTCAATGAAACTCTCGTTGCCAATGTACAAGATCGAACAGAAGCAGCAGCAGCCAAGCTCAGCAAGCTCGTCGATGCGCAACATTTGCACGTCGGTTTTGGGGCGCCCTTGTGCCGAGAGCCACTCCTCGAGCTCCACCATCTGGACGTTCTCAAGGCCAATGCCGGCATCGATTTCCCCCTTGATGATAGCCTTGGAGACATTCATCCCGCATCGGACAGCGGTGTATTCATCCGGGGACATGCCGTAGTGAGAGGTCAACTCGTCGATCTGAATTTTACCAAACTCACCGACGTACCCAATGCGCTTGCCCCTGAGAGATCGGAAGTCGGTGGTGATGCCCGAATCTTTCAGGTATACGACCCCTGTAAACGGTTCATCCAGGAGACTGCCAATGGAAACGACTGGGAAGTTTCTAGCTTTGGCCTATATAACAAGAATCAGTCTACAGCTTAACTGCGTCTCATGCAAATACACGAGACCTACAGCAAGGGTGTGAATCATGGCTTTGAAGCCCAAATCGACCTTTCCAGAGCCGATGATCTCAGTGACATCCTGCATTGGGGTCAACAAGGGTCAATACGGTTCTGCTTCTCTGAGGCAGGGAACCGACGCTAGGGTCATTTGGCTCGAGGAGCGCGACTTTGATGTCTTCGTCCTTGAAAAAGCCCTTGGCTTGCGCAAGGTAGAGCGGGGCATGGTATGGTGTGGCATGCCTGGGAGAGTTCAGCACACGTGTGTACGCTTGCTGACAGTTGCGTATGTGATCACTGACCAGTTGGTTAAGAAGGTGATCTTATCAGTCGACATGTTTGATGTTGAGCGTTATGCTAATGTAGTCAGTATGTAGACGCTGGCTGGCAGGAGGAATTTCAAAGATGCATGTCCTTTCGCTGGTATTACCCAGATCAAGTTCAACGGTACTTCTCAGATCAACTCGAGCCTCTCCACTCGCACTGAATGACTCTTCATCGATCCGGTGCGAGGGCTAGGACAAGTCAAACGCCCGTATGCTACTTTTCGCACAATACCTTGATACGTGGGATGATTCCATATTGAAAGATAACATCACTCTGAGGTTGATGTTCCGTACCGAAATACTTCGTCTGTTGCTTTAGGGTGTTGCTCGTGAGTTGGTAGATAGGAATTTTGGCCACATGGGATCCTTTGTCCACGTAGAGTGGCTTGCTTTTAAATGATCAGTAGCTGTGGGCTACGGATCCTCCTACTTCATAACCGAAGCTACCCGACGCTAGCAACCTGCGATCTCGCATCGTAACCCCTCTTTCACATGGTCTACTCGAAAGACCTGCATATGACATTGCTCGCTTTAGCCGGGTGATTGTGGGCCACCCGACTTTCTCATCATGATCCTATGGCACCTGCCAAGTCTGAACCGCCGGGGCGTAGGCCCGCGTGGATGGTGATGAATCGTCATTCAGCCATTCGAAGCTGCGAAGATGCATTTATAGTAATGTCGCCGACCCTTAACTGAATGCGCACGAGCAGTCTGGTTGGCATAGTTGCAACAGCGAATATGCAATCTTAGCTGGCTCTTTGATTCGGGATGGCAAGCTACCTGCATGTTGGAAGTGGTTAGATTGTAAAGCTCCACACCTACAAAGGTGATAATATGGCATATATTTGCGACATTATTAACCCTATATGGGGGTCTGGTCTACAAGATTTCATCACGTAAGGTTCTCATAGAGGCCCTGCTTAAGCGTGACAGGTTAACCCTCGTGCGACATTTTGAGCTTTATATTTGGCATGCACTATTCAATATTCGGCTCCTAAAACATCAAGCCTTGGACGACTTCTCTTGGGAGTTTGCATTCTCCTAAGAACTAGCGCCGAGAGGTTGCTAGAGCTTTTATGAACATTTGTCATTGATAAGAGTGCTATTCGGTGCAATGAGTGATTTATTACAGGTGGAGAGCGGTTTTATTCATGGCATCCACGGCGTACTGACCACCATGCTAGCTTATCTTCCTACACATCCGCCAACATTTGCCAGCATTTCCAGCTGAGCTTTGTCAGCTGGCACGGTCATCTGCTCCATACCCGTTTACCAAAACGTATCATACCCTGAATTGTTTCGCCTTTTTTCACTTTTCATTTTTTTTTTCTCTTCACTCAACATCTTGGGTGTTTTCAATGCTAGGCAACGCTACGTTAGGTACATAGGTAGATCAGGACAAATTCCTCAACCAAGTACAACTAGTTTGGAGATGGTTAGCGGGCTGTTGTCGATGGTTGACAGTCACCGTCATTGACATCCCCGAAGATTGAGATGCTAGATATGTCGAAGACCTCGTCGTTAAAGTTAATGAGGCTAATCTCAACATCTCTTATGAGGGCTGAGCTCCACGGAGCATCAGCAGGCCCGAGCACAACATTTTGACCTGAATGAGACTCCGGCGCATTGTCCTCGGCCTCCTCACATCCCATGTCGTTGATGTCGCCGAATACGGAGATGCTGGAGATGTCGAAAACTTCATCGTTGAAGTTGATTAGGGATACGCTGATATTGGAGATGAGAGGTGTAGTGGGAAGAGTAACAGGCCCGAACAAGGTTCCTTGCTCGACTTGACGACGTAGGATCTGAGTATTGCCGGGATTTCTGGTAGCTGAAACTGGGTATTGAAATAGCACTGAAGCTGAAGCGAGGAAAGTAATGAACATCATGTTGATCACGTTGTAGCGTTGTGACTTGATATAGGGTGATGTAGTATGATAGAAAATCGGCGAGACTTGTGCGTAACATAGCACAAGTCGCAAAATACTACTCTTTGATGCATGATGAAGTCTTATATACTTGAGGAAATTTCTATTTTTGTATGTGAACTTGCCAAGCAGAAGCTCTTGTGTCTACCCGGGTTCAATGTTTCGCTCAGCCTGATTCTGCCAATTTCTTTTCTTCCAATTTCTCTGGTTTCGGCATGGCACAGTTAGTAAGCGGGCGCCTTAATTGATTATATTAAAGTTTCACATAAGATGCTCTGGTTACCCAGGCTTGGCTTACAATGCAGCCTTCGTGTTGGGGCCTCGGGATAGGTGGATGAAGCCACGATATTGAGAAGTAGTCAGCCAAATTCTTGGCAGGCATGTGTGTCTTCATGATGCCAAGGTTCAATAGTTAATCAATGTTTGGAAACACCGTGACTAGTTGTGATGCATCCTTCTGATGGCTGTGTTCGATTGGACAGGTGATCCACGCCAAGCCTGGGCTGCTAGCCATTGCGACTTCAGCGGTGGACATCCGTCGTGGCATGGCAAAAGCGAGCTCAGCATTACCGTATTTGATCGAGGTTACGTACGTAATAGAAAGCTTCGGTTCAGCGTTCATGGGTAGTCTTAGGTATTATTTCACATTGCTGCAGCCTGTTCTGAACCATCTCTGGTCCTGCGATACGTTGAACAAAAGCACCTACCTCGTGAGTCTCCAGAGACCGGCTGTGTGTCATTGTGGCGGCGCTCTTCAAGATACGAAGCCCCGTGGTAAGTAGCTCCGACGGAGGTAAATGAGATCGAACGGTCATGGTCAAGAACCACAGAAATGTGAGCGGCATGCATGACTCGGCATGCAACTACCTTCCGCTTTAGTGATATTGGAGACAGGTTCAAGTGCTCGAGGCAAGAAACATCTGCGCTCCTTCCAATTAAACGTTCCCGTTACAAAGCTTCTCGATCGGAAAACCTGTCGCCCAAGTATAGTATTACAGGTGACAACTGTAGAAAGTGAGCAAGCAACTTGCTGAGGGCGTAGACGTCCACTGAACGATCAGCATCTGTGACATTGGCTTGTCCGGGTTCCAAGGGCATGAGATTGCCTAGCTTCCGGTGGGCATAACAGACTGATTTGCATAATAAATGTCCGTTTCATAGAAGAAACCTATGCTTGTTTGTGGGCTCTGTTGTTCATCACCTCCCGAAGCAGGTGCCGCGAATATTGGGTTCCTTTTCAGTACCTAGCTACCTCTGTACCTATTGTGGGGTTCTATGCGACACGGCCCGTCGCGTCCCCGTCAAGCCATTGATCGTAGTTCTATTAGACTTGGCCGTCGCATCACCCATGATGCATACAAATTACCAGCCGTTTGGTAATTCGCATTGTAGTATCCACCAATGAAGGTACGCCGCCATCATAAGTGGTATTGCACGATTACCAGCCAGAACAAGTGCAATGGTGCTGACTAACCGAGTTTCTCTTCTCGCCCCAGCCACCACCGTGGCTGTTGTTAGAAGCGTGGACGTCTTTGTAGCCTGTGGCACCGGCCCAGCTGCCCTCAGCATCGTCGCCACGTTGACCCCATCCGCCGCCATCTCTGCCAGAGATACGTTGATTCTTGTGGTTGGCGATGGAGGCCTGACTGCCTGCAAAATAGGCGGGAGAGTCCCAGTAACTCTTGCCACCATTGTCGCGAGTCCGGTCATCGACATGGCATTGGGCGGTGGCAGCATGCCCGCCATTGGCGTGGTAGTTGTCACAGCCCCACTCATACTTGGGACCGGCAATTGAGCCTGAGCGATCAAAGCTGTGGTCGCCGGAACAGCTTTCTTGGCACTGACTCTCCTCGAACTCATCTTCAGTCGGGGTTGTACATTCGTGGCCACACGGCAGCCAGCCGCCTCCTTCACTGCCGTTGGTGGAAGGCTGGAATACATCCGAGGGTGGCTCCGAATCGCTGCCATGATGCTGGGCAGTCGCAACAGGTTCGCTTCCAGAGCCCCATGCACTGGCGCGAACATCATCAGCATCGATGGGATTATCGTCTTTAGCATGCTTGATGTCGATTGCGACGCTTCGAGCAACTCCCTCCAGGACCGAAACCTGACCCTTGATAGCGTTCGAAAAGACTTGGACGTATTCTAGGCCTGAATGCAGAAATGTGTCAGCTCACGTCAGGTAATTGATCAAGTGCAATTCGCTGTATCATACTGAACAAATCGCAATCTTTGGCGTGAAGGAGGCAATCCATATTAGGGCATCTAGGGTCACTTACAAGCTTCGGTGGAAGTAGCGTTCCATGGGGCCGTCTGGTAATCTCCATGTTTCTTCATGTTCTCAAGGACGCGCAGGACATGCTGAGTGCTGGCGATTGTGTCGGTGATGAGTTCTATGCCTGTAGCATCAATCTTGCCCTGAGAGAAACCCATGGGGCCGTTGAGCGAGGAGTAAGTAGCTGATAGGTGTCAGTAAGCATATTGAGTTTCACTCCAAGCTCTCATACCTGTCATGTTTGGACTATGACCTTTGTTTGAGGTTGATTGTCAGAAGTACTGATATGGCGTTGTTGGTGTGAATCACGCAACAGCAATGAGAATGGGTGATAGGGGAGGAGAGATGTAGGGAGTCTTCGGAGTGATGGAATTATTTATAATCAATAGTCAAGAGAGCCTGGGTTCACTTTGAAAAGCCCCACCGTGGTTAATTCACAAGATGTATTCACCAGCCTTGAATTCACCAATTCACCAATTCACCATAGCGCATCGGACGGGTACCGTCTCAATCAAGCAACTTGCAACAATGGAGTGCTTTCCACTGATTCGCAATTTCAGGGGCGCAGGGTACAGCTGCAGAAAGTAGGCTACTAAATTATTCAACATTTCAACTTAGACATACTGGCTAGAAGCACCCGCTGGTGTTGGAGGAGCCGCAACACTTAAACCCACGTTTTGGTCTTCGCAGCTACAATATAGTATTTTGCTTAATCATTGCCATTGACAATTAAGGGACATGTCGTGTATCAAGATAAAGGGCTTAAACTTCTGAATCAGCAATTTAGCATTGCATTGTTGCTGGGAATGAAAAATATTCTCAACAGAATTCAGGTTTCCATGTGCCTCTCGTTCTTGGGACAGCACTAGACTACAGTGCGAATTCCATGTGCCTCAACACTTCCTAATCAATGTCACTCTGACTGTCACTGATCTGCTTGGGAAAATATACAGGAGCATTAATCGCGACCTGGCCCTCCATACTCCTCATCAGTACTCTAATGCTCCTTTCAAGATCCCTCATGGCCATGGCAACCGTTTCGCAGAGCCTCTTCTTGTTCTCGACATGTTTCTCCCAGTCTTTCTTGCTACCGTTGTAGCTATCGTAAGTCTGTTGTTCCGCATTTTTAAGTCCATTGCCGAACTCATTGAACAAATGTTCGAGGTGTGACTGTTCTGCAAAGACGATGTCTCGGAAGGTGTCAGAAAAGGTTAGGAAGGACCTGGCAAGTAGGAGCATGTCCTTCTCTCCAGTCGAGGTGGATGCAATGTTCTCTTCAAAGATCTCCATAACGTTGGACATGTCGTGGGTGATCTTAGCGATCATACTCCAGTTGATGTTTGCTTTGGTCGACATGATGTTGATCTAAGGTGGCGCTTGGTAGGCGCAGGAACGGTAATGTCAGCAGATGGTACCTTCGGGGTGTGCTGGCTTTAAGCATCAAGTCGCAATGTCAATCATGCAGGAGTATCATACTTTGTAGATTTGTGGATGCTGACACCCCCATGCTGCATCCGCAGCGAACGTGATTGCTGACCCTATGGGAATATTGGCTTGTTCACCTTACTTTGTTCTCAAATCCTGGGGACAGTGAATCTTTGACCGGCCTGGAACCTGTGAGGACCTGGTATCCTCTACTCGGTTTTCCCGTGTGGCCATTCACCTGTGCAATTAGATACAAACGACGAATGCAATCATGTTTTTGGGGTTTACATCTATTCACATAGTCTTCGAAGCTACGAGAAAATGATATACTTAAGCGATTTTAAGTTATATACTCTTTTTATCAGACACGAAGCTCAGTTTAATGTGGTAGCTACGGCATCATTACTACCACATAGCCGTTATTGACACCATAACCTGTGCGTTGATGGTCGTAGATGTCAAATTATCATTCTCCACCATTGACCCTGTCAATTCGTTCGCCGTAGATGTGCGATCACGCGCGGCATTCTCCCAGTTACTTCGCTCCTTGTATTTCTGTTATTCTTCGATTCGCACGTTGAGCACATCGACGTAAAGCTCCTTGGCAAGTTCTGACATCACTCTGAGCTCCTTACGCTCATCGGTCAAGCTATCCTCCAAGAAGCCTCTGGCATCTTCCCACTCCTTTCCTAGCTCTGCACCTGCAGCCAAGAATCCTTCAAGGCGTGCGACTTCCTTGAGTGGTGCTCTCGTTGACTGCATGGCGTCGATGACGTGAATGACCTGCTTCCACAGGCGGACGGCCCTGGTTCTAGCCTTGTCCTCGAATTTCGTAAATCGGCCTTGCAATTGGTGCTTTTCCTTGTCCAAGGCAAGTATTTGGTGTTTAAGGCTGTCGATGGTATCATCTTGGCCGACACATTCTTGCTCAAGTCGGTCAATTGCGGCTCTCTGCTTCTTGATGGACCCGTCCTTTTGCTTAAGTTTCGTTAACAGCCTCGCATTGAGCTTCTTCTCACGTGCAAGTTCAGTCTTGAGTATCTCGACCTCGTTCATTGTGTCTGTATTCGGTTTGCTTGGTAATTTGAACTTGGAAGGTAGATGGGTCGCCGAGGTCGAAGAGATGTTGCAATTGCACAGTTAGGTGCGTTTGGCTTGCAAGAGTTGACGTGGAGGCCTCTAGTGAGAAACGCCAAAGGCCTGTGGGAGCTGCTTTCGTGCATCAACATTGACTTATTGCTCTTTTCAACCCATTTCTGTGGTTCTCTGTGAACCTAGACAATGTTGCCTTCACCCAGATGATTGTTTTTCTGGGCCATGTTCGTTTCGTACGAATAGAGGAATAAACATGCTGTCTGGAGTAGATTCATTTGTCTAATCGCAGAACTGTCAATCGTTCCTTCCCATCGCGGATTCCTGTATAATTTGGACTCAAACCCTACGGAGTCCAAGGGCGAAGGTACAATATTGTGGATCCTGCCTTTGGGCCAAAGGCGTCATCCCCATTTCCCAAGCCGGGAGACACATGAACCAAAAACAGTTCAACTTTTGCAGACGCTGTAGAGAGTAAGATACAGCTCTCGTTCTCCTCAAAGGAAGTGCAGATTACTCTCAATTTGCATCGACTCATGGGCTCTGTTTGGACATAGACGACGACCAGTAACAAGTTAAGATTTTCATTTGCCCCACATATTCGACGTGGTAGTCATTGGCTTTCATTGTCCATGTGATCATATTGCACTTGACTATGAAAACAGTTACACAGACACGGGCTTAAATCCATGTTCATAGTTACAGTATGTGAATTGAAACATTGAATTCTCTAATAGGGGTTGAACTACCCACGCTCAGGATAATGGGGATCTACCTGTAGATATCTGGATGTTGACGTCTCGCGTCCGAATGAGATCCGTCGCCTCTGTCATGTAATTAACCTATGGTCCATTGAAAGCAACACGGATCCTGTAGATAGATCTTGTTGATACGTCCTTCTATGCAAGATAATCTTGGAAGGCTCGTTCATTGCCACTATCACATCACTGGCTTGGCAGCCCGTGATTGAGCAGAATAGAATGTATGGAGGTAGAAGTGGCATCTTGTCTAAAACTGGCCTATCTAAGCACTCGAAATGTTAATGAGGCGGTAACACTTCCCGCGCCAGGGGTATTGCCAATCAAGCCATGTTTTGGCTCAACGTGTCCAGTCGCTGGCGCGGTTGTAGGATCGTGGCAATGCACTGCCGCTAGGCTGTAACTAGTGCTTTGCCTAGCACTAACGTAGCCTGTCAGGCCTGTGGGTGTGTGGATGGCGGCGCCTGAAGCCAATAACTCTATGGTAAGCCTTCCCAAAGTGGCTTGCGCTTCAGCATTGATAGGCCGATCTGGGGAGATGATGTTTGGGGTGCAGCCAACGACCACCCAGGCTCGACAGGGCCTGCTCGAAAGCTGTTGTTGCACAAACTTCCCAGACACGAATGCAATTGTAGCACTTTGCAGCATTGCATTTGATAAATGAGACCAGCGTGATCGGCAAGAGAGGCCATTCGAGCTTTCACCGCGAGAGTGGCCCGTGCCTGGCGGGTTTGTGCCGCGCCATCGGATCTGCGTCCAGCGCCGCATCTGCCTGTTGGCGCCGAGCCTCAGCCTCCAGCTATGGGTCGCTACTTAATCAATCCGTGGCGCTAGACAACACGTCTCAAAACGACAAAACCCTCGTATCGCCTCTCAGCAATCACTGAAAACGTAGCACGCTGGATACCTCAAGACGCGCCTGCTTAAGTCGGCTGACATGGCCGTGACTCCATTGGGGGATTGGAGGTCCCATGTGTACTCCCACGTACAGATCCAAAAGAAAGACGGCAACGTCGGCTTACTGACAGAGATCAACGGCAACATCCGGCTGCTCACGATACAACCCCGGTCGCATGCTGCTGCTCAGCGTTCAAAGGGTTCTTCACTCCCCGCTATACAATGTTTCTTGAAGCTGGCGAATCTGACACAATCCCCTGATTTCATCGCCATCTCCCATTCTTTGGATGAACAAGAAAGCGGCAGCAGAAGCGAAGCCGGACATCGAGACGGGGATAACACCAAGACCGAGGGCAACGCCCAGGAGGTTTTGGTCAATGGTGCACCAGTCCCGGTATCGAGGGCCCTCTACCGAGCGCTTGAGTCTTTTCAGAGGGAGTCCGATCCCATCACTATTTGGATCGATGCTCTGTGTGTCAATGAGGATGATGTGAGAGAAAAGTCCGCTCAGACTGCCCAGAGAGCGGCCATATTCTCGGCCGCCACCAGGGCAATTGTATGGCTCGGCGAAGCTGCTGACAAGAGCGACGATGCGATGGATGCTCTGGGCCGATTAGTGGACGAGCAGCTTACACCCACGGTGCAAAAGCTGTGGATCGCATTACGCGGAAAACTCCCCATGGTTGCTGAGAATGCCACCCACGATCACGCCTCTTCCGAAAAGCAGCCAAGTCTGGACGACCAACTCCACTCTCTCCGCACATCAATTCAGCTCATGATGAACCGCCAATATTGGAGAAGGATATGGTCTCTCCAAGAACTTGCGTTTACTGCCAAGGGCGAAGTGTCATGCGGAAACCGAAGTCTGGACATAGATAGGTTTTTCTTGGCCGCAAAGTCCCTTGACGGAATACTCAACATGGCGACATACTCAAAGTGGCTTGCTTCAACCCAGATACCTGGCATTGCACCCACTTTGGACACTACCGAGCCAGCCAACTTCTCTAAAACTCCCGCCATTCGTCGGTTGACTGAACGAGAATCCTTCCGCCAGAATCGGGGGTGGTCAAGTGGCATCTGGTGGCATACTACGGAAGAGCCCCTGTTTTCGGTTTTGGCCAGATATCATATCCCAAGCGCCAGAAACGACTCTCAGACTCGGCTCGTCACCAAGGACCCGCGCGACCTTATCTACGCCTTTCATGGGCTGGCATCAGACACGCAGGAGCTCAAAATCACCACAGACTACAGCAAAGACTACGACCAAGTCTGCGTTGATACAACAATGGCATTATTGCGAAAGGACCCCAAGATATTGCAATTAAGCCAAGGTCAGACTTCCGCAGGTACTGCTCCTTCCTGGATAGTGGACTGGAGCAAGGTTAGGGTTCCACCATCATCCGATCCTGCTCATCCCTTTCGTGCATGCGGGCCGGCGGATGAACGCTTCTATCGATTCAACACCGATTCACCCCATTCCATCAAACTGACTGGTGCGTTCGTTGATACTGTAAAGACAGTCACGAAATCAGCACCTCTAGATGTTGATGCGGATTCACGTAAAGAGCTGATGAGCCTCGATGATCTCCTCAAGCAATCCCTTGATGGGGAAGGCTGCCCTTACAAGGTTGACCAACAATTGGGTATCCCGGCAGGCATGGTGCCCGAGGACCTCTTCATAACCGAAACTGGCTATGTTGGATTCTCGTACGATGCTGGCATAGACGCGGGCGATCGTGTTGCTGTTTTTTATGGATCTCATGTTCCCTTTTTGTTGAGGAGGTCTGATGAGACTTTCCGCATTGTGGGAGAGGCTTATGTACATGGAATCATGAATGGGGAATTCATGAGTGTGCATAGACAGGAGAGCACCATACGCCTGTCTTAGAGTAATTGCCCAACGATTCGGAAGCAATCAGACACCGATGCATGCACGGATCAGCTTCTGGCGTCTTTGGAACCCCAAGCCGTGGACCTTGAACTGAATCTTGTCCCCATTCAATGAACCACTTCTAAGAGTTTCCCAGAGAGCAGAGTCAACATATATTAATGCATCTTTCGGAGTAGTACTCGTGAGCCTATGCAAATACTTGTCCCTGAAGACGACATGGCCGAAACACACATCATGAGCTAGGCTCGGTGAAACCGGACTCAACAACGTAATAAACATCTGATCATGTATAAGTGTAGCATCAGTGACAGATAATTAGGTATCGTATTATGGTCAGCAATCACACATGAATCAGGCGAGCCTTCAGGACGGCCACCCTTCGCGTCGGCAAGAGGCAGTCCACATTGGCAAGACACATCAGTCAAAATCATGCCATTGTATTGTTGGAATTTATTGGTGTTCGAATATCGCTCGGTTTGCTGTGCTGGTTTGTTGTTATTGACCCAGCAACCAGCGCCGTGAATACCTAAGTGCGTCAGAAGACTGGACTGTTATCCAATATTTTTTGTCCCACTGTGGACGCGAGTTCAAACCATCATCATTTCTTTTCACCTTACGCCATTTCTTCGCCTGCACAAAGCTGCGCTCTCTCACAACAACAGGGCAGCTCCTCAGCCAATCTGCTACAGTCGGTATGGCCTTCCACAGTCGCGTCGCCGGTATACAGGCGTGGATTGAAGTCGCTGGAGCCCGAACAACCCACTACGATGATCATGATGCCAAAGAGGCAAACAAGAGAGACCTCACAACGACCACGAAGTACATCGAGTCTGTGAGCGGCGCTTCGTTCACTGTGAACTTCCAGGTCGAGAACACTTACAACTGGGGCTTCCCCAGCCACGACCTGGAGGTGCGCTGCTACGTCAACGGCCAGTGGGAGGCAATGTACTTCGTCAGCAAGATTCACACAGTGCTTGGCCCTCACACTGGTCGCTTCACAGGGAAGCCCGGCATCAGCAGTCAAGGCCAGATGGCCAACGAGGACTTCAAGTTTGCATCGATCGAGACTGTTGATGACATCCGCAAGGAGCGCGTTCAGAATGACATGAAGATTGCCAAAGGTCTTGGAGCCATTGAGCTGCGCTTCCATCGCTGCTTTCTGACCGGTTGGCAGCCATACCAGGACCCTCAGCCCCAGTCCAACACACCTACCGCCATCGCTGAGAAGGCACTGAAAGGCCGATCGATCTCGCACACCGTCGCGTGAGTTCTATGATGTGAAAGATAACGAACCAATGCTAATAGACAGAAGTCATGAACAGTCGCGGGTTGTTAGCCAGATGAGAGTCACCCACTTCCAGAACCGTCGGTACTGGCAGCAAGATGAGCATCGACCTCTGGCCATCTTCCGCTTCCTCTATCGCTCACGAGGTATGATTGACTTTGCTTACAGAATCGCTGCTTTGGAGACTCTAACTTAGGATCATTAACAGAGGACCTGGAGAAGGAGCTCATCATTCCGCGAGCTGCAACACCGCCTGACGCCTTGATCAACCTGTCCCGTGAAGAAATCAATCGATTGGCAATGGAGAGGCTGGATCAACTCAAGGTTAGCAACATCGGGACTCAGCCTCCATTCCAGTAACGGCTGACATTCGCAGGTCGAGCAGGAGTCTCAGCAGAAGAACCAGACTAAACAGAAGGAGCCTAAGCCAGACAAGGAGACCGAAGAGGACAAGGAGGCAAAGGAGAAGACCAAACTCGCGATCAAGAGAGAGCGTGATGATAGCCCCGACGGCGGCCATTGTGAAGACGACTCACGAGCCACGAAGCTCCCCCGACACGATGCTTTCGACGATGAGGAGTTCATTGACTTGACTGAAGAATGAAAGCACCATGTAATCGACGAATATGGGTATTAAATGTTGTGATTGGAATTCTTTGCACAAGAACAAGGACCTGGTATTGGTTTTATGTGCGCCTGAAATGGGCTATGGCAGACTGTGCAGAATTATGCCACTCTAATTGACTGATTCTTTCCTCTTCAAGACAGTCGGGCCACCAGTCTTCCCGTGAATGACCACTGATTAATTATTCAGGATTAATGGCCATCTAGTATCAAGGTTAAATTAACGAGTTCGTCGATATAATTCCAGCGGCTTGCTCAGCCAGTGCGTATGTGGCTGCCTGGATATGTGCGCCAAGAACCACAGGAAACACGGAAGCATCCACAACGAATAAGCCCTGAACACCCTTAACCTTAAGATTAGCATCGACTACTTTTCCCATGGCACAAGTACCCATCCCGTGGTAGGTTGAAATCCCACTGGTACGGACCCTGGCGTCAAGGTATTCGTCGCTCACGCCCGAGTTGATCGGGTCGAAGCTGCTCGGAGGTGTCTCAACTTCGATGATATCGCGACCTAAGACCGTCTGGTTTCCGGAGACTAGAGACACCATCTGGCGGATCGACTCCCGCCAGACGTACTTGTCTACCTCGGTAGCAAAATAGTTCGGATCGATGACTGGGGGCACTTTTGGGTCCTTGGACGAGATCGTGACAGAACCCTTGGATGTCGGTTGCAGGCCTACCATGGTGGTGGTGATCCAGGTTCCATTTGTGGGAAGAATGGGGTCTGCAGCTGGCAGCGGTAGATAAAGCACGAAGTTCTCCATCATCGCGTGCGTATCCTTGAGCAAAGGATGAGAGGTAGGGTCTGGGGTACGGCCTTCGTCTTTGGCTATGGCCTCAGCGAGACCATCTTTCGGAACAGCCGTAGAAGTAATGAAGTTGTTTGCGTTCCCAAGACCGAACTGTGGCTCCTGGAAGAGCGGGTTCGATGAGCCAATGGCATACCCGAGTTCGGGATTCTTGAGCTTCCAGAACATGGAGAACATGACATGATCCGCAAGGCCTTTACCCACATCTGGCAGGTCTAGCTTCGTTTCGATACCCAAAGATAATAGTGTCTCCGAAGGTCCAATGCCCGACAACATCAGCAGCTGCGGCGTTCGATATGCCCCTGCGGATGCGATCACTTGCCTGGCCTTGTACTCGATGCCGTTGGCAAGCCGCACTCCAGTCGCCTGTGCATTGCCATCACTGTCCTTTTCAATGATGATAGAATCCACTAGCGTATTGGTGAGAACTGTTGCTCCGTTGAGCGGGTATACAACACTGGCGATCTGGCGTTTGCCATCACGGCGGTTTTCAAACAGTTCGCTGACACCTAAAGTATTGCCTGCATTTCCATCCAGCTCTGGAATCGTCTCGACCCCTATCTCGTGCCAGGATTGTTCAACTTGATCTCGTAATGGATACTGGCGGCCGGTGGACGAGACCGAGGCAACGTACAATGGTCCTTCATGGCCATGCTGATCAGGGTTTTGATTATCGTCGCACCAGTCCTCTGTGGACCTGAAATACGGAAGCTGACCGTCATAGCTCCAGCGATCATCGCCGACTGTTTGTGCCCAGAGATCATAGTCAAGTCTGGGGCCACGAGTCCATCCACCTATTACTCATCAGAGGAACGAGCCTGTCTGAAAGCGAGGATTCTCACATGTGTTGATGGCGGAGCCTCCTCCAAGTGCTCGTCCACCGGAGTTTCCAATCTGTCGGTTGTCCAGATGGACCTGCGGGACACTGCGCGATGAGTATTAGCGTATTGACCAGCTTCAAGTCGAACATCGGCAAATAGGCCTGTCAAAGCGGTCACAATCCATAACGAGCAATGCAAGGAAATACAATTTATGAGAGTGTATGCCATATCACGTTTGGGCCCAAGGAACATACGTCTGGTAATTGTAGTCGAAGTCGCCCTGGATCAGGTTTGTCGAGTTGACATACAAGATGTCTGTACGATTACTAACATCCGGTCCAGCCTCGAGGACAAGGATCCTCAGGGAAGCATCGTGTTTCAGCAAGCGATTTGTAACGACAGAGCCAGCCAGCCCACCGCCGACAACGATGTAATCCCACATCGTTGGTAGCAGCATGACTCAGTCGGGAACACTTCTTGGCAGGCTGTGCAACTCTGTGTTGACAGATTTGCAATTTTGGTGGCTGGGGCTATGATGTTTGAAAAGAATGGAGGGCAAAATAACGGAGGTGAGAAGGCCTGCTGTTCTTTGCCGACAGTAGTTTGTAGCCCTATATCCTGTAATTAGTTATATTTCCTCATTTCACCTGCGCAGGGGAAGTCCGGGGAGCAAGCCGGAAACGTTTTTCTTCGTCCATGCCCAAAGAATTTCTCAGCTGGCAGTAAACCCCAATTTCAACATGCATAATAATCGTAAGATGAGTTGGGGCTTCGGAGTCGACGAACCAGTAATGCGAGGCACCAGCCACTCGGTAACCAATCAAACCTGTCCGGAAGCTGGGAATGCAAGCCGTTGTGCATTCAGTGTGGAGCACGGCCGAGGTAGCGGACATGCAATTCAACTCAAGATGCCGGGATTGCAAACAAGGAATACATCCAAGTTGCATTGGCGCATGTCCCCTTGTGCTCAATTAATGGCTCATAGTCAATTGCTGGCAGTTCATTCACGGATCTTGTTGAATCTCCGAGCACAGACTTTGAGAATCGTACATCCAGGAGCAAGATGTCCATTTCCTTTTCTCCACAGCATGACCTTGAAATTCATTCAGAAAGTTAATTACTTGAAGGATGATATGACTTCAACATCATTGTTAAAACCCAAGACCTTCGAATGGCGAGGTGCCGTACCTTAGGATTATCTGCCATCAGGTCTCAGGATCCTATATACAGGGATTTGTCCCAACCCTGCGCTTGACAAGGATGTCAAACCCGGTGTGGTCGCAGCTTCAGTGAATCAGGATTGGAAGCGTTTTGCTTCACAGTCGTACGTTGGACCTTGACCACCCCCAATATGCCGACGTGATTCAGGTCCGACACGGGTAGTCCCGTAGTGTCGACGAATCGAAGGAATGACTGTGCCTCATTTGCTATGCTGTCAATGCGAGCGCCGATGATAGCTTTAATCGACTTCTGTCCCAGTCAGAAGCTCCATTTTTCGTAACCATTGCCGTACTGATCGACAAGATATGATCCAGTGCACGACTTTCAAGCGGCATAATGTTATCATCGTTACTTCATCCACGATTGGCCATCGTGTCTAACGATACTCACCATGCTGACAAGATCGAGACGGACATCCTGCCATTGACTGCTGCTGGGGTCAATATTGTTGTGTCGAATATCATTCTCGTAGTTCTCACGACAGCATGGACAGCGATGAGGTTCTGGTGTCGTAAGACTAAGGGAGGCAGATACTACCTCGAAGATTGGATGCACTTGGGAGCTCTAGTAGCCTTCTATGGAATCGTCATCTCGAATTTCATGATGGTATTCGTTGGTGGTTCAGGCCATGGCCTCGACGAGCTACAGCCTTGGCACATTGTTCGGCTCTCAAAGGTATGCACCTTTCGTTACTACGGGGAATACCACTGACCATATCCCGTACCGAGCTAGGCAACCTACTCCGTCCAGGTTCTATACGCCATCTCTATGGGACTGGTCAAGATAAGCATTATCTGGATGCTGATGCGTATCTTCATCACGCCAACATTTAGGCTCGTAGCAATTGCTGTCATGATCTTCAGTGCCCTCTGGATAGTTCTAACGATACTTATTGGTCTTCTAATCTGCCGCCCAATCGAAATGAATTGGAATCCATTCACTCCCGGTGGTTCGTGTGGGGATCAGATAGCAGCGTTCGCGTCGATTGGGATCGTCGATATCCTCAATGAAGTGACCATCCTGGCACTGCCAATTCCGATGGTATGGAAGCTGAGGATGCCAATGCGGTATAAAGTTGCACTCGCATGTGTTTTCGGCGCCGGAATCCTGTAAGCAGACACCTCGAGCTTATCAATTCTAACAGCGAAAGCTAACACTAGATTGTATCAGCACGGTCACCTTTGCTGCCGTGAGACTATATACCGTCCTTACCATAGACTTCACCGATGTATCCCGTTCCGCAGTACCAACAGTGATATACGGTACTGTTGAGCCTGGAGTCGCGATAATAGTCGCTTGCAGCCCGGCGTTACGCCCTATCTTTGATCGAACCTTCGGCCGTCTATTACCAAGTCATAGTGATACGCCAGCTTACAATGCGAGTGGCGATGGAGTGACATTAGAAACTTTTGGCGCACAAAACAGGATGCGATCTAGGGCTGATGGGTTCATGAAATTGGGGCTGGATGATAAAGCAAGATCAGTGGACATACATGAACACCGAGTGGAATCTCAATAGTTTCGTCATATTTGATACAAGGATATTCACTAATCAACAGTTGGACATTTCTAAACCGCTTGAGTTAGCTTAGGCGTCTAGTAGTCGTTGCCTTTTAAGTTGATCATTGACACAATTAAAACATGCTAATTAACTATAACTATGCTACCATGAATAGAAACTGATCCGCCACAAAGTAGGAGTCGACTATCATAAGAGCTTTATGCACGCGCATCTAACGGCGTGGATTGACAGGCTTCGAGCCCAGTGGTTCCCAGTCCCCAGGCTCCGGGGTACCATGCTGATTACTGTGACCATGTGGAGAGTGTAACCCATGACCGTGCTGTCCCCATGATGACCTGGTGAATTTGGCAACCAGGTCGCCCGTCCAGACACCTCCTTCAGTTGCTTCTTGTAGGTTCTCTACGTACAAGGTGCTGCCGTCCGTCCTAATCGTGACACCACTAGTATTTTTCTCTTTCCCGTCGATGGTTAACGAGACAGTATCAACCTGTCCCTGCCACCCAGCGATAGTGATATTCGCCAGAGGGTTATTGTCTTCATAGTCTCCAGTCACAATCGCTCGCAGTGTTGCATTAGAGAATGATAGCTGTAACCATTATCAGTATAATGCTCTCGGATATCACCTCTCCTGGGGTATTCTTACCTCGATCTCCTTGGTAGCATCTTGGACCAAGCTAAGGCCGTCATCCAAATAGAGGCTGCCAACTCCTTCGTTTTGGATGTCTAGAGCAACAATGATAGTCCAGGGATTCATTCGGGTCATTTTGGTGGTATTCCCTGGTTTCTGTGATGGAATGATACTACCCCCTCGAATGAAGACTGGAATGTGCACAAGCGGCGCTTCAATCGTCTTGTTCTCACCAGGTTGAGCGTGTACCTCGGTATAATTATACCAATCATACCACCGCGTGCCGTCCGCGATTCCTGGGAAAACTCCTCTAACGCTCGTCACCAGAGGCTCGAGAACCGGGGTGATCAAAATGCTCGGGCCAAGCATGAATTGATTATCGACAGCCTTCAAACTTTCCTCGTTGGGGAATTCCCATTGAAGGGCGCGCATTACCGTAGCACCGCATGTATGTGCTTTCCAGAAGAGCGTGTAGTGGTAAGCCAAAAGTTTGAAACGTGCGTCCATGGCTCGACGAGTTCCCTCTGCAGTTGTTGCCCACCGGTATGCTTCCTGCGCAATGGTGTTTCCAGGACGAGAATTGTGGTTTCGGTATAGTGGGAAGAATGCGCTTACCTCCATCCATCGAGTGCAAAGCTCCATGTCCGTGTTTCCATTGAAACCACATGTCTCAACACCAAAATATGGGATACCAGCGATACTGAATGTCAAGGCCTGAGCAATTGTATAGTACATATTACCCCATTTGGAGTTGGAGTCACCACCCCAGTGTCCAGTGAGGTTTCCACTCCCAGGCGATGTAGATCTTGAGATCAGGAAAGGTCTCTTGCCTGGGATGGCTGCCACAAGAGCATTGTATGTCGCATTGGAACTCTGAATGCCGAACAGATTGTGCATTTCGTACTCAGTAGTATTGAACTCATCGCTGTGGGTTGCATACGGAGCAACAGCGGACTTTTCCAAGGAATGCCCCGGCAGTGTGTTATTCAATGCATAAGGCGGGAAAGTGATATCTCTGACCCCAGGAATCGGTTCGGTGAAGCCCAGAGTAGGGGTACTCACATCCGAATGGGTGGGATATGCAGCTGATTGCGATACGGCGGCTGCACTAGCTGAGGCTGCCTCAGTCGAGTTAGTGATGTTGAATGCTTCCGGATATTCGTAGCTCGTCTGTCCTGGTTCTCCAGGTAGTCCAAAGGGAACATGTACAGGGTTCAGCTCCAGATTTCCAGTCCCACATGAGCCAGTACACCACGACGATAGATCTGAGAGATCAAGCCAGCACCCGTCATACTGGAGTTGCTCACGCCAGAGTATAAACTCATTGACCCAGAACTCCTCCCCTTCAGGGATGAGAAAGTCAGGCCATACGCTGTACCCCGGCCACTGGTCGCCATAGTAAAAACCATCAACGCCGTCGCGGATGAACGCTTGAAGAGCAGCGCCTCGCTCGTACGGTGCGTAGGCATCTGTGGCATTTGTCGGATCCGGGGCATAAATGTTAGGATCCACAATCGGCATCCAGTACTGTCCATTGGCGTGGAGCCTTGCCAAGAACTCTCGTCCTTCAGGGATAGGATACGTGTTGGGGTCATTGGTGAAATCTCGGTACTGCAGTAGATAGTCTAGATCATTCCAAATAGCCTCAAGTTGAATATTGGCCGCGGCATAGTTGTCGATGACGTCCTGAAGCACGCTCCAGTTCTGGTAACCCCAGCGGACCTGGTGGAAGCCAAGAGCCCAGTATGGCTGCATCACTGGTGTCTTGATGACACCAAGCTGCTGCTGAGCCAGTGCCTCATTGACTGTAGGACCGCTGAAAAAGTAGAAGTCGAAGCTCCCACCGATTGTACGGTAGGTGATATTGTCAGGTCTCATCAGCCACTCCTGCCCATGGAGGTTCCTGCCATAAACAACATGCGATTTAGAGGTTTCATTCCCGTATCGTGTCTCTACGTATACCGGATGAACACTATGCATATTCGTATCCAGGGGGTTGTCGTTCATTACTGGGTATTGGTTCCAGAACGTTTGAGTGTAGTTCGTCCCAATGCGGAAATCACGTATGCTTTCTGGCAAGCCGTAGACATTGTAGTCGGGGACCATAGAAGTGGCAATCTCCAAGAACTGGTTCTCGTACACAATAACAGTTCCATAAGTGTCAAAAATGGGGGCTCCGCCGAGCCGACGGGACACCTTGAACTGAAACGATGGCTCGTTGCTCCATTCCAAGACCAGATCGCTGCTCTCCTTGGTTGAGCCAGGCTCAATAACGCCGACAGGGCTAAGGAAGTCGGGGAGAATGTACTGAGTGTAGTTCTCTGGCACAAGATACTTGGGATAAATTCTAACGTTCATACGGGTGGCATTTTGGTATTGCACATCAACAACAAGGTCCTCGATGTCTGTACCGTAAACATTGCACGCTGGGCCAGCGAGTGTCAAGTCTGCCGTAAACCCCGCATCGTGCTCGACGAAATTTGATGCCACGTAGCCAGGGCAAACCTCTTGTGCATCGGGTGCTGTGGGATCATCGACATTTGGAGTCACACTCGGTGCGTAATTGACAGAGGAAGCGAGTGTAGGTGTCGGGCTTTCTGTTCCTGATCCCGTGACGGGTGCGGTAGTAGATCCCCTCAGTTGCGCTTGGAGATTGTAAGCCATCTAGTCCAGTCAATAATTTCAAAGGACATACCTCTTGCAATATGCGTAAGACACCCGGCTACCAACAGTGGCAACATCCTGACGGCCTTGATTCCAGGCGTCTAACTAAGCTGGTTTCGTATTTGCATCACCACAGCGATGCGCTGAGCCACGGCGGTGTTCACCATATCTATATGCCAACCCCGCTCCATCTCCCCGGGCGGCGCAATAAAGTCGTGCAGGCGTCTAGACAGTTCGCGGACATGTCGCTTAGAGTTCATCATGTGTATGGGATGAAGACGTCCTATGACCCTGTGGTGACGCGCAGACACTCGATCTTAACGGCGATGAGTGCCCATGCGCTGCTGGCCCCTCGCGCCCGGTTTGAACCTAAAGGCCCGTAGCTTCAGGTACAATCCGGGGAAACAGGGCCGCCCCACCTGGCGGCCCGGAATCTGCGCTGATCTTGCAGCAGCTAAGACATTGACTGAAGCTTGGTCGACCTTGGGCATCCACGACGAGATGAGACATTGGACGACTGAGCATCGGGGATGCCTCAGTGGCTTGTCCAACGGATGAAGCAAGGGAGCAGCATTGTGTCCGGCCGTGCTCGAGGAAACCGGGCCATGAAACCCAGTCTGCGCACACCGGGGAGAGAACGCAGGTCATTCGCCGAAGAGCAAGATGCTTTAACTTCGGAACATGTTCATTTCTACAATGGATTACAGAAGCTAGAATGACGTAGCGAATATCGTTATGGTACGACGAACAGCTAGACCCCGCGGTCTAGAAACTACTCACCATGTAAAAGGTGGTACCGGAAACCTACAAAACCTGGCTAACACCAGGCAGATCTTAACTACGTATTCTTGGTCAGGGGGTTCATTGCTGGCCCAAGCCCCAATGTGGGGTCGTCAGAACCAACATCTTATCTACAACTTGGCGTATCCTCAGCACGTCTTTATGATAACGCGAAAGCACAGATTGGGCAACACATTGAAAAATAAGAAATCCCTATCGGTTGGTGAAGCGTTCAGGTTGCCAAGCTTCGCAGGAGCCATTACTGCTGTGGTAATGGACCCCTCTGCTAGCAACAGCTCACCACAAAATGATACAATCAAAACACTATCACCCGGGATGGTGCTATATTATGTCTGAGTCCTGCGGAGCCACGACATGATGATTCGCGGGTACCCGTTCCATGACGTGCATACGCTGAAACACAGTACTTGACATGCCCGGGGGTTTCGAAACCAAGTTCAAGGGCCTGGACTCTCCAACGGTGGTATCAAGATGGTCAAGGAACTGTATGCGTCGGGATCTCAATAGCCTTTGAAAGCACCAACTTTTCCACTTACAGCGAATGCACTGCATCTGATCATCTCCAGATAGAGACCTATAATTAGCCATTTTGCGAATAATCTAGCACATGACGATATACGGCATGGGAAGGTTCCGATACGTCCTTCGCTGATTAACAACTGGCTGCTGGATCCTATGACTTCCATTAGCCTAGAAGAACCAATGCATCATTGCGTGTTGCAGATGGGTGTTACTCCAGAGCCACGATCGTTCCATTTAGGCCTCAGCGCGATGCCCTAAGCATACTAGGGTGCTTTTGAAGTAGGTATCAAACAGGAACAATTAGTCGCAAGGATTCGATAACCCTGTCTCAAATCAAGTGTCACGCGACTTCGCTGCAACGTTCAACCCCAGGTTCTCCGTTCGTACGTTGATTGGGGGAAGTCTCTGGCGCATCATGATTGGCCATATCGATATGTCACTATGACCTGGTCATTGATAATTTGGCATTGCTTGACACGGAGTATTGGCATTCGGGCAAACGTGAAGCATATTGTGGCATATGCCTCTGGACAGAGATTTAAGTTGAAAGATAGGGTATCTTTTTGGACATTACATAACTACATTAAGAGATTCCCAACACGTTCGGTTCCCCTGGACAACATTCGCAAGGTTCGCAGTCTCATTTCTTCGTAGCTTTGGCCGAGACATAGTATCCCTTGCCTTCGTGCTCGTGACTGGCTTGGCTTTCCAAATCATCAAGCTCAATTTTGACGGTTCGGTCCATCATGATTCCGCTGGGCTGCCCAAATCCTGTCTGGGCAAGGATACTCTCTGTACTGCCCTGCCTTGGCATTCTTCGGCTCGAATGTGCGTACTCTGGGGTTGACTGGCCATTGTATGCATCCAGCTCCTTGAACAGTAGCGAGCGACGTGTAATCGCGTAGAGAATGGTATCAACCCACCCGCATGATGTGAAGAGCGCTCCGGCGAAGAGGTAGTATTCATCGGGAAGGGTGTCTTGTGACATTGCAGCCATTCGTCCGGCTCTGCAGTGTTGACTTTTGTTAGATTGTTACTTGCATGCAACGAAGGATGACAACTCACGCTAAAGGGAGAGTCAAAATGGTATAGACCAAGGCATACGCTAACATAGCAGTGGATGCCTTTCGTATCGCTTTGTCGCTGGCACCGTTGATCCTGATAGCGCCTGGCTGCTTTGATCGGTAAAGGTACCAGAATCCTGTAACATATGTGACAATGGAACCGAACTGCACGATGAATATCCAAAGATAGTGAAGAAGTAGGCGCATGTTGTCATGATCGGAAGAAATCCAGCACTGGAATCTGGGATTAACAAACCCGAACGAACTTGGTGCGATTGCAAATTGACTTACCCAAACACCTGCGCGCAGGAAAATGTAGCGCCCGCCGACAACAGGAGCGAGACACGTCAGAAGCAGAGCAAAAGACCACAGGCCTAGAATACAGCCGATGAACATCCTATATGTCACACTCCGTGATAGAACAACCTGATAGGTCGTGTGCACGGCAATTGCCAGCACAAAGAGAGCGCTTGCCACATCGCCGACTTGGATTAACAATCCCTGGGCGAAGCAAGCCCCATTAGGTCCTATAATGCGATGATTCGATGCCCAGTGAAAGGATACCAGGAAACCGAGCGATTGTAGAAAGTCGGCAAGAACCAACTGGTAGATGAGAACGACCGACTGGTTGCGACCAACGGCGCTGGTGTAGTGGGACTTCCAGGCAATCATGCGCCATGTGATGAAGGCTAGCAGCGCCGACGTAAATAGCACGGAAGTGGTAGCGAGAGTTCCAATCGCGAGAAGGCCGTTGTAGGTCTGACTGCTCATGTCCAGCAGACTGTTGGGCGGCTCAAAGTAAGCCTGGGGAACCCCGTCACTGTTGGTCGCCATGTTGCCGGATGTGTGCAGCCAGCGTGGTCGCAATGTAACCAAGGAGATGCGACTAAAGCGTCAAACGAATGCAAGAACACAGACTCCCGTCAAAGAGTGATCCGGTGAGTTGGGAGCTGACCGAAAACGCAAAAACTACGGGCGAAGGGATCCAGCAACATGATATAACCGGCCCCGACAAGGGGATGGGTTCCTGGGCTTTGACCCACGCGTTCAATTGGGCGGTTATAACTACTTTTTGTTGGATGCAATTTGCCGTTTCGATGTTGCACGTCCCGCGTATGAGGATTACTGGGACTCTGTCCACAAAATAAGAACGGTCTTTACCCCGTGTCTTCTAGGGCCGTCAATCCCCGAGGCGGTGGTCCATTCATCTACATCTATTGCCGGACCCACGTTATGTGCTTTTGCTCCGTTTGGTGTAGAGTGGCAGGGGGGAGGAGGGTCTATCACGCAGGGCGGCGCGCGGCCCCATGGGCCAGCGTGTAAATGCATGAGGGGTACAAGGGCATTGCCCAAGTTTGCCAGCGTCAGAAACAATGCTAAGATCTATGCGGCCTTGGCATTACTCGCGAAGTATCCACAACTCTGCACACCGGGGCAAATGGCTCCACCGATGTTTGCAAACCCCATACCAAGGAAAGCTTAGGGCTGACCACAATCGGGAGATTTCAGAGGAGTTGTATATGATTCTGACTCCGAAGGTTGGGGCGGAATTGTGACCGTAGACTTGTTGATCCGGAAGCTAGCCATTTGACAGCTCCATCAAGCTCACAGCGATCAGACGGATAGAAGAGGCTTATACGATCATGTGTTGGCTTCTATTCAGTCAGGAGAAGTACTAGACGAGTAAGCTCGAAAAGGCGAGGATGCACATTGCATCGCTGGAAACGTCGCATTGAGGCCATTCAGGACACATCTTGAGTAAGTTCTCGAAGTTTCTATTACCAAGTCCTTCACCATTGCCACATCAAGGTATTACACTTTTGTATAGAGTTCAGGGAGTTAATAATCAATCAATCTACTACGTCTTGGTCTTGTTTCCTGCCAGCTGTTCCCAAGCACCCGAGCGCCTAATAACTTTGCCTTAAGACGGGGACGACGAAAGGGTTGCCAGTCTGCAGCTAGTTAACATAGCACCATAACCGTTTGGGGCGTCTTAGCCGGCTACCTACGCTGAGCTAGCCCATAATGGGCCGTAAAACTTTTCCTTTGCTAACGGAAATAATGTGCAAATGGTGATCGATTCGACGTGCCAATTTATTACTACGGCAGTTGTGGTCAACATGTAGATCAGATCTGGGACGGCACCAACACATATTACCGAAACATTGGGTCAGACGAGTCATGGATCAGCTTATCACCGATAAGAGGTTGATGGTATATACATCGGCGTCGGCCACAGGCCACAAAAAACGTCAGACAGCCCATCGGTTGCCAATTTTGACAAGCTTTTGGAATTGTACTAGGCGACAAGTTATGGTGATCTACAATATAGCAAGTCAAGCTTGGCAGATTCTGGCCATGTTCCCGAGATTGGTGACTGTTCGATTCCCGTTTGAAGAATTGCCGAGTCTCCGGATTTGGAAGCCGACCGCCCGCTTTGGCATTGATCGGTGCTGGCCGATCGTCAGCTAGCGATAGCACTACCCCTATTTTAACCAAAAACAGAAAGGCGAACCTAACGCATCAACTAGTCTTACGAATGAAGCTGTGACCTCGGTAAGCGTTGCGAGTAGTGGAAGTAGGCCCGAAAACAAGACCCCGTAGTGCTAGGCCAGCCAATAAATGATGTAAGTGTTTTCAATCATTCTAGGCTTGTGCGTTGACTGTGGTGATGATTTCAACGTATTTCCACTTCAGTCAACATACTAGTCGATCGATGCAGTGTTATACGGTATATTAGTCGAAGGGGAGCAACAAACCTAGAAATCGCGCTCAGTATAGATCATAAGTAAGCAGTCATGAGAGCGTATCGTCGGTGGCAAAATGAGAGGGCGTTGTGCATTGGAATGCGTCACTAGCGAGTTATGAATTCTCGGCGGCCCGGGGCGGAAGACTTAGAGACGCAGAAATATCTCTCATACGGCCCGAGATCCTAAGGCGGCGGATTTCCACTCTATACGACCCCGAATTAATCGAGGACGAGCAATAGATGGCAGCAAAAACACGTGCAGTTGATGCTGCATGGTGTTCAAGCTACCCTCTAGCGAACGCTCTTATGCTCCGCTTAGTAGTCTGCTTCTTGCCGCGCATCCGACATTGACGCCCCGTAATTTCCCTTCCAATGTAGACACTGTTTCCCCCAAAGAATAGGTCATTTGCCACATCCAACAAGCGAAGGAGCGCCGGCTGTGTCGTTCAGAATATAGTATATGGCTAGTATATCGAAACTGGAGCCACCGCCGGAGTCTTCTGGCCGGGTGCTCGCAAGCCCTTTCTCTAAACAATCGTTTCGCACTCACCTGAAAATGACCGCAGCTCAAAGATTTGTTTCCTCGTGGAGCTAATCATGTGAATCCCATTCCATCTCACGACATCTAAGGAAGAACCCATGAGCCTCTTTCAGGTCTGACCGACATGCATCGAGAACGTGTCACAATCTGCGAATTACTCCGCAACGGTTTCTTCCTCGACTTAATTCCGCATGACGGAACCCGCAAGATGACAACATACTTTCGTATCTCGCTCTGGGTAGACCGTGCATGCAGACTTCACGCCCTTCAAACTGGCATACTTTTCTCTCCACTGCAAGACATTTTCGCTCCTTGTCTTCTGGAAACACGAGCAAAACTGGGCTATAAACTGAAACACTTCATGCTGTGTTTTGCAAATAATTTCTAAAGCATGGCCTGTGACCCCATAAAGGTGCCGTGAATCCTAATTGAGCACTAAGCAGTTAAACGCTGGCTTCAGGGACTGGATCGAGTCTCTATTTTCGTACTCCTCCCCTCTTTATGATTGGCGATATAGAACTAATTTCAACGTCCGATGGAGGCATCTTTGATAACTTGAATGAGGGGCAGATGGCTACGCATCAGTGCTGGTGATACTTGAGCATCTTCAAGTTAGTCCAATCACTATTGTTTTTGGGTCTAGAACAAGACAACATGGTGAATATAACTTCAATAACAATATTCGACTAGGACTGGCCAATCTGCGGTTGAACGCCAATGTTCGAGGCTCTGCTCATGGGGAATATAAAACGACTTTTAATGAATTAACCACCTTTTGTAAACACTAGAAATATCAGTTCATCGCAGATGTGAAGCCATTCTCAGCACAAAGACCATCTCTATCGCCAACCAACAAGATACCAACACAAAGACATTATTACACACATTTGCTTCCACGAATTCTTCCTGAACAGCTAATATGTTCTGCAGAGCTATCGTACTCCTTCTTGCGGCCTGCCTGGCCACGATCAGTGGTGCTCGCCCGACAGAAGGAGTTGTCTACTGCCAGCCTGACGAAAGAGCTGATACCGTCCACACCTGTGCGTGTCTTTCTAAACACCACTCCAGCTATGCTAACATATCACTAGCCGGTGATCCTACCAGCGGTCCAGGCGTCTGGATTACCCACAACGACGCAGCTGAGGGCAACTACTTCCTCTATGAGAACTTACGAGATGCGAAGCCTTGGAAGCACATCACTGTGGGTATGCGTCTGCCTAATCAAACCGCTTTGACTGATAGGTGTAAACAAAGATTCCCCAAGGCGCCCGCCGATTTGTGCAGCTCTGCCCAACCTGGCAGGGCCGCCTCGTACGTGGTACCGCCAAGGTCAACCTAGACGGAAAGGACCACAAGCTCGGAACATGGGTTGAGTCCTCCATGAGTAATGGCGCATTGCACGGCGATGTGTCTTTTCTTCGGGGCTGTGACGGCGGAGCCAAGATCATCACGACGGACGGGTCCAAGCTTTCGCGAGGCTGTGAGGGCGACCTTCTGAATGGAGCCCCTCCTGCGGCTCTTGTCGCCAAGGACAGCGGTGTCAAGGTGCTGGCTGACCTTGAAGGGTCTGGTGAGGCAAATAACGCAGCGCGGCAGTGGCTGAAGAGTAAGTGCTCGGAATCACAAGTCTATTTGGGTCATGGAGTGGACCCTGTTATCAATTCAGTCAACGGGCAGTTGGAGGTTGTCTTCTCTGCCGGCCGATTCTAGTGGTAGATGAACTTATCTCAAATTGCCAGAAGTTAGGTAAAACAGTTTCCCTGGGCCGCTTCTAGCGATGCCGCAACAGAAAGAAAATCACATCCCTTGCGTGCGTGGTACATTGCTAGACCTTCCAACCAGCCTAATCCTTGAGACACTCGACAGTTTCATAGCCCTTAATTGGCTCTCCTTTATCAGCGTGCAGTCTAATGATCGTTTTGTCCTTCTCCAACGAGTCTTCCAGACCCTTCTGGGTTCTGTCGATATCGGCCTGCACTGCCTGCCTCATCGCTGTTGCATTGACAGGTAGCTGATCGAGGAACTGCTGTTTTGAAGGCAGCTCATGGGTCCGGATCTCGCGTCTCCACTGCTGACTTCTTGTGAAGTTGACATTTTCTGGAACCCAAGTGCGCGGGGTCAGTCCACGTTGTCCTAGATCTGCACGGCATTCATCGAGAGCTCTTCTCACGCGGACGTGCTGCGCCTCCAGAAGGTAGAGATTGTTGGACTCTTTCTTCCCCAGTCCAGGCTCCCGCTTTTTGCTATTTTTCAAGCTGCGCTCCAGCCAGTCCAGAGTCCGTTCCAAGTTCTCGCTTTCCCCGAGATACAGCTCGTCTTCCAGCAAGTTTCGGCCACTAGGGAAAACCCTCTCAAGCTCGAGTCTTTCTTCTTGGTGCGTCCTGAGGGATCTATCTCGGATAATCTCCAATTTTCGTAATTCCCACTCAGCGGCAAGTCTCGTGTCGTCTGACTCTGCGGCTTGCATTTCGTTTCTATGCTTCAGCAAATCGCGGTTGATCCATTCCATGGTGCTTTGTTGCCGCTGTACCTTTTCTCTGATGTCGTTGAAATCGGATACGGCATTGCAACGTGCTTCTAGACGCGCCCTGTCTGCGTTGAAAGCAGCACCATCAAAGTTGTTAGGCCAGCCATGCTTGCGGTACAAGTACTTCATATCATCTCGTTCGCGGACGACTAGATGCTCAGGGATTCTTTTGTAGAACTCTTTCCTATCGTCGGCCGTCATCTGCCATACCCCGCTTGCTTCCTCACCACCCCCAGGAAGTCGTTTGAGGTCGACGAACCATTGCTTGATGGCTCTCAGGACATCGGGGGCGGGGCGACTTCGCATGCCGTAGAAGTTGTACTCGCCGTCCTCTTCGTCTTCACTTTCGTCATCTTCATCGTCAGTATCGCCGTCGTCGTCACCCTCTTCCACGTCTTCTTCTTCATCATTGTCGTCATCGTCCTCCTGTTCATCGTCATCCTCTTCATCATCTTCTTCTTCATCAACCTCTCCATCATGCTTTGCATCTGAATCACCTAAATGTGGTAATGGGTCGAAGCTGCCCGAAGACTGCTGGTCTACGATCCAAATTCGGTCTACCACACATGTCAGTTGCAGGTAAATTACCCGAGTTTGAACCCAAAGGAGTACATACTAAGCTTGGCATCATATAGAATGACATGCTGATGGTTCCGCATCATAGAAAGTGTGGTAGAGGAGGGTCTCATATACGTGTCGTCGTCAACAGAGAGCGGGTCACGGCTGAGTTCCAACAATTCACGATCCCGAAAATCGACAAAGTCGCCTCCCAAGACGAAGTCACCGGCCTCCACAGCGGTGAGATCTACGTACGGCAAAATCTGGTGCAGATAGGTGATTGCCCGGTTCAAACCGAGCTTTCTAGCTAGCTTAAGGTTAATGGGCGGCTCGCGGTGCGGCGCGCGGTTGATAGCATGCTCGGGGATGTATTGCATCTTGGCGAGGGTCGTATAAATCTCGTCCATCAAGTCAGCGATCTCGTGCAACTGAGAGACGGTCCTCTCGGACAGCCCCGAAGGGTCGGCAATCATCTCCCGCGACGCCATGCTGTGCATCACAGGTAATGATGAGATTAGGAGGGAATCTAAATTGTGGTACAGCGGCAGTGTAGCAGTAGAAGAATAAAACGAGACCGTCCAAAGGTTTCGAGCGCTTCATGCGGCACAGCAGTGCAACAGCAGCCTAAAGCGGCCCCCTGAAAGCCAAGGAAGGATTGCATTGTGTCTCCACTGATCCTACAAAATGACACCTGGGCTTGCTGGGTGGATGCACTACCACAAGCGAAGCACTAGGTACAAGGATTGCCTGGGCACGGGTGTAAAGATACCTACCCGCTTCCCCAGCATAGTGCAGTACTGAACAACATACTACAAGTCACTGCACCTCACAACTCAACCCTGGGCATTGTTCACGACTTAGGTCATCGGTTCGGTCATTTGTAGGGCAAGCTGGTCTCTCCCAGACGCAGCAACATTTGGCCAATAGGCACCCACAGCACCCACTAAGCTTATTGTGGTAGGGGACTGTGGGGTAGTTGGAGCCCTATTCCTGGGTCTGGACTAACATAGGCCTCATTGCCAAGCCCCTACTTGTGCTCAGATGGCTAAAAGCGTGCTGGGCTGGCTGGATAACGAGCATCACCAGTGTTGCTATACGAGATAGGATGTTAGCCCGTGGGTCACTTATGTAATAACATCCTTTAATTATAGCACGGCCACCTTAGTTTTAGATAGCTTGAAGACAACTAATAGGTCGGAACGTGTAGAGGAAGTGCGCCAAGTCCCAGTACGCGCGAAGGGCGCTGGCTGGGGCTAGGGTTAGGGTGAGGCGCTGTGCCGCGCCGATAGCAAAATGGGATTAAGTTGCTAGAAAGAAAACAACCTCAAATTGGGGCCAACGGTCGTTAAATTGACCCTTGACTACCTCGTTGCCTTCATTGCCTGGACCCCCCCTGTTCCAACGCGGCCCCAGAATCCAAGGACCTGCGTTCTACGCCAGCCTGTGATCTAATAGTCACATGTTCAGATTGATAAATCCTTACACTCCCTGCTGCACCTGTGCCTACACCTGTGGTGGTGCTCCCTGGGGTCCTGCATATATCACTTATTTCTGTGCAGCCTCCTTCTGCATCCGTACAGTCATGAATCTGGGACCGTTCTTGGACACCCAGAAACCAGCGTAGTCAGAGTATGCGAGTGCAGTATCCTGGTCGAAGCCAGGTCTCTCACCTCGCCCACTTTCTCCCGGTTTGGGCATCGTGACGTAGGCATCAAGATCCTGAAGGTTGACGGGAGAAGTTAGTCTTTCATTTTAAACATCATTTTCTCAAAAGCTCGCCTCAATCCTAGACGATCTTGAAGAGGAATCAGATTTTTCATAGTACTCACAAAGTACTTTTCGATAGCAGGGGTTTTCCCGGTGATTTGCCTGGCCAGATTGATGAAGACTTGCGTTGAGGCACTCTCAAAAGAGTTCTCCATGACCTCGCCGGTGGCGTCGTTAACAACTACTTTGGCGTAGATCATCACGTCAGGGTTCTTAAGTTTGTCGTCTTTGTGCTGGTTCCAGTACTGCTGAAGATCCTGCCTAGCCCGCTGCTGCCCCTGATCACCACAGGTGTAATGGCCAAACAGCGCGGCGTCGTGGGTGGAAATAATCACGCCAACACACTGATTAAAACCACGAGAACTACCAGTTTGTTGGCCCGCGTTGGAAAAGTCCGCGAATGCAGTCCTGTCCTGGCTGGCCTTGACAGGGGCGTTGTCCACGTTGGCTTTGAACGTTTTCAAGGGATTACTGTCCTTACGGAGGGCAAGCGTTACGCCTTGGGGGTCGTTCCTGAAAAGAGGTTTAGCTTCTTTGATACCAGGCGCCAAGAATTTCAAGATATTGAGATTTACCCAAGTGGCTGTGGTGCTGCGAGACAGAGTTGTAGAGCAGACGGGGCCAATAGGACACCGGCCAAAAGGTAGTTGAAGCGGTGCAGGGTAAATAGCTGCATAATGTTAATATTCGGTTTGATCGCCCAAAAGTTGGTTGTTTGTATAGAGTGGTACGGTCTTGAATAAGTAGCTAAGAATACGTTTTTATGGTGATAATAGTGATTGGATTGTCTAAAGGGAGGTGATGTGGCATTATATAGCTTTCTAAATGGTGAATTACGTTCATCTTAATGGCATATGTTTTGCCTGAGGGCAACCACGTCAATAGTGGACCATTGTGGATTGTAAACGCCTGGAGGATCTTCAACATGACACCTAGATCTTCACGTAAAGTGTTGAGGTAGTGTAGGATCATGCCTTCGAAACTAGCCAAATCGACTGGATATTTCTGTCTCGGATCAACCGGATACCTTAGAGGTACACAAAAGGTACATGTAGACATGCTTGGTTCAGCATCTGGGGACGGCATGAAATTGTATAAGGTCTCAAGTACCTGTGCAAGTCCAGGGGGTTTGCTCAAAGGCTTCCGTTCTATCGAATCCCTGGATAGGACCTCTTCAGCCCCTGATCTATCTCATAGCACCGGTCCTATAATATCGGCCTGTTCGGAGCAAGCTCGCGACCGTTCTCAAAATAGTTCATATCTACGTAGTATGTAAGAATCCGGTATCGCTTGACATCATCCTTCTTCATGCCTCGCGGTATATATGATGCATATCAATGCCGAACCTACGTGGAACTGCGGTTGCGGGATTGGGCCTTGTGTAGGGCTCGTGTAGAGTCAGCCTCGTTCATTCCTGCCATACAATGATTTGTCATCAGGTAGAGAACATTCCTCTGCCGGCCAGATCGGCGGAGTTTTAATACAGTTTAAGGTCACGCAAAAATAGATGTGGATTGAATCATCAGTGCCAGCAAGAGAGCCTGGTTCATGCAGAGCTTTTGATAGTAGCGTGTGCGAGCCTGAATCACCGTGAAAACGGTTCTCGGTGCCGAGTGTACGTCTGTTGCAAAGGTCAACATCTTAAAGGTGCATCTCGCGCGGAGCGCTTTAAAGCCATGATCGGGGTCGGCTTAAGAACTTGCCGAGCTGGCAGGCAAATGGATGCAATCAGAAGACATAATTTAAGCCCTCCGACAAGCATATGATTCCTCCTGATCTTGTGGCGTTTTCACTTCTGTATAACGCTGTCTATATTTTAGGTGCCGAGTAGATTCGCGGCAGCCTGGACGGTCTAAGGCGGGTAGCAGGGCCATTGGGATAAGGAAGTGTAGTCAGCTGACAGGATGTGGCATACGAAGACAGCGTATGGTGTATCATTGTACCGCTAAATAATTCTCTGCAATCACTACCTTTTTAACGCCCCCCCGCGGGATTCAAAACTATCAACACTTGTTGCACGAAGCCAAGAATCACGCGAGAAACTGTATACGGTTTCCTTGGCGATCACTGCGTAACTCAATCCTTTATTTACCAGTTGTTATTTTTTATGTCATATCAAGTCTAACTGGAATTAATCAGTGCCGCGTGCTTTTCGAAAGGGGTACGTGTTCAAACTCCTCACCCCTAGCATCCACTATTGCCCCAAAAACGCGTTGATGCAGTGGCTCAAAAAAGTGTGCACGGATAAAAGGTAGGCTTGAACAGTCCTGGTGTCTCCTAATGCAATGGTGATGGATGGAGAATCCCTCATTCCCACGAGCCCGAATCGCGAAATAAGCGCTACTTGCTCGACACCTCATCCTAACTCCTTGCCATGACGTGTGTTTCAACGAAGAATCCCAAGATGAGCAGCTCGATGCAAGGCTCGTCCAACTCCCTCGATGGAACGATCCATCGCTAGCCTAGTCAAGACAATGTTTCGTAGGACTACCTGTCGTCACTTAAGATATCAATATAAAAGTGGTTTTCATCTCCAAAATTCATTGCTGAAGTTCCTCATCATCAACAACATCATCCCCATCACCATCACCACTACAGCATTTCACCCAGATTTACCAAAGCTAGTTATTCAGCTTTACAGCTTCCGTTAACATAAATTTCCATACTACTATTATTTCTTCACCATGCAGTTCAATATCGGATCTATCGTCTTTCTAGGCGTCGCTGCCTTCGGCAGCCTTGCCAGTGCCCAAGCTGTAGCGTTCGGCCAGGAACTCCGGAATGGCGACCAGACCAACCACTGGGTTGCTTGGACCGAGGGCCAACACGCATGCCCCGGCCAGCAAGTACTCGATGTTCTCACGAAATCCCCGTGTGGCCAATCGTTCAGCCTCGGTGAGGTGTCGTACAGCTTTAGCGGCTGTTCCGGCGATAGCGGCGCCCCTACCGTCCTCCTTGACTCCGGCGGTCTCCAGATCGGTGGGTGTAAAACCGCATCCGGCAAAATCAATTGCCATGGTGACAACCACGATATCATCAAGCATGGCGTGTGTGCCATTGTTAACTAGAGAGACTTGGCTCGAGCTGGTCGACTGAGACTTCTATCGTCGATAACTGGGTGATATTTGAAACCAGGGAGGATCTCTGTTTGGGCTTAGATGCAAAAAAGTCTCGTTTGTCATCTTTTGTGGCTTCTCCATTAAACATTTCTTACACTCTCTCGGCTTTTGTATTCACAATGGAGCATGTGTATTACAGCATTCTGATCCCTAGGGGTGGATGCTACAATAGACCGCGTTATTTGAAAACGGAATTTTTTGTGAACCTTTGTGACTAGATCGTGGAAATTTGTGGCACAAATGCCAATCCTTCGTTATTTCGCTAATCTAACGCCCACCGCCAGAGTCTTGGGCGTTACCATTGCCTCTAAGTACAGCTTGGCCACGGGGAGTCCCTGGGGCCACCGCCGCTTGGTTTTGATCCTGGCGGGGGTGCGCGCTGTGTTTCAGTGGGTTCGAAGCAAGCTGAGTGGGCCGTGAGAGCGTCTTGTTGACTGTTTGAACTCGAGTGAGTCAGAGTACACGATAGAAATGTCACTGGCGTTCGGCTTAATCGCCGTCGAGCCGACTCGGAAGCCGTGACGAGGAACGCATCGACATATGCTTATCAGAATCTAAGCGGCCAAGGGGGATGAAATCGATATAAGTATATTCAATAAAAAAATATCATGCAGAATCCAAATAACGGTCTGGTGGATTCCGTCAGGTCTGTCAGAGGCAGGGTACTCCCGTCCCACGAGAAAGATCATAAATTGATCCGCTTCTTTCTCGCTTACTTCTAAGTTTCCCTGGGAGTGATAAGCACTGATCACACTGGGTCAAGTCCATAATTACACCAGGCAGCACATAGGTATTGCTAATGTATCAGATGAGGCCATGAAATGAATAAGTACTGAGGTCGGGTGGTGTGGTGGCTTGTGTAAGTGGCTTAGTGTGGCTTTGTGTTTCATTTCTTATATGGTCATTCCCTGCTACGTATGGACTTCGAGAAGATAACGCTCCATGCACCCATATAATTTGCCCCAAGACGCAGAATTCCCTTGCCCGTTTTTTGGACGGAGGTTAGAGGGCTTGTAGGCCCTTTCTGTGTAACAGGGCACTTATGATGGTAGCCACTCCGTAGCCCATGATTACCTCTCTTGAACTCAATTATTATGTCAATGAAGAGGGCGGCCGTAGGATATCTATTTCAGAGTTGTCACATCAGAATGTTCAACGTATATTTGAGGTCAATAGTCAAAACTGCACGTTTCCATCCCCATACAGAACCCAGCAATGTCTATCTTTCAACCCAGGTATAGCAGGCCACGGAGCACCCGCAGGGTTGCTTTCAACCAAGTGAGCTTATACTTATGGCGCAAACTTTATGCTTGTCTAGATAATTGTCCTGTCTTATTTGAGCCAAGCCGCCAAGTACATAGAACACAACTCTCATTTCTAGCCTCGGTGCGCCTTTGAGACCAGAAAACCCTCTTGCGGAGATCGAAGGACTGCCGGCCCGGTAATTGCTGATTGGTGGAACCGACTAATACGATCCAGGCTATCGGATCCGGGGTGCGGAGACTAGCGCTCCGTGATCTCTGCCGATCCTTCTGCTTCCTCATTTTGGCCCGATGTGCACCTGCCTGTTCACAACGTTTGAATGGGCTAGCACATGAGTGAGAAGTATGTAGTAAATGATCCGTAATTCATACCAAAAAAAAAAATAAAAAAAAATTATGTAGTTTGCACTCCTCACTGAGCGAGCCGGCGAGGACTCGGAATGCTATCATCTCCGATACTAAATATGCCGGAACCCTAAAGCGCCCGGACCAAGTCAAAACGGGGCCAATTCGAGCCGGCGGCTTCATGTTAATAGTACCAAAGAAACAAACATGGGTCGATATACCCCGTGGTAATTTCAGCACATGACTTCATTGCGCGTGCCGCCCTGTGACAGAGGTGTTCCTGTAGGCTTTAGGCCCGTACTCGATACATGATACATGGTCAATCAAGAATCGAGCCGCATCGTCTCATCGTCTGGCCTAATCCCCTCCTCCGCAACCAGGTTAGGCGTTCCATTAGAGCGGATTGGACAAGGACTAGTCTACGAACTCTTTCCCGGAATGCCGGCCTGGAGCCAAGTCTACCCTCCGCTGTCCTCAATACAGCTAGCAAATGCTTGTTTGGAGTAAGTTGTTGGAGACAATCCACTGCCATGCCCCTTACCCTCATCTGCCATGCTCCTCGCGTCCGTTAACCAACTTGGTTCCCAGTCAAGTGCTAGGCGTTAGGCGTGATATATATATCAAGATGTCTCCTCCCCGTTCTCCCCATGTGAGAACTGAGCCCCAGCACCGGTCCAAGTGAATCACCATATTCAACATCACCAAATATGCGGTCTTGTCTCGTAGGCAGCGCCTTCGCTGGTGCGGCTCTCGCCCAGGGTGCCGCCTGGGCCCAGTGCGGTGGAAATGGATACTCGGGTGCAACTACGTGCGTGTCTGGTTACGCCTGCAAGTACGTCAATGATTACTACAGCCAATGTCAACCTGGCACGGCTGCGACCACGGCTGCGACCACGACACTGGCCACGAGCACACGGGCGACGACCACGGCGCCATCTGCCACGGTGACCTCATCGGCTGGAAAGCTGAAGTGGTTCGGTATCAATCAGTCGGTTGCCGAGTTCGGCTCCAACTCGTACCCTGGAACATGGGGCAAGGACTTTTACTTCCCTTCCACGGAGGCCATTGGTGTAAGTCTCGCCTCACCACTGCCCCGTGGGTGACGATTATCCAAGCTAACATATTCGCGTCAAGACTCTAATCAGTGAGGGCTTTAACATCTTCCGCGTGGCCTTCTCCATGGAGCGCCTTGTGCCGGATAAGCTGACTAACGCGGCGGCCGACGCCTACCTCCGCAACCTGACGGCGACGGTCAACTACATCACGGAGAACGGGGCGCAGGCGATCCTGGACCCGCATAACTTCGGGCGGTACTATGGCAACATCATCACCGACGTCGACGGGTTCGGCGCCTTCTGGAAGACGGTGGCGACGGCCTTCAAGAGCAACGCCAACGTCATCTTCGACACCAACAACGAGTACCACGACATGGACCAGACGCTGGTGCTGAACCTCAACCAGGCGGCCATCGACGCGATCCGGGGCGCCGGCGCAACGACGCAGTACATCTTCGCCGAGGGCAACTCGTACTCAGGCGCCTGGACGTGGAACACGACCAACGGCAACCTGGCGGCGCTGACGGACCCGCAGGGCAAGCTGGTCTACGAGATGCACCAGTACCTGGACTCGGACGGGTCGGGCACGTCCGAGAACTGCGTGTCGACCGAGATCGGGGTGCAGCGCGTCGTGGGCGCCACCGAGTGGCTGCGCGAGAACGGCAAGCAGGGCATCATCGGCGAGTTCGCCGGCGGCGCCAACGCCCAGTGCCAGACGGCCATCGAGGGCCTGATCGCCCACCTCGAGGCCAACAGCGACGTGTGGCAGGGCGCCTTGTGGTGGGCTGGCGGTCCGTGGTGGGGCGACTACATCTACAGCTTCGAGCCCCCGAGCGGCACGGCGTACAAGTACTACGACTCGCTTCTGAAGGCTCACGCCCCATGAGCGCCAAGCGCTGGCAAGCACGGCGAAGGTAGAAAGAGAGGGGGGATGGCATGCGGGCCATTATCTTTTCGTGTACATACATTTTCTTGCATATGCGTACTCTGAGCCTGCTCATGGCCGGTTTTCTATGTAAATATCATTCGATCCAAACCATTGCATAAGCGTTTTCAAAAACAATAGATGGTTGCGTCAGTCTCTCGGACTGCTGTGGTGCCGATTGAACATTGCTCTCAGCTTTGTCTTTTGTTTTTTCTACATACCAGCCACCCATCCGAACGCCGTGCCATGCCATGTCAAGCCAATGCAAATCCCCCTTACTCGCCCGATGAGACGAGAGATGAAGTCGGTGACATTTTTGCGGGTATCCATTATACATCCAGGGCGTATCGCCTAGACTGTAGGTCACCTTCTACCGCCCCTACCTCCTCCACCACCCATCATGCCACCCATACCCATGCTCTTCATCATGCTCTGGATGTCCATGCCGCCGGGCATACCGCCACCGGCGCCGCCACCTCCGCCGAACATCTTGGCTAGACTGGCCATGTCAGGCATGCCACCTCCGCCGGCACCACCCATGCTTTGTAACCTCTTCTGCATGGCGGCCATCTGTTGTGCCTTGTTACCACCTCCCATGGCTTGTTGGGCGCGCTGCATGTTCTTCATGTTTCCGCCCATCTTCTTGGCCATACCAGCCATCATGCGCTGTTGAGTAAGGAGCTCCTCGACCTCACGAACACTGGCGCCGCTGCCGCGTGCAACACGCACCACCCGAGTCGGGTTTTCGACGAACATCTTGCCGTCACTGTCGAGTTCCTTCTCGGTCATGCTGTCGCAGATGTAGATCATCCGCTTGAGTTTGGCACTAGACTCCTCGTTGTCCATCTGATCCATACCGGGCATGTTGGCCATACCTGGAATCATACCTGATATCTTGGATAACGGGCCCATCTTCATGATGTTCCCGAGTTGGTCACGCAGGTCTCTTATGGTGAAGATACCCTCTGCTATGTGCTTGATGGTGTCCTTCTGGTCCAATTTGAGTGATTGTACATGCTCCACCAACCCGGCCATATCACCCATGCCCAGCAGCTTGTTGACAAATTGCTGTGGCGCAAATCGTTCAAAGTCTAGCATGTGCTCTCCAGTTCCGATAAACACAATAGGGGTGTGTGTGGCAGCGACAGCGGAGATGGCACCACCACCACTGGCATGGCCATCCGTTTTCGTGATGATGATGGCACCGAAGTCGGCGGCCTCCTTGAAAGCCTTGGCCTGTGACTCTGCTTGTTGACCTATCGAGGAGTCGAGAACCATGATAGTCTCGTCAGGCTTGATGGCGGCCTGGATATCTGTCATCTCCTGGAACAAGGCGGACTCCTGTCGATGTCTTCCGGACGTATCGACAATAATGACCTCGAAGCGCTCCTTCTTGAACTTCTCGACACCCTCCCTAGCCACAACGGCCGGATCCGTCTCCGTCAGGGAACCATAGTAGGGGATCTTGGCCTTCACAGCGTTCTGCTTCAACTGATCGAAGGCACCAGCACGGAAAGTATCGGCGCACACCAGGCAAGCGCGGAAGCCCCTGGCCTGGTAGTGGCGAGCCAGCTTTGTACACGTCGTCGTCTTACCGGCACCCTGCAGACCAACGAACATGATGACATTTGACTTGCCCTTCTTGGGTTTGAACGGTTCGGCGTGAGGGTCAACGAGCTTGACGAGTTCGTCGAAGACGGCTTTCTGAATCAGGCGTTTCTTGTTGACGGCCGGGGGCAGATCCTTGAAGTTGACTTGGTTTTTTATCGAGTTGGACAGCTTGCTGACTAGGCGCACATTGACGTCGGCTTCGAGGAGGGCGTGGGATATCTCGTTGAGCATGGCCTTGAACGCCTGGACACAATCGTGGGTCAGTCACCACCGAGCGGATGGAGGGGCTTATGCTATGAGAGCGAGCGAGCGAGCGAGCCGTGTCCTCACCTTCTCGTCCAGATTGGGCGCACGAGTGACATCGTGCAAGGCCGTGCTGATGCGCCGGCCGAGATCTTGAAGAACCATGGCGGCAGTAAGCGGCGATCACAGCCAGCGCAAGACCAGGTTGATGAAATGATGGTGATCTGGGATCGCGCAGGTCGACAGGTCGGCAAGTTCGGTGGATGTGCGCCGCTGGATATGCGATCGCAGCTTTGACGTTGTGGTGGGAATTGTGGAGGGGACCTGGTCACCTTGGACCTGGCCGACCTCAGGTGGGGCCTTGGCCACCACCAACCGTGGGGTAAAAGATACAAGGAGATACATTCTTCCGGCGCGCCACTCCATATGAGGTCCACGGGCAGGTATTGGGTCCCGTGGATGTCTGTCTGTCTGCCAGTACAACTAACTCGCTTCTCCGTATTGGCCAAGGGATGGATGCCGTACCATACTTGCCACGCCGGATGCTGTATGGGCCATCATATGTAGTGACAGAAGGCGACTAGTCAAGTGTTCTACGGGATTTGCATCACCTATATACGGATGGGGTGTGCTACGCCTCATCTCTCATCGAGGTAACTCGTGACAGGAGCCAGGTTAGCGTATAATAGCCCACAAGCAGAACCAGCACTAGCTGAGAACACTATGCTATACAAGGAAACGTGTAACACGACGCGCCACGCAGAATGTCGGCTTGCCCCCCATGATACAGGACATTTACGGAAGCGATCACATTCCCAATTACCCTTTTCGTGACTTGCGCCAAGCGTTAGCTGTGCGCATCCATGGCTGTGGCACACAAGTATCGTGAACCAGCTAACACATTCTCACTATCTGCGCGCCTGATGACGTGACTTTTCTCATCCAACTCTACTTAGGCGACAATCCTGCTCCATGACCGGATGCCCCGAAAAGTCTTCCTACAAATAAAGCCGTTCTGTGCTGCTCGAATCTCCCCCAAGGAGTGCGAATTGACCAGGCAAAAATGGCAGCCACCAATATCAATCACGAAGGATACGAACGCCGGATTCTCGCCCTTGGGGGTATTGTGAAAGGACTCGGTCTCGATGTATGCTTCCGCAGCTGGTCCTAGGCAATGTCTAATCGATAACGCTGTTAGACGTCTTCCATATCCCCAGTCGAGTACGTGGATCATGCTCCATTTGCATTCAACAACTTCGTCTACAAGGTCGAACTGGCAAAGCCAGCAACTGCTGCACATTTCAAGACCAGGGCAAAAAAGGCGTGTGACTATTGCTCTGCCCGATCCAGGCATTTCTGTCTTGATCGTCCGGCTGAGCAATTCCCACGCAGAGGGGATGAACAATGCCAATCGTGCGGAGAATGAGGTGGCAGCGCAGTCGCTCTTCCGCCAACACCTTGCAGCGCATCGCCCACGCTTGGCACATATTATCCCGCACGTTTACGCATGACAGCCATGCAAGCCCCCCGAAGTCCCCGATGAGAGCGGCTTCGCGTGGACCATGTGCGAATACATGCCGGGTGACAATTTGGACCAGATATCTTTGCAGCCTTCCAAGGGACAACTCTTCTTGATAGCCTCCATGACCACTTCGGTGGCCTGACTTTTGCAGCCAACAGTCAAATTGTTGGAGGCCAGATGCCACTTCTACCAGAAGGTCCTTGGCAGAGGTACAAAGAACTGTGGGTTGCTCGCTTCAAACAGCAACTCAAAGGCGCCGACAACAGCTCCTTGCTCAACAGCTGGAGAGTGAATGGCATCCGTGATCGCATTGATAAGTTTGTCAACGACCATGGAATTGCAGAATTGCTAAAGGGTGTGGACACTGCACAACGGGTGCTTGTCCACGGTGATTTAAGTAAGTCCAAGCCGACTCTGGCATCGTGCAGGGGGAAAAGGAACCAAAAAAAGCAGACCAAAGAAAGAAAAAAAAAAGAGGGCTGACACAGCGTATCAGCCAAGAACAACATGTTGTATGACAAGTCTACCAACTGCGTGTCGGCGGTGTTGGATTCTGGCTGGGCATGCGTGACAAACCCTGCGCATGAGGTCTTCACTGGACTGTGGGATATTGGGGGCGATACTCATCCTGAGGATTCAGATTTGCAGAAAGCCATACGGGAATATTTCTACTTGCGAGCGACGACCTGTCCCCCGAACACAAGGTCAAGTGGAAGATTGCCCGGGCCTGGGACGCCTTGCTGGCAGCCAGAGGTGCTATTAGGCCATCATCGATCCATGGGATCGACAGACTGGAGAGATTGAGACAGTTCGAGGAGCTGCTATGCCCGTTTGACCTTGGAAATGAAGTCATGATAGAGCGCCTCAAGCGGAAGACGCCGGAGTGGGTGGAAGTGAAAAGAGAGGCAGCCATGAACCAGCTATTGGCATTCCTGGATTCGGTCGCAGCATAATTTACGTAAAAGGGGCGGAATTTCTCAAGCGAATGATTTGAGTGGCGTGGATGCAATTTGCTTGGATTATCACAAGTAAGAAGCGGCTTAGAGATTTTGTATACATCAATGTGACTACTACTGTGTATTGCCAAGCGACTCCAAGCACATGCAGCCCTAGGCGTGTCTCGAGTAGTTTCCACCCATTCCGCTCCTGAACACGCCGACCCGCCCGCTAGGTATGTGATAGCGAGGCCGCCAGCGGCGCTGCGCGCAGCGGGGTTGCTTTCCCCAGGGGACCCTTTCGATGTCTTGCCAGGCTGAATCTGGGGTTTGACCCTAATTTTGTGGGACTAGCCGTCACAGTGAAACGTATTGAGGGGCGACCGCCACGTATAGACATGGCGCTGAAACCATCTCGTGAGGTTCCATGGGCCTTTCCGGGCCGAACGCACAACAAAGCTTGGCGGAGATCCGAGAATTCAGATCAAGCTGATGATAGAAAGCAGGAATGGAAATTACTCTTTCTTAGCATTGGTCTACGCTAGATGCGAAAAGTTACGCCTCAGCCCCTCTTCATGAATTGACCCTCAACCAACACCACAAAGAGCATAGTACTCAATGATTTGATACCTGCAGACCCGTGGAATTTCTTTCATCAATCCGCTCTTCATAATACAGTTCCCTCATAGTAAAAGGTCCTATGAGTTAAGATTACCATGGGAAGCAGAATCCTTGTGCTCAAGGTCCTACTTTAACTTATCATGACCGTCCTTCTCTGATACTCAAAAATTGACAGCTCAGTGTCGGAGATCGGCTAGAGATCGACGCAAGTGGATGCAGCCTTACGCACCAGGGCCGAAGCTGCAGGAACCAAAACATCCAATCTAGCGGCTGTAGACGGGGTTTGGTGACAGGCGCACTTTTAGCGAGTGGTTGAGACAAAGGATAATGACCCACCAAGAGCCGCTGAGGGCCGGAGTGGACAGTCCTCTAGAACTAGACACAGCGGAACCCTAATGCGACGCGTTCCTGAGCGTACACGCATATAGCGCCAGGGAAATTCCAGCTGATAATGAAACTCAAAGACCTTAGCGTACAGGCCCCAGCGACAAGCGCGCCTCTGCAGTCGGCGCCCAACGACTGGGCGAGGCCACCCACCGTGTGTGGCTTGCGATAGTCTCATAATAAGTTCGATAACATGATAAACAAGCCAAACGCCAGCTAAGCAAAGTGTCCACAGTCAACCGTTCGTTGTCATCCACCAAATTGCCACAACGCTCTCGTCAGCTTCTAGACTCTGTATTCCTGAAGCAGAAGAGGTGCAGTTATGGGTCACAAGAGCCGCAGAAGTGTCAATAGGCTCCAGAGGTACAATCAACTGGTCCATCAAATCATGCCGCCTGCACGCCACTATTCAGTTATTAGGTCAGGAATTGAACACGGCAATCGCGGTCAACGTTATTTATAATAGCAGAACCTTGGCAATTGTATGCCAGCATGTGAACCCGTTCTAATGTATCTCGTGGTTTGGTTCCCTTCATCTCGTGATATGGTCAACAGGGTGACCTCAGCCAAGTCCATAACCCGTGCTTGGAAAACCCGCACAGCGCGCTTAGACAAGTACTAGTGTTCAAGCTCAGACGACGGTCCTATAGGCGTGACTCTAGCGGCACATACCGTTAGAATCGAAGGGTTGTGTGAAGGATGTTTCACAAAGGTTATTTGCTAGCTGCATCAATCGAATAGGCAAATGCCCTCTGAGACCTCGTGATCCAGAGTTCAGTACGGTTGGAAACTTTCGCCTGAGGCGGTACGACCAAACCGTGGTTATTTACTGTCTTCGCAAGGCGTATTGCAGACAGGCATATAAGCTCGCTATTCTCTATCAACGTATTCCTTTGAGTTGTCTGTCAGCAGCACATGCTCCGATCCTTTTCTTATACGAGCTACAGTCTCTCATTAACATTCCTTTTTCCATAGATAGTGCTCGAAGATGCTAAACCAAGCATTTACTATCCTCGCCGCAGCCGGCTTGGCTGTTGGCCAGTCCGTTTCGAACACTGCAACTGCTACGTCCGACATTGCTGCCGCTGCGGCCACTGCCCGGACAGAGTCTCCGACCTCCCATGTCAAGGGAAAGGCGTTCGATCGTATTGTTCAGATTTATCTTGAGACCACCGCCTTTGACAGTGCTGTGAACAACAGTAGGTTTTGTGTCGAACGGCATGACCGCATACATCTACTTACAAGTACTGTAGCCGATTGCCAGGCATTATTCAAGAAGGGAATCCTGTTGACCAAAGAGTATGGCGTCGGTGCCCCCAGTCAGCCGAACTACATTTCACCTGCCAGTGGTGATACCTTTGGGCTCAACAGTGATAGCTTTGTCGTCGTTGACAAGAACGTCTCCACCATTGTTGACCTTCTTGAGGACAAAGGCATCAGCTGGGGTGACTATAATGAGGGACTGCCATACACTGGCTTTGATGGCTTTGAGTACAGCAACCCAGTGGAGGGTAACTATATGCGGAAGCACAACCTCCTGATCCGATTCGATTCTGTTACCAACGACCCTGATCGCCTTGCCAAGATCAAGAACTTGACACTGTAAGCGACTATATCTCCGGTCTCAATGCAAGACTAATACAAACTTGTGTGTAGGTTCTATGAGGACCTGGAAAACGAGCGCCTCCCCCAATGGTCGTTCATTACCCCCAACTTGTACAATAATGGACACGATACCAACATCTCCGTCTCTTGCAATTGGACCCGCAGCTTCGTTGAGCCTCTCCTTGCAAACAAGTACATCAACGACAACACATTGTTTTACATCACTTGGCAGGCCAACGGACAGAACGCCACCCAGCGTAACCACGTGGCTGGCATCCAGGTCGGATCTGCCATTCCCGAGCACCTGGTGGGTACCACCGATGATGGCTACTTCAACCACTACAGTGAGCTGTCGTCCGTTGAGGCCAACTGGGATCTGCACACTCTGGGTCGTTGGGATGTCGGCGCCAATGTATGGAATCTTGTCGGCCGCAAGACCGGCGATGGCATCCGGCAGTGGGACGAGAAGATTGCCCTGGGGCCTTTCGAGAGTTACTTCTGGAACCAGAGTTACGGTGGTGTCTTCAGCAGTGCTCCCAACACCACGCACACCTACGTCGCGCCCAACATCCACCTCGAGCACAACGGGCGCACTGTCCTGCCAGCTATCCAGCGCAAGTGGCGCAACTCCAAATGCCGCGGTCTGCGCACTTACTACGAAGATATCATTGAGCTGCCTGATGAGTTCCACCCGCCCTGCGGCTTCGAAGTCCCCATCGGTCTTATGCCCCACGACCCCATCATGACTCCCATCACCGTCTTCCCTGCCGCAAACTACTCTGACACGACCGGCCTTGCCTACCCGTCCATATGCCGTAGCGCGTCTAACTTGTACCCAACTCACCCACCAAAGCCTGACTACGGCAACGGCAAGGACCACTAAACGCTCGGACCTCATACTTTTAAGGAAAGGCGTCGTTCAAGAAGTACAGCACAAAGTTGGGCACAGCTGCGGGAAGTCCAGGATGAAGGGAAGAAACACTAGCAACTTGACGGAATGCCTCCACGCTCCTTGGATATACATCCCTCCGGGTCTTTGTTAAACTACCAACGTTTTATTATCATCTTCAATTAAGATTTTTAATGCTGGGCAAAATCGACGTCCAATACAACCTGCCCTAATTATGCCGTAAATTTCCTAGACCATCCAAATTGATGCCACATCCAGAGACCCCTTCTCTTGTATCTACCTTCGTAGATCGTCGATTTTCTTCTCGATCTCCTTGTTAACAGACTTCAGAGGTCGCACATGATGGTCCGGTTTCAGTAATAGCCTCATCTGCCCTTCGAATGGGTCTTCCTTTTGTGAATACTTTTGATACAGAAATCTTGCTGACACTATAATAGGTTAGGCTATTTTCGTGGCTTGACTTTTGCAAAGTGTATACTTACGCCATAAAGTACGGCTCAGATCTACCAAGTTGGCTCCAACAATTTGAGCCAGGAACACAATGATGCACCATGGTAGAAGTATGATTCCGCCAATGCCGTTCAAACCTGTCATCCAGGTAAAGCGCCTGCTCCTCATGTCTCGATATGCCGATGCCACCCTCCTGGCAGGGAATTCAATGAGGAAGTACCGTAACCAGAACCAAGCGTGCCAAGACTTCTTTCTGCTAGGGCCTACTCGTCGATGGGACGGTGGGAGGTCTTCGTTCTTGCCACTGCGCTTTCCAGCCACCTTAGATGGTCCTTCTGGGGAACTGAATAGACCAGGTGTCGAAGGCTCTGTCTTCTTTTGATTTTTCTGGGAAGAATCGATACCTGCCTCCCCTTTCTCAGCCTTTTGATCATTTCCCTTATGATACTTATCGATGGGTTTCTGGTCATCGTCCTTGGGTCCCTTCTTATGAAGGCCAAAAAGTGAACTCTTTTCCATGTGTCGTTCTGAGAACTGCTCTATCCGGCTGGACAGTTTCGCGAACTTTGCCCCCAATGTTTCTGCATTGACAAGCGCGAATACCGTGAGTACAAGGGCCACGAGAGCGCAAGCTGCCATATTGCCAATCAGGCTTCCCTCTGGGGTTCCACTCATACTGAATATACTAGCTGCAAAGCCGAGGGGCAAGAAAACGACCGTAACATAGGTGAAGAAACGAATATCCTCCGCTCCACGAAGCGATAGATCACTGCTGATCTGTTCTTGGCGTGCTCCGAGAAGCTCTCTGAGTGACCCTGTTTCAATGCGAAGGCTTCGCAGGTTTTTGATCTTGTTGTTATTGGAACCCAGAAGTTTCTTGATGTCACCACGATACTTGCGTTCGTCGTTTCGCGTCCAACGCGGCTTTTCAGATCCACGATCATCTTCTCGGGACTCCCATCTCGAAACAAGTGCCTCCACTTGTTCCAGGTGATTCTCAATCGCCTGTAGAGTCTGCTGTGCTTCCTGCCAACGGTCACTGGAGGAGAAGTAGTCATCGCTCTTGAGGTCCACGAAGGAAAAGGCACCCTCGCGTACACCGAGCTCATTCTTGAGCTTTTCAATGATGTCCGTCGTACTCGATACCAACTTCGTCAAAATTCGATCGAACAGATACAGTTCAAGGACCTTACGTTGACGCCAGGTCCTTTCTTTGAACGAGTAATGGGAAGAGAGTTCTGATCGTTCACTTTCGGAGGAGGTGAGAGTGCATTCAATGAAGTGGCATGTCCAATAGCGATCAAACAGGTCTCCGTGAAAGCGGAATCCCATCGAAGCCCTGGTGATTCTGCTTGCTTTGCTGCCCGGGAGGTCATCTTTACCACGCCTGAGTATACTAGGCGAACGGAGCTCAGACTCGTTCCTGCTATCGACCAGCTGATAAAACGTCAAATGGATCTCGGTCTCCCAGGTGTTCAAGAACCTAGTTGTGTCATCGAAAAAGTACAGGTCATGATGTGCGTGCCGATCAAAAAACGAGGATATTGCCGTCCTTTCGTCTCCGGGGGTGCCCAGATAACACACGAGTGCGGTCTCAGCATTCGGTTTTGGAAGCCATATGAAGCGCTTTTTGGCTTCAGCTGGGGTGCGAAACCGCGAAAGCCGCTGAAAGAGGCTGTCATTACTCATCCGAGACATTTCCCAATAGCCATCGTCTTTGATCGGGTTAGGATCGTCGCCGCCGTAGCGCGGTTTCTTTTTCCCTTGGGAAACCTTTTGCCGTGTGTCAGAAACCGAGGCCACGCGTCGAGTTTGGTCGAAAATAGGCCGCAGGTTCTCAGTATGCTGCCCACTCTCCAATTCATTGTATCGGTATATCGCTGCCCCCAGCCATTCTCTGATTGATTCTGCTATTACATGTCCGGAAAAGGCGCCGCCAAGTTTGCACAAGTCCATCCAGCCGCTATACAATATCTGGTCCTCCATCAGAAGCTGGACTCTAGGACTCATGTGGTTCCGCAAAATCCAGTCTAGCTCAAGGCGTATTGACTCCAATTCGACTGAATCTTCAAGAAGAATTCTGTTTCTCCTACCTAGGAATTCTTGAAAAAATTCCGTCACCCTCCCGTAGATATCTCTTTGTAAAAGAAAGGTTGAGAGCTCAATTCGGGCTGTCCAATCCTCCTGCCCGTTAATTCCACCTGCTGGGTCCAGAATCTGATTTACACCCTCGACAGTATCCGTATCCATACGCCGATTGAAAGCCTTCCTCAGGTTCTTGTTCTCGGTGATCATTTCTGCCAGTAGTAGAGGCTCACGAATGATACTGTTGCACAGCTGCCACCTTACCTGACCGTAGTTGTCCAACATGGGCATGATGGTTTCTTTGGCGTTCTGTCTTCCAAGTAGAGCTTCGGTAAAGGGACTGATAAAGATGGGATTCTCTAGTAGATCACCAAGCACTTGCCGTAGAGTCTTCTCCAATGCATTGCCTTCGACGCTTGATACCATACTGTTGTGGCTTGGTAAAAATGATGGATAGTTGTACAGCCATTCTTCATCGATTTCAACGATGTTGAACGAATCGATCATGTAGTTAAATGGCACTATCTTCTTCATAGAAGTAGCTTTCCTGTACTGTTCTCGCTGGGCCGCCAGTGGCCTTGTTGTATTCCCACGCTCAATCCCGGTTAACTGTCGTTTCGGTATGGGCAATATCTGTAGTGAATCGTTGCTGTCTGGCTCCAGGCTCAGTTTTGCCTTTTCCGGTAGAGAACGGGGATTGGTAATACCCGAAGAGTTGACCAAGAGGATGTATGGAATCTCAAAACTGGCATGATAATAGAAATCACGATGTGCATCCATATGAAACAATATGGGTTCTTTCGTTGTCTCATCCAACTGTCCAAAAAAGAGGCCATTCTGGCTGGAGCTTTTGAATAGCACATCCAAGGAAGCTTCAACCAGGTTTGCCGGCGAACGCTTATTGATGCTGTGCCCCAAAGTGCCCATGATGACTCCGAGAGCATATCGAAGTGCGTTGTCCCATCGAGTCTCCTGGTTTTCGTCGTGTAGTGCCTGTGCCTCCAGTGTGTTCTCCCAGACCTCTTGCGAAGAAGGATCTTCCGGGAAGAAGCCCCAGTTAAGACCATAAAACAATACTGTATCTCGAGAATGAAACAGAAATCGTGTTTCTCTGGACGACCTAAACACAGCTAATGTCCGTCTCCTGGAAAAATCATTTTCTGTTGTAAAGCGTCGGAAAACCTCCCGCTGAACATCCCGCGAGGCAAATTTCCTACCCAACAGGTGTGGAGGCAACTCCAAAAGGTTCTTTGAAACCCATAAGCTTGAGGTCATCAAATCCCATTCCTCGATTGCTTTAATCGCCCTCCAAATCCACACGTGATCGTCGAGGCGAAACACCCCTGTGCCGTCTTCTTGTGCATGTGGCCAAGCAAAGCTTCCTCGTCTGTTCAAGACATGCATGTCGCTAAGCCAACTAAAAGCTGCAAGATACAAGCGCGGATCATTCAAGATTGCACCCGCCTCCGTCTTGTCTTTGCCAAAGGACGTAATATACGCCTGAATTTTGATAAGCTGGTATGCTGTATCAGTCAACGAATCAAGTGGTTGCCATGAGCTGTTCAGATCCTGATGCATTATCTTCCCCGGCACCCAGTAGTTCGCCGCAAAGTATCCTGAAGGCCTTCTCTCTGCTTGACATAGTATCCAGGCGACATGTCCACGACACGTTGACCAAATTCTTCCCAACAACCAAATGGCACACTCGGTTTTGCTGAATTCTGAACGTGATATCAGGTTGGCAACTTCAACGAGGAATTGAAAGGCAAAGCTAGATGGAAAATTAGTATTTGTCCCACACAATCGCCAGTGAACTTGGTTCGATGTCATTCTAAGAGCGGGTGGTAATGGCAGGAGCAATGACCTTTGAGTATTTCGTACTCTGGTGAGACACTGAGGGCTGGGGTAATTGAACTTTCAGGGAGAATCAAATCTCGGACAGGACTTACAAACTGCCAGAAGAGGTGACACGATGGAAAGAAATATCGCCGCAAGTCAATGCGATAGGCCTGCCAAGTTGGGAGAATTTGTTCCCAGGATCGTCCAGCTTGATGCCTTTGCTGCTCCAATGGTCCTGTGGCCGAACCAAGGGAATGGCGCAAACAGAAAGAATGTGCTCGAGATTTCGACGCGCAATATATTCAAGGCCATTCCTGTGCAATCTTCGCCGCTCTCCGTGGTATTGTGTTTCATTTGGGTCCGGCGACTTCGGATTGCATATGGAGAGCTTTCCTGGCTGTGGCTCTTTTCTCAACGATTTGTAGACATCGCTGACTATAGCGGGGATGAGAAAGCTCTGCCAAGCACCCATGGATCCCTCAAGAAGAATCATTCTGTAGGCAATGGCTATTTCCATTGTGCTTTCATCCTTGCTCTTGGGCGCCAGCGTTTTTACCCACATGTTCGGTTTTGATTTCTCCCAATGGAGCGGGCGGCCATCCACGAAGATGGATATGATTATCGCAACTGAATCCGCCCGTGTCGGTGTAGGACTTTTGGTCATATCGTCTGAGTAGTTATCATTTGGCGGCTCCAGTTGGTGCATCAAAACCCACGACAAATCTTTTGGGCCGTTTGTTTGAGTATATCCTGAGTATACGTCATTAAATATGTATCCAGGGTCCAGATGGTCCATGTCACGTATCAGAATACTCTTCCTTTGGTTCGAAAATTCGCAACTGACAGGCACGGATACTTGCCCCTGATTTTGCAGTATGCAATGCTGTACAACAGTCTCGTGATGAACAAGCCACAGGGTAGTGTAGTCAACTTTGTTGCCTTTGATGTCTTTGTAATTGCTACAGAACCTTGGCCAGCGATAATTGACATACGACAATTTGGGCCGGCTCTGAGATGACAAATTCGTGAATCGAAAGCCATACATATCTGGTTGATCGTATGATTCCTTGTCTGATATGGCTAGAAGCTCGGCTGTTCTTTCTTTCACCAGATAAGGCTCCGGTACACATCCTTGGTCGGCGGTAAAAACGCCAGACCTCCCTTTGCCAATGTATCTCCCAAATTGCATCAGGTTTCCGTAGGCGCTAACGGTAGCAGTGATCCCATCTTCGCCAAAGGAGGAGTAGCAGGTTCGATTTGGAGCATTGTCCCACGTTTGACCGCCAGATTCCTCAGGCCGCCAGTGTTCTTCGTCTGAGCAGGAAAGGAATGCATTAAGATCCTTATCATTGGTTCCCCCCACTTCAGGAATCTGAGTTTCGTCCCAGGGCAATGACGAGGTTTGCGTCGAGCCTGCAGCCATGTCTAAATCCAAGTTCGTTGGTTTCTCAGAAGCAGGCAGCGAGGAAGGCTTGCGGAAGAAGTCAACAGTGATGTGAGCATTGACAAATGTGATGCATTAGCTGAAAAGTGGGAGCTGAAATCAAATTCAGCCGAGTGGCGTGCATGCATGGCGTTATTGCAGGGCTGGTGTGCGGGAAATCGTTATCACTTTCGTGGGTTTCCGAACGGGTCAAGTAGACTGACTCTTCAATTCAAGTAAGTATCATCAGACGTGCAGAAAGTGCTGTCCAATGCGATCGAGTTGATACTGTTGGCATGGGCAATAGCACAGCCTGACACCCCTCAATTCTCTGCTTATCAAGGCCTATATGTATGCCGCGCTTACGCACGTCGACATTTAGGGAAATTGGGGCCAGAGGATCCCCCATTGATCCCGGGTGTCGTACTTGCGCATAAAGCCTGCCCAGCATTAAGTTAACTGCGGCTTATCATTGGGCTGAAATGACAAAATCAGTACCCCGCTGTCGTAGCCCCTGTGTATATCCCAAACTGGCAGATGACCTCGTTCTTTGACTAATGAGAACAACTGCAGCCTGCAGCAATAGCTTGAATCGTTTTCTGCAGATTCAATGTGGCACCAGAAGGAAGCATGTACATAATAGAGCAGTCGAAAATGACCACGCTGTCAGTGCGGCGAGTAGTTGTCAAATCCATTTGCACAGTGAAATGTTCAAGTGTAGATGCAGTGACAAAGTGCGCACGGACCGGTCTCGTCGGGTGCAATCACTAAAGACAGAATGTAAAGGTTCATATATCTGTGCGCCGTATACAACTTGGTGGGCTGTTCCGCTTGGGAGTGTGGCCTGATATACCAAGGTCATACGATCAAAAGAAAATTCCAGTAAGGGCTTTCACGAACGATTCTGCGACGAGCTTCTGAATTTGTTGGCCGGGATGATAAGTGTCATACCTGAAGAGTAATCAGTGGAAGACACCTTGGAAGCAAGAGTGAACAGGAGTATCTACCAGACACAAGTGGTGCCGTCAGAGTTGTAACATGTGACGTCGGATGAAGCGCCATATTTCGTTGGGCTGTTCAGCACAGTCTCAAATGCTTGCGAACTATCAAACAACTGCGCAGTGATCCCCTTGTGCGCGGCCTTGAAGGTAGCAAGCCTAGACGAAAGAGCTGAGTTATATGCCGTTATGTTCGATCGCAACGCATTGAGACGATCGGCGGACTGGCCCACCATAACAGGTGCGCGGTCAAATGCTAGATCAAGTGTCAAGAGTCAAGGCTTGTAAGGGCTCAGAGGAGCGTAGTGCAGCTTACGTGGAACAGAGAATAAGACAAAGTTGGTCGCGCCATCGTCATACAACGTCAGCAACAAGTCGAAATAGCGATCCATGACAGCATTAATTGGCGTTGCAGCAAAGTCCCAAAAAGACTCGCCAACATCGTTAATACCTATCCACACCGCGACCAAAGTGTTTGTAGAGGTCCACGGCGCATAGTCAGGCTTGCTCGACAGGTAACTCTGAAACAAGTCGACCTGGCCATCGAAGTTATAGCTTGCGTAGCCATCCACGATACTGGAGTCTGTCACGGCGCCAGAGACAGCTAGATCGTACGCTAGCACCAGTGATGTATTGAGCTTGCTGGTAACGTGACCAACCCAATTAAGACCACCGCTCGTAGTCGTTCCAGGAAGAGTCGGGTTGCCGATCGGGTTGCGTGCTGAAGGCTTGTCGCCGCCTATCCACGACCCTGTTGTGGAGTAAGAATCACCACTATATGCCTGAATTAGGAGCTACGTCTCAAATAACTTCAGTTCTCCACTTACAATACCATGAGGTACTTGATGGCTGATGATGAGACTTGTGCACTAGCGCTCGACGATGGCTTCGAAGAGGCAGCACCGGATGACTGGGGCGTTGAAGTCTCGATAAGGATGGTACTGGTCGAAGATGCCACAAGAGTCTTGGATGTGGCACTGGTGACTCTGGTCGACGTGGAAGTTGCTTCATTTGTTGAGCTACCCGTAGTTACCCCAGGGATACATTGGTAGTAATAAGGGTTATAGGACGAGCAGACGGCACCCGAGACACACTGGGTAGAACCTGTATATCCACTCCCTCCGCATTGGCCGTAAATACCTACTTGCGCTCGCACAACGGATAGGCCTGCTGCCACCGCAAACAGTTTACATGGAGCGAACATTGTTGATTGGCCTTTCATCTGCTTCATTGCACGAAATTGAGGCTTATCCAGGGAAGAGCCAACTGTAGGCCGAGACTAGACTCAAGTGCATCTGGTCAACCTGGCAAGAAATTTACCTATATAGTTATGCTTTTCCATGCGACCGAAATCGCTGTCAGCGATTAACTCCTGGCTCCACGATGCCACGTCGGGACCGTTCCTGTCATAAACTTTACGGTCTATTGCTCATGGTGAGTGGCCCGGAAGATTTCCTCAACAGGAGTTGCACTGAGAACTCCGTCCCTTGACGCCATTGGTGGGATTCCTCAAGCGGCCACGCTCCAGCGGTAAGATTACAGGGCTGTAGGCGGGTATCAACGGGGCACCCCGGAACGCTCCGCCGAAGCATAGGAATGGGCCTAGTGTCGCGGCGCGTTACTACGCAGGAATGCTGGCTCTTACTCTCATACCTCGTCATGTCATGGAAAATGATGCATAAGCAATAGAAAAGTGGTTGTTTATTTCGTGTTCAGGTAAAATCTCTGTCATATGTCTAATTATTCAAGGTCCATCGCCAAATCTCTGAACGCTGTCCCGTGGTGAACGAGCGGAAGTGAAATAGAAATAACACAATTTGAAGAAGATGAAGGAGAGATAAGAAGTGTATGTTCTTCCACTGCCGCGCAATCAGCTGTCGCTCGCCGCTTTGTACGACTCCGTGCGAGAGCCTTCAATGGCCGAACCCGAATACTATGGTATATCAAGCCATGTCACTAATGCACACTCTCGTGAACTTCGTCATGTCCATGGCTCTTGCTCTTCCCCCAGGACCACCATCCGTGCCCATCATCACTATGGCCGTGCTCCTGTGGCGCTTCAACAGGATGGTTTGGAACAGCAATTGCTGTTGGACCGGGGTTGATGGAATAGACTGGGTAGCAAGTGATCCCTCCGTAGCCCTTGGCGACGCATGTGGTAGAAACCGGGTTAGTGGTGATAGCAATGCTGGATGATGTGGATGAGTGAGTGACGGCGTCGTTGCTACTGGATGTTCTGCCCGAAGTTGTCCATGTTGGAACTGGGGTGCTCCACGGTATCGTAGACGTTACCGAGAAGCAGATATAAGTCGCACTCCCGCCGTATGTTTGTGTGTAGACACAAGACGTGCTGACAGTTGCGCTGCTTGGAGATACCGAGGTTGTGATGTCGAAAGTCTCAGATGACCTCGTTCTCGAGCTGACACGATCTGTTGAGCTCTGCCCGAAACCACTTGTGGTGGCGGTGGTGGCAGTGGAGAGCGTGCTTCCAGAGCTGGATATACTCCTGGATGCACTGAACGTGGACGGAGAGTCAGTCGCCGAAGAAAGCGATGCCAATGATGTAGCGCTTCCTGTGGTCAATGTCGAAGAGCTGTCATACGCGGTTGATGATGTTGAAATCGACACAGTTGAGGAGCTTAGACTAGAGGTCACTGTCTCGCTTGTCAATGTCGAAACAGCGTCGGTCCATGAACTAGAAGATATCGAGCTGCTAGTCCAGATGAAGCTTGAAAGCGAAGAGACTGTCGCCGTAGATGAAGCAATGCTTGACCCAGGTTGGGATGTTGGTGCGTTTTCGGACACCGTCGTTCCAGGTTCAGTCGAAGAGCTCACAGTGATGGATGAAGAGTGACTGACCCCCAGGCTGCTGGATGTGGAAGCAGTTACTGTAATGGTAGATGTAACACGGTGAGAACTGCTTAGCGAATCCGACCTAGACGAGGATCTCGTAGACAAGCTTGGTGGTGGTGGTATCACTGGGTAAGTACTGACGGACGGAGCACTGGTTATCTCAGAAGAAGTGACCGTTGTGGATGTTTTCTTGCTTGAACTAATACTTCCTGATGAAGCAGGCAATGTGCTGCTCACATCGGTTGAGAACCAGGTGGTCGAGCTGAGAACCGTTGTGGAGCTTGTGAAACTGCTAGAAGTAAGACCTGATGTCGCCAAACTGGAAATGCTCGTATGTCTTGAGCTGGTGAAAGGACTAATGGTGATAGTGGAGTTCCATTTGAACGAGGAGTGTGATCGGGTAGAACTTGTCAACGAAACAGGTGTGCTACTAGAACTTCCGGAACTCGCGGATCTCGTCTCCGAGGTTGAGCTGTGAATTTCCGAAGATGAAGAGCTACCAGTGACTGGACTAGTTGAACTAGCAAGGATACTGGAGCTGGTCGTTTGACTTGACAAACTCGTTGCAGAGTCCGTACTCGTAGACCCAATCGTAGAAACTGTAGATGATGTGCCAACTGAAGCAGAGATAGAACTACTCCGCGGGATAGAAGAAAATGACGATGACAGACTAGCAGTTGATGTTACAGTCTCTGACATAAGGCTACTGGGAGATTTGGAAGTGGAGGCTGTGCTGGTTGTAAATGACGGAAGAGTAGTTTCGTGGCCTTCGGTACTATTACCTTGTCAGAGCTGGCGTCGTGTTCTTAATTCCATATGGTATTGAGCTTCCTTTTATATTGAAAGATGAAGTACTTTTGGCAATATCATTTTGACACGACTGCAAGAACCATTTCACTCACCAAGTGGTGCTGGACGGATTAAAGCCATCTGAGGTGGTTGTGTCTGAGTTGCTGGAAGTGGTAACGCCACTGGTCGATGCCGTCTTTGAGCTCACAGGCAGAGTACTTGTAGAAGATACAACTGAGGCGTCCGTGCTAGCAGAGATACTGACGGTGGAGATTGGTACTGAAGAGACGGTAACACTCGAGGAAGACAGGCTGACCGTAGTAGCAATACTTGAGGTGATTGTCAGCGTCGACTCAGAGCTGCTGGGAATGACTGTTCTTGAAGTTGGCGAAGTCAAAACAGACGATGGCCCAGGACTGCTTGTGGAGGACGATACGGGTGGTATAACAGGGGCCGAGCTGGTCCAAGAGGCAGAGGTAGACGAGTATGAGCATCCAGTGTACACAGTTACAGTAACCACGGGTGCGCAGTCAAGCCCGCAGACCGTTACTGTAGCAGGGTCTTGCTGCTGTGGGAAGGCAGTAACGAGGGAGAAACTATTCGGGGTCAGTCAGACGTAGAAGGAGCAAAGTGGATTTGCAGGTCGTCCATACCCCAAGCCAAGAAGGCTGAGCCGAGCGAAAGTGTTCATTGCGACGTTCTCGAGGCAGTTTGCTAGAAAACGAGTGTGAGTGCCTCGAGGTGCAATGATTGACCGAGAACATCCACCTCAATACACACTCGCCAAATCGTCCCTTTTATAGATTGAAACTGGTCCCAAATTTTGGAGCATCAGCCGTTTGTATCGGCACGCGGCGTTTGAAATAGCCCCTGGCAACTAAATTAGATCCTAATGCAAGGACCCTGAAGGGCCTCCTTGCAGGCCAGGAAACCCGTTCTTCGATGCACGGTTCCGCACACCTGGACATATATGACAGTCTAATCTCAAGCCTTGAGCGATTCAGATTAACTAGAGTGGCGTTGCGTGTGAACTCAATATCACTCGTACGCCATAGTCTCTAACAATTTCTCGGTTTCGTGGCTGGATTCATGGGCTCTCTGAGGCAGCCAGGACGAGAACACACCATTGCCACGCTGATGTCAACAATCCCCATTAATTAAGATGTGTCTTAGGAGGATCTGATGGTTGAGTTAGACGTTGAAGATATGGCTAGATGGATCTATTCCACATGGCCGGCGTGTGGGGACAAACGTGCAAACTGACCTTAAATAAAAGCTCTTCAAATATCTCGGGATCTGACCCGACAGGCGGTAGGGTAGCCTGCATGAAAAAGCGGCTAGTAAACGGAGACAAACAACAGTTACCCTCTTGATTGGACTCAAAAGAGGCAGCATCGGGCAGCAGCGGGCTTGGCCGTGGGTCCTGGCTTTTCGACAACGAGGAATAGGACCCTCGCCTCCAGGGGCAAATGTGGTTGTGGAGGTCGCTGCGCAAGAGTCGGCGATACGTTCATTCTCCGGAGTGAAACAAATATGCCACATAGATCTTGTGAATCCCATACGAGTTTCAGAGGCTGATTCCATGCCGGAGAATTACAATTGATGAAGAGGACAACATAAGGTCGCGTTGAACAGCATACGAACTTTTCTCACGGTTGCACTGTAGTGCCGGGTCTTTATTGACCGCTCTGAATAGCTTAATAAACATCACCGTGGCAGATTACCAGTGCGTGCAGCGTGCTGAATATGCACCTTTCCGCTGGCTGTCGTACTGACTGACACGGGTGGTCCTCCCGTGCAAGTCACCTAATCGAGCCGACCATCAATCTTTGGATAACGGATAGACGCACTTTCCCCGCAGAAACCAACGAGCTACTCACATTCTTCCTCTTTGCAGATCTCTTTGAGGGCGAATAAAACTGGGTTCGATATCTATATATCCAAGTAATATGACTGTGTGGACACAGAGTCGACCCATCTACAGACGGCTGTGCATATACCGTATAATGCAGGTACAAAAGGCTTGTCACGAGTTTGTACGTCGGTTGAATCTAATCTGTTTCCTCAAGCCCCTATACCTGTCTCTGTCCCACTTGACTAACATTTGCCTAACTGCGCTTCGGTTCCAGAGTCCTTCCCCCACAATCGCTTTTCATACAATAATCCGCCACTTGCTGTTGACTCGAGGTTTTCTTGAGGGGCCACCTCCTGGGGTGGTCTGGTTGGTTCTGTGGACAAACTTTCTCCTATAGATGATGAGGAACTCCTAATGGTCGACTTCGTTTGACAAGCTCATTGGGGCGAGTGACAGCTGGCCATCAACAGTGAGACAAGATGGGAATCTCAACAAAAGAGGCAACCTATGGCGCATCCAGTTAAGTGTGTGTGCGTGGCAAGGCTAAATGGATTACGAGAAGATCAACCACGAGCAGAACTCTGTGTAACTTTAGCCCGAGGTGTGTGACAAGACTGGCCAAGAACCCGGCAGGTGGGAAGCACCACAGCGAGAGAGGTATGACGAGCGGCTAGCTGAACCGAGGGAGCCTACATATGCCCAGTCGGCCAAAGTGGGCATGCTGCACTCTATCCTTCGCTGCGTCACCACCCTGCTTGAGAATCACGTCGTTGGTGAGGGATGAGTCCAACGTTCTATTAGCGATACCATCGGAACAACACATGCCATCATACCATAGTGTACGCGGAAAAAACTGCCTTGCCTTCGCCGCCGCCTTTCTTGTGGCATATCTTTTATTCCCATTTGAAAGTGCTGAACCACTCTTATTACGTGATAAATCTTCACTTACGATACTCAATCCTTGATTGTATGACAAGTAATTCTCCGGAGGCATAGGCATTTGTTCATATCACCGAAGTTCTACTAGCAAGTCAAAGATAGCTGAGTTTCCGCACCGGCTCAACACGGACATTGATCCCCCCAATCCATGTTCCACGTATATTCCATTCATCACTTATCATATATGCAAAGCCAAAGCTTCAAGCCAGGCACTCAATGAATCCACGATTGGTAGACAAATGTATCAGGTGAGCGGTGAAAGTTTCTTCTAAAGTCGAACATGCAAGCAAACTTTCTTCCCACCAGTTGAGATGATATGACGCATACACACTGTCTACTATTGAACACACGGCCGCCCTAAGGACGCATCTCACCAGGGGTTGAGGTGGAGATGTTTCAACATTCGATGGCTAGAGGGCGGGTGCGTTGAGCGTAAAGAACGCCGCGGGAGCAGCTCCCGGTCCGGCGAAAGTGGTTTTGGTAGGGGACATCATGTACATGTTCCAATGCTCTGGAATTGTGATCTTACGTCTGTTTGACGCAATGCCATCATCCTTTCGTAATGCTACTGAAAAGAATCTGCACCGGCTCTTTGTCGGTGATGAAATTGACTCCATCATTCCGAGCCTCATCAGCCTCCCCCGTACAAAGTCGAGACTAAAGCTCGGCACTGGTGCAGGTGAGTAAGAAGTGTAAGACAACAAAGCTCTTACCGGAAACTGGGGTGTGATCGGACGGCATCCCAGGGAAGTTCAAGGCAGGCAGGAAGAACGCTAAGAATGATTTCGTCCTGATGCTTGACTATTGTGTGGAGAATGTCGGGGAGGTTGTTTCCCGATTGGGGTCACGAATAGCGTCGACTGAGACATGCATCACTAACGACTCCAGTTTACAGGGATCTGAATTATTTTTTCCGCGGTGCCGGTGACTTGGACACGGATGAGACAGCGCATTCTTAGATCTGCCTGGGAGTGCAGATCACCATCCAAGGCATTCCTTTTTGAGATGAATCGCCGAGTAAGCAGCGAAGATCACAAGAGTACGACTTTGAAGAGCAAGAACTTGAATTTTGCGACAAGCAGGCGACGACAAGCAGGCCGCGACATGAAGTTGACTACGCGCGCAGTCAATGGCAACGGCGATCCGAGTATATAAGATGGACCGGTCATCGTTCATGAATCGAGTTCTATCTCTCCGTCATCAGCATCGCAAAGCATCTCTACCCTAACAGTTCATCGTCCATCTTACCATCACTCCTGAAAGCCTCTGCTTCTTCAGCTTATCCAGCTTCCAAACACCAAAGTCCTTCAAAATGCAATTCAAGCTCCTCACCATTGTTGGCTTCGCCGCCTCTGTTCTCGCCGCCCCTCAGGTTGGCACTGACATCCCAAGCATCCCTGGTGACCTCACTGTAGGACAAGCCGATGCTATTTGCGGCAGCGATACCTCCCTGAGCTGCTGCAACAAGGTTGACCAGTCTGGTGACGCCATCAGCATTGCCGATGGCCTCCTCTCTGGTCTTTTGGGCAATGCTCTCTCCGGAGGATTGGGTCTCTTCGATGGCTGCTCCAAGCTTAGCCTTCCCCTTGGTTAGTTTGGATCAACAGCACCCAGCACCCCTGGCTTTCACTCATACACTAACCGCATGATAGGCATCGTTGGTGGTGGTGTTGGCGATCTCCTCAACAGCCAGTGCAAGCAGACTGCCGCCTGTTGTCAGGGGACTGACTCAGACCAGGTCAGTCGCATTTACTTATGATTGGCGTATTAAAGGCTAACAAATACTCAAGGACGGTCTTGTCAACGTTGGACTCCCTTGCGTTGCTCTCGGCGGTCTGCTATAAACGCACCCTTACGACAGCCAGCGTGGTCCTTCCAATATGTTTATGGAGGCATGAGATATATCAGGGAATGTAATGCTAGGAGCCATGTTATTGCATGTGTGCATTTGATATCTTTAGCCACAAATCCAACTTGAGTCACTCTTTTGCCCATTAGTTGACTTTTATTTTGTCCGTGATCCTTGAAACGTGGTTTTGGCTATTGCTTGCTTGAATGTCACTGGTTGGCCGAGCAGGTATCAGTCGCGCCTCCGCGCGCGCAATATTGAATGTTTTCTTGGTCCAACTACAATTCCTTCTCGCATCGTCCCATATTTACATGAATGCATCAACTACCAGACCACTCAACTGGCCTGTATCGTGATATTTGCGCCTTGCAGTCCCGATGAAGTGGCAGAGACAATAATCTGTCCTGCATTACCTGCTTTCGCACGTATAATCGCCAGCGCCAGACCGCTGAAAGCATGTCTGGTTAACGAAGGAAAAACTGTCATGTCCGTAGGGTCGCCATTATCAGTAGCCACAATCTCACCTGGACCAGCAACTGAGAAGCTGATGCTGTTGTTCGCGCGCGGCACCGTGGCTCCGCTCTCATCGACAACGCTGACAGTGATAAATGACAGATCATATCCATCGTTTCTGATGCTAGTGCGATCTGCAGTGACATCTAGCTGCGCTGCGCTCCCTGCCGTCTTCTTCATGTCTACAGCCCATTGCGCTCCATTCTTGTAGGTAACCACGCGTAGGTCGCCAGGCTGGTATGTCACATTGTCCCAGCGGAAACGGTAGTTGCTTGCAGCCCTCTTCTGGCGTCCGGCCGACTTCCCGTTCACAAACAGCTCGGCCTCGTCCGCCCCAGAGAACACATGTACCGGCGTCACCTGGCCGACTCGATCCGGCCATGTCCAATGGGGAAGTATATGCGCCATTGGGAAATCAGGACGCCATCGCGACTGGTATAAGTAGAAACGGTCCTTCTTGAAGCCGGCCAGATCGATGATTCCGAAGTAGGAACTTCTCGACGACGAGTACGGGGTCGGCTCCCCGAGGTAGTCCCAGCCTGTCCAGACGAACTCGCCGGCCACATAGGAGTATTTATCCTGCTGCACGAACACCTTATCCGGAGACGAACCCCAGTCGGCGGCATACAGCTCATATGCACTGACCAGCTTAGCCGCGGAGTTCCCGCCTGACTTGTCGGTGACCGGTGCGCTGATGGCGTCAGTCACTGGGAATATGTACGTGCCTCGGGTGCTGAGAGCCGAAGAGCTCTCGCTGCTCCAAAGCACCTTGTTGGGGAAATTGCTCCGGAAGCTGGGAAAGGCGCCAGACATGGATATTCCAAGGCCCTCGCCTTGATAGTTCAGTCCCTCAATGTCTAGGACTGCTGCAAGAGCGCTATTGGCAGAAGCCGCGTTCATGGCCACGGTAGTAAGCCGTGTTGGATCCTCGGCATGAATGATGTTTTTCAGGGTTTGGGCAGTCTGCCCGGCACCTGAGCTTGATTGCTCCGAGATCTCATTACCAAAGCTCCATGCGATTACTGAGGGGTGGTTTCGGTCGCGACGGATGAATGAGCGAAGATCTGGCTCGTGCCAGTCTGTGAAGAGCAGATGGTAGTCGTTAGCCACCTTCTGATTATTCCAGACATCAAAGATCTCATCCAAAACCATGAAACCCATTCTATCGGCCAAATTGAGAAAATCAGGGGCTGGTGGGTTGTGTGAGGTCCGGAGTGCGTTGCTACCCATCTCTTGGAGCATTTGCAGCTGGCGCTCGGCGGCGCGAACGTTGAAAGCAGCTCCAAGGGCACCGTGATCGTGATGATTACAAGTCCCTTGCACTCGCACCGGCTGTCCATTAATCAGAACGCCTTTATTCGAGTCAAATGTCACCGCCCTGATGCCGAAGACTGTTTCATAACTGTCCACTGTATCGCTCCCGATAGTCAGAGTCGTGATGGCCACATACAAGTTGGGTTTCTGCGCTGGCGGCGGACCCCATACGAGTGGGTTCGCCAGTGACATCGAGGCATTGACGGATTTTCGCGTATTGGCCGCGACGGTTGACGTTGTGCGAGGAAACGTTGCCACGATGTCAGCTCCAGGCTGTCCGGTCGTTGGGTCCAGAAGATGGACCTCAGTCACCACACCCACATCGCGACTGACATTCCCCCTATTCTCAACATCGACAACCAAGTTCACTGTAGCAGACTGAGCCGAGATTGTGGGTGTTGTCACGTAGGTGCCAAATTGGCTAACGTGTGTTTTGTCGGTCTTGATTAGCCAGATATTTCGATATATGCCTGCGCCAGGGTACCAACGAGACGAATCCAGGGGGTTATCGAGCCGAATAGCCAGAGTATTCCCACTTCCCTCTTTGACGTATGGAGTTAAATCCAACCGGAAGGACGCATAACCATACGGCCAGCCGCCCACGAGAATTCCATTCAGCCAGACCGCGGCATACGACATGGCTCCATCGACATCGAGGTATATAGACCTGTCGAGGTCACTCGCAGTGATTGTCACATTCCTACGGTACCAACCCACTCCATTGACAGGAAGGCGGCCCATACCACCACCAATTCCTGGTGCATTGAACGGTCCCTTGATGGCCCAATCATGCGGAAGATTGACGCCTTCCCAACTGCCATCATCGAAGCCAGCTTGCACATACTTGACATCGCTGCCGGGTGCGGTTGCACTGGGTCGCTGGTATTTGGTCCCACTCAGGAAGTCATTCGCCGCTGGGAGGATCCATGGCTTGAGCGTGCTGTAAGAAAGTGAATCTGGGTTCGAAGTGAAGCGCTGAAAGCGCCAACCCGAGTTGAGGCTGATGCGTTCTCGACCTGTTGGCGCCGCCTTCAACAAACCTGGCTCCTCTGTAGACTGAGCTCCGGTGGATTGGAGGAGTAGTGCGAACACCAAGGTGAGTACGGTGATCCCCCATGCATGGTAGATCGGAAACCTGGGAAACGCCATTTCCATTTAGGTCTTTCGATACAATTGATCTGAGCCTCAATGGAATAGGACAGCGTCCCTATTTGTAGTGTTTTGGACCTCATGCAAGCGGAGTGTGGCTCTCCATATGGCTCACACGTAACAGAAGGCTCCTTGCGTCTTTCCCTATATCGACACGTTTCCGCAGACGTTATTTGAGGAAAATTATGGCATTCGACGCTGTTGATTTCTTGGCTAACATTCCTCGCAGCTATAGAAATTAGTCAAAGATGGCACGGTTAACGGCGAAAATCAGACCCGGCCATTAGGCTATTCCGGTCGGCTATATGATGTTGAGCTCCCCCTCCCGTAAGGGAGGCACAAAACTTCAGGAAAGCCTGACACCCATAAAATCGATTTCTAATTATGTACAGTGGCATCATTTTTACAGGGATGTGCAGGGCATAGGAAGGTCGTCGGGCCACGTGCAAAGCCTGGTAGTATCTCTCGCAATGCTGAGTTGAGAAAAATCAGCGATATGCGCGGGTATGTGCACGTTTCACGAACAGACTCAGCTTAGCGAATACCAATAACTGGGGTTTCCAGTGTTCGAATGCTTCATTTGTTTATATATATGAGTAGTACTCTAAGTGTGGTGGTATCATAATGCTCCTGTTGATCCAACGCCTATAAACCAAGACAAGATGCAATCCTATCCCTCCTCCACCTTAGTAGCCTTGCGCTGTGGCGGCAGCTACCGCGAGGATCTCTACACGACCAGCGTATAGCTTCATGACGTGACACATAGGGTCACCCCAAATCACACCCCTGAGCTGCTCGTCGTTGGCAACTTGAGCAATGACACCATCATTCAACCGTTGCTCCACTGTCTTCTTTCCCCTGGTCTTCGACTTTGGATTTCCCGACCGCAGGATGATAATCACACCTGCATTGCTAAGAGTGCTCCGCGGCACGTGCCACACCGGCTTCGGTGACTTTGAGGATTTCGACGCCGAAGAGTGAGCTGATTTTAGTGATAACTTGGAAGCCTTGGATACGAGCGTCGACTTAGACATCTTCTCCTTCGGCCTGCTTGGCTTCGTTGGTGCTGCACCAGTCACCAGACTGAGCTTGTCATCCGGCCCCTTCGCCACATGAACTGGCGCAGGGGTGACGTATAGCTCAAGTAGGCTTTTCACGTAGGCACGGTCTGCTCTTGCAACAGGATCGCCCTCATTGATGAAACTCAAGAACAACGAATTCTTCAATCTGTGGCGATGCGGTTTCGCAAGTGGGTAAACGGAAAGCGGTGGTGTGCCGAACGTGATACAATGAACCCGCTTGAACTGCCCGGTCAGACGATTAAGTTCCGACGATGCACTCTTAGATGTCGCGAGCATGTGCGAGTACAGGAGTGACGCTACTGCGCCTCCCGCCGAGTGGCCGGTGATGAGAAGAGAGTACGATGAACGACGTGGGTTCTCCTCAATGAGTTGGCGAAGACGCGAAGCCACAGGCTTAACCATCTTTCTGGCCGTCGAAAGGAAGCCTGCATGGCAACAGTTCTTGGTGTCATCCTGGATCAATCAGCGATCATTCCATTGGTGATTCACCCTGATTACTCACCAGGAAGCCCTTTGGCGATGCCGGTGCTGTGTTCAGGTTCACTGCCCAGTCCATGAAAGTTGCGGTGCCACGAATGGCGAACACAATCGTGTTCATATGGTCCATGGGCACAGACTTCAGACACATGGCTTTCGTACCTGCCTTCCAGTCTGCGTCGACATAAGCATCCCGCTCCGCCCCTCGTGGCCTCTCGTAAACTCTTGCAGAGTATCTTGCGGCCAAGCTGATCAATGGCCATGTTGGCATATATCTAAGAGGGTTTAGCAAAGTTTATACCCTGTTCAGAGATACGACTTACAGCCGCAATGGCGTGAGATCCAAGGGCAGCCGTGAGTTTGCGTATAAATCCACTTTCGAAGCATATCCCGCCGAGAGTATCGACGATGCAACAGCAGTGGTTTGACCCTTCGCCGACGTATTCTTCATGGTCTTCTTCGGATGCCCTCTCTCCGTTGCGGGAACTAGAGGTGTTGCCTTCGGTGGTAGGAGCGACAGTGGCTGATCCTGGGACCACTCTTTCTCGTTCCCCGAGAATTTCTCGCAGTCAATCAAGGTCATCATATCATTGAACTTGTTCTGAATCTGATCGTATAGCGCAGCACCCTGGTTCAGGAGCTGTGTTGCCTGGCCGTGCCATCTCGGCAGACCATCGTCGAAGCTCTGACAAAAGTTCGAAGGGACTAGTTCCTGGGCGAGGTCCACCACAGACCCGAACTTGGGTTTGCTGACAACGTCAAGTCCATGACTGGCGTGAGAAGAAGAGCCATTGGTGTAGCCGTATGGTTGAGACGGTTGGTCATTGACATAGTAGTGTTGATTCACCACCACAGGCCTGGTAGCATTATGGTCCTGATATGGCAACAATGCCGTGCTTGTCGGCGGAGCGTTCCAGACGACAGGAGTCGACTGATAGTTCGAATATTGCACAGGCTTGGAATAAGCCTGCGACACAGGAACTCGAGATGGCCATTGCTGCTGCTGGGAATGAGGTGGATATTGCGGTGGTCCTATGGGATATCCCAGGTGGTCGACCTTGACTTTGGGCGGAGAGGACCGATCAGAGTGACCCTTCTTGTGCGCAAACAGCCCCATGGTGGCCTGCCAGTCCGGAAGCCTGCATCTACACCGGTCTTCTTCACCCGATTGCCACCACCCAGTTGCTGGACGATTTGCGTGCGTTACGAGAGCAGGTTGCGTGCGAAATCGCTGGCCCAAGTGTTGAAGAACAGCGGCATTTGAGAGGCTTGGAAAGATGAAACGGAGGAAGAATTGAAGAAGCTTGAGAGGCTGTCACAATGAGTTCAAGAGCCAGACTTGGGGGCGCCAGTCAAACGTTGCTGCACTGAAAATGCCTGCCAAGACGCCGTGACCGCAGGGGTGGCTTGCCGTTTACAGACATGCATACTCGAAAAAGCACATCCCGAGGACGTGATTCGTTGCCACCGAAGTCGCTATTGGCACAGCCTGCAACCTATGGAAGCTCGTGACGCTGGGCACTCAGGATCTACCCCTGCACCGCCGCCCGTGGACGAACCACAGGCTGCGGATAGGGGCGGCACCACCCTCGTGCAGCCGAATCGCGACAGCTGCACTTCCCTATGGTCGATAAAGTTTAGCTTATGACTGTGGACGCTGCATATCCAGAAGACTTGAGGCTCCCATCTGATTGTCGTCGGCTTCCAGCAGCCTTATTGCAGGTTGAAACTTTGCCCATACATCTTGATGGTCTTCCGCGCCAAGGTACGACAGCTGCAGCTAGCCGCCCCGCTGCAATGCCCCGAATGCGGGGTCAGGGATCGGGAGTGCAGTCATTTGTGGGCGAGAAACTGCAAATGGATTTGAAGGCACTACATGAAAGACAGCCCTGGAGCTCTTCCATGCAATTCGCCCACACTGCAGGCTGCAGGTCGACTGCAAGGGCGAATGACTCGATTGAAAAATAGATTGGTTTCATGGGGCATCTATCCGCTTCAACCCAGACAGTTTAGCCTCTTACCCTATCACACATGCCGCCCTTGGTGTTCCATTTGGAGCCCTTTTTCTACCTTGAAGCTGCAACAAGGATCTCGGTAAGTCAGGTAGTCTTGCAAGGCAAGTCCACCTGTCGTTGATAGGACCGGTGCGACATGTTAACAGACCGTCGAATCTGAATCCGCCTTTGAAAAGGGGGAACTATTTACACAATTGTTGAACTACATGCACGTGCCCATGCAAGCCAGAAGCTTCACAGTCAATGGCAATGTGTACTCCTGAACTCAAAAGTTGTCGGTGGATAATGGGCGAATTGACAGCAGAATCTGTCATGTGCAAATAGTAAGATCCCCGCGCTCCAAGGGCAAATCTACGGCATATACGACAGGACTGGCGACCAAGACAAGCTGGATTTGGCAAGTCACATGCAACAATTTGCTTCGTAATCGTGATCATCTTCAGTATCCGTGTTGTACTGCGTAGCAAGTGTTCCAGAATCCACGCGATGGGGACTCCTGCCATTCCTGCTTACTTGTACATGGGGGACATCTAAGTCCTGCAGGGCATTCTCGTGCAACACTGAGGTTGATAAGAATGCTGATTGTGTTATTTTCGGTTCGAGGGTCGTGGTCCCTGCAAAGTTTCCGCCAGAGGCTGATGACGGAAGTGAAGAATCATGACAAGACCCAAGGATGCTACCCAGAGGGAGAACGCCATGAGAACGCCATGTCCCGCATGGCATCAGTCACCCACAGAGCTCAAGTGTTTAGCTAGCCATGTTGGTGCAATTAGATGGTGTCTTACAAGCAACCGTCGACCAGGCACCATGCGACTATTTATCTCGCCACCATGTGGTTCCAATATTTTCATCCGACCACCCTTCCAAGATAACGGTGCACCGAACTAGCAGATGTCACCCAGAGCTCGAGCTCGGGAGGCCGTGCGGGCGGGCGGTCCGGGGGTAACATTGATCGCCATTGCATTCCAGCTTTCAGGAGGAGTCGGGTTAGTCTAAGTTGCGTGGCCGCAGGTACAGTCTGGAACGCGACGCACTGATGGCCCCTGTGGGACCAATCAGAGGATGCCCAGGGGCTATGACAGCCTCGCAAGGACGAAGCCACAGGCTTGACAGCCAGACAAGGCCCCCCTGGGTCCACTGTAGCCTCGTGCTTGCATGACAGGGTCCCCGGCTAATCAACAGTCGACAAGCACCTGTGACATCTGCTTTCAATGCGCGATGGGAGCTTGACACGGGGTTCGTCCAAACAGCTCATCTTCATCATTTGTCGCGAGAAATGACGCCAAAGTCGCCATGGACTTTGTGAGTAGCCCTTGGAAGCCGCAGACGCGTCTGGAATCCCCGAATGCTGACTTGCTCCCCAGTGGTCGCGCATCTTAGCCCCGTTGTCCTCGGGGGCTTCCAGCAAGGATGCCGCCAGAGACCCGGCCCGCCGACGACAACGTTTCGAGAAGGAATACAGCCAGCTGCTGGTGAGTGCAATCGACCATGAGGCTCCCCGTGTCCCCATGATGAATTACTTCGAATGCCAACGGGAAAATCTAGCACATCTGGCGAAACACGTCCAACATAGCCCGAGATGTCGATGCCGCCGAGAACCTGGAGATCAGGCTGCAAGAGCTCACCAACATCCTCGCCGACGAATCCCGACGACCATTGCCTCACCCATGTATCGCCTTCTCGGCCGCAAAGCAGATTTATGTCCCCATTGCGAAGATAGCAACTTCGTCCTACAATGAGTGGATCATCAAGGAGGCTGTCTCGTTCTTCGCAACTCTCATCGAGAGCGAGGAAGAGGCCTTTGTGGAAAACGATGCTTTCTCGGCCAGCTTGACGAACCTCCTGGTGCGCATCACCGGCGCCAACAGTATCAGGTTAGCTGCAGACACCGAGGTCCGAGTTGTCGAGCTGGCGTTCAACATCACAACCAAGATCAGGCTGGAGCCCCATATCTTGACGGCATGGTTCAAATCCCACCAGCACCCCGGTTCCCACGACGAGAAATTCAAGGATGAAAGGGAGAGGTTTGCGGGCAAGACGCAGAAGCAGGACTTCCCCTTGTTCTACCTGCTCATGGACTACATTCACCACGAAGGCAAAGTGGGCGACTTCGCGCGCACCGGCTTGTTGTACATCATCGAGTCTGCCTCCAACTCGGTCGCCTTGGAGCAGTGGATCGTCGAAAGTGATCTGTCGACCCTCATGGCCACCGGCCTAGGCGCGCTATATAGCCAGCTGAGTCGCAAGTTGGTCATCGACCACCCACCCCAGGAGCTCCCCCCGGTTCTGGCCCTATCCGACTATCAGCACCCTCTTTCTACCTTTGAGATCGTGAGCTCCTGCTCCCCAGACTTCAAGTTACATTTGGACACATTTCTGGCCCATCTTCTGTTCTGGCAAGACGTGCTTAATCATTGCCGGTCGACCGAAGTAAAGTCTACGCTGCTCGAGCATTTCCAGGTCATCTTCCTGCAGCAACTATTGTGAGTCTACTCGATCGGAAAAGGAGACTATACTGACCCATGCAGATACCCCTCGCTACTAGAGTCCTCCGACGTGGATGGTGGATCCTCGGTCGCGGTGTTGACTTACCTGAAGCGCATTCTCGAGGCTCTTGACCACCCCGATATGATCAATCTCATACTTCATTACCTCCTAGCCTTGCCTGATGCCGAGACGTCACTGGCCTCACACGCGGAGCCATCCGTAAGTGCTGCGCGAAAGAGGAAGTCCATGGACCTAGCCACCATGATGGCGGCCAGGGTTGAGCTGACGTTTTCTCCACTGCTCTTCAATCTGGTGGACTTGATCCAGTCATGCCTGCGATCAAAGAACCAACAGACCGTATGCGTGACACTGCAATTGTTGGCAGTAATCCTTAAGAGGCATCATCGATATGCAGTCATCACTCTACTCCAGACCGAAGCCGTTCACGGTAGCAGCAGCCACCGAACCAGTGGTGCCCACGAACAAGAGGTTGAGTTTTTGACAACACTCGCCGGGTCTATTGGTGGTCAGGACAATTTTGATGAGATTTACGACAATATTTTGAAAGATACCATGGCACGGCTAGAGGGCCACCCTTGCTCTCTGAAGCTCGTGGCACCGAAAGTATCAGTCAACAACCATAAGCTACCTGCCATTCCGGATAGCTTGCCTGGCGCACCTCGCGACGTGCCTCCCCATACACTAAGTCCCGAGGACCCATTGCTCAACTCGCTCCTCGATCTTCTGAACACATTCTTCATCAATCCAGTCGAGACGAATCTCTCCTTGACGGAAACAATTATCGACCTTGCCGTGTGTGGGTATATAACTGTTGAGGGATGGCTGCTACGCCATCCGGTGAAGTACACATACGACGACGATGATGAATCTGTCAATGTTCCTCTTCCCGATCCAGCATCGCCATCTTTCGCGGAGGTTGAGAAGTTGCAAGCGATGACTCGGTGCCGCCGCCGTCCACAGTGGCAGTCATCCACACTTCCTCGGGCCCTGGTGGTTCTCGAGAAAGTAACAGATCAAGTTGCATCGTTCCGCAGCTCGATTCCCCGTTTTGAGGAACTGCTACAACAGCGACGGGAAGCATTCCAGACGGCCGACACAATTGTGTCTAACCAACCACCTGTACGGACGGCCTCAAAGACATCCACCCCTGCGCAAGAGCGGTCTAGCTTTGAGGATTCGCGAGCAACATCGCCATCTCGTCCCGGCGGCTTGGAAGGCTTTGCGCAGCGGCTGTTGTCTGAGCTTGGCACGCCGAGTAGATCAGCCAGCCCGCGTGGCCGCAAGGAGTCCAGTCGCCTTCCCAACGCCCCGACCGGCATGCCAGGAACACCAATTTCCAAGCCAATGCCAGTCCCACCGAAGCAGTTCCCCATGCATCACGAAAGTCCCACCCGAAGCGGGCTCTCGCGATCATTCTCTCCAGGCAGCCAAGTTCAAGATACCTTGAGCTACGGTGGAACAGAAGATCCCGTTGCCAGCCAGATGGCGGCATTCGCTGCTGTGGACCAGAGTATCCTTGCCCGGAAGGTCAAGCTGCCAGAGCAAGAAGTCGAGCCTATTCCTCTGCGTTTTGACAAGAAGACAGACGATGCGAAGGAACTTGAGGAGCAAGTGGCAGAAGGGGAGATACAACCAAGGGGTGAAGTCGAAGAAACACCACAGGAAGGCAGTGAAGCGCCTGCCCCAGCTGAGACACCGACTGGGACCGGGCAAAAGGACGCATCAGTGTCACACATACTCACCAACGTCATCATCTTCCAGTCTTTTCTGTTGGAGCTAGCAGGCTTGGTTCAAGTGCGCGCTGGGATGTTCGGCGAGGTGCGCTTCGTATAGATGTGCTGTTCCTTCAGGTCACGAATGATTCCACGCTCTGGGGATACTTGAGGTTCTGGTTTCCAGATTCTGCCTGATCCCATGCTAGAGTAGCCGATGAGATAAATCGGCTTCGGTGTTGTTCATTTCTGCCAGTCAAAGGGGTGGAAGAGGAAGGCTGTTTTGCATGTTATGAATTATGCACGATACCAACGTATACTTATATAGACTTCCAAGCATGTGATCGTTGCCCTGATGGCTTCGCCGAAACACTCCTGAAATCTCATCACTGAATCGCCCTTGCCTTGCCTTGCATCATCTCCCGCCACTATGTTCCCATGAAACGCCTTGAACGCCGCCGAACCATGCTGATTCTCGGGGGATAAACCCCCAATTCCCCTAGTTGAAGCCCACGATGCCCTCGGCGACCCGCGCCCCGCCCGCTTCCGTCCTCCACACCGTCACCTTCCGCCCAATGATGCCGTCGCCGCCGACCCCAATCTCCAGCGGCCGCGCGAGCAGCACCTCCATGGACCCACCGCCACTTCTTCGTGCCGCGAGCGCAGGCCGCGCCCGCCCAAAGTCGAACGAGTGCAGCAGCGCCTGCTCCGATAACGACGACGAAGACGACCGCAGGTCCCCCGTGGCGTGATCCCGACCACGCAGCCGTCGAGCGACCAGGCGTCGTCCTCGGCGCTCGACGACGGGGTGAAGGTCGCGTGCGTGGCCATGGTGGCGCCCAGCTCCGGTGATGAGGGGGATGAGGACGAGGACGATGAGGACGAAGAGCCTGGTCGGCTGTGGAAGACCAGGCTGCCTGAGAAGGGGGTCTGGGACTCGGGCGAGCAACTCAGCACGGCCAGCGCGCCGCCGAGGTTTTGTGAGGGCCGTGGGGTTTGGGGACCGCACATTTTACTCTCCAGGTGCTCGTATGACGATTTTGTTTGATATTGCGGGTTTCCGGTTTTACTGGCTTGATTGGGCCTGTCGTGGAATAGGAGTAGCTTCCTTAGATCTTGTCGCCAGGTACGCAAATGTGCCAGCCCGTCACTTGCTTAAAGGATATACAAATAAAACTATTGAGTCTTGGGCGTATCAAAAACGAAGGTTTTCTTCCTCGTGCGAGTTTGTATCACGGTATATCAATAGCCGCACCTATCTATATCTTTCATTGCCCAGCGGGCGCCGCTCACCTCTTATAGCACTGTCCATCCCCC